TCGTATGTAACACGTACTGGTAGACGCATCTTCCCACAAATTTTTTTTTTAAATTAAACTTAACGCAATAAAATTCAATTGTATTTTTTGTTTGTTTAGAAATTGTTAAGTAATCAAGAAATCATGGAATTAATTTTTCAGGACAAACATTAAATATCTAATTATAAAACTTTTTTAGATATTCTTTAAATTACGGTTAAAACTGCAGACGATTGTATTTAATAATAATAATACTCTCCTTAATTCACCCCCTTATGAATGAATTTTAACCCCAAAAGCTGAGCTGGCTCGGGGAAGCGACGATTATTATTTGCCATGGCGCTCTAGGGCGACTTAAAGATGATTGATGGTGCCATTAGGCTTACAGGTGAGAAAAACCCGGAAAACCCCACCCATAATCAAAAACCATTATTATCTAAATATGTACATTCGATTTTAATCGATTACTTTTAATTATAACCGATTACTTTCTATTATAACCGATTACTTTCAATTATAACCATTTGCTTTCAATTACAACCGATTACTTTTAATTATAACCGAATTACTTTCAATTATAACCGATTATTTTCAATTATAAGCAATTACTTTCAATTATAACCGATTATTTTTAATTATAACCGACATAGTTTCAATTATAACCGATTACTTTCAATTATAACGGATTAATTTCAATTATAACTGATTACTTTCAATTATAACTGATTACTTTCAATTATAACTGATTACTTTCAATTATAACCGATTACTTTTAATTATAACCGATTATTTTCAAAAAAAGGTCCTCTAACCCAATATCAAAACTCATATACCTACTTCTTCTAAAAAAAATAATAGCTCTTCAAGCCAAGTCGCGGAGCCCCTACAAAGGCTTTGCGGAGCCCAAGGGCTTCGCGGACCACACTTTGAGTAACGCTGGTTTATGGTGTTTATTATCTCTGCTTCTATGTAGAGAAGAGCTAAAGAATTCTTTTTTTTTCTTGAGACAATGAAGACCTTTGATAATTTTTCACGCGTTTTAAACAGGAAAAACTTTCCCAAGAACAATTTGTAGCCGGGGTGGAAAGGTGCGATGCGATATCCAAATTAGGGTAAACATTAGACAGAGATTAATTCCTTATAAACGTTGAGAGACAGTAGTGAGTTTGATCCACACTCTGCAGTTTTATTAGAGGAAATGTGACTGTTAAAATGCACACATTCTTGAACCAAATCGTCGTAATATAGATAAAATAGGTACAATAACAGTAGGTACATAGGCTTGATAATTTTCGATAGGAATAAGTTTCTATAGGGATATAACGTATTAGTATAAAAAAACATAAGAAAACTAGGGAAACTTGTTTGACTTTTGTCTGTAATCTGCCAAGGCTGTCCCTAGGAAGCTACCGCACCTAGGCCGCGGCCTATAACGCATGTTGACAAATCCAGGGCTGATGTGAATATTCAAACGCAGCATTAGTCGCTGCTCTAGCTTGACCTTGGATATCATGACGAATTGCCGACCTACGGACCTACCCAAAATCATTTACATCGTTGTGATATTTGCCAAAAATCTCGGGATCGATAAATGACGTATTTGCGTTCATCATCGTGGGAAAAATATGTGCGCAAAACATAATTTAGCATTTTAATCTTACTTTATTTTTTATTCAAAGTGTTTTTATGTATCATAAATATTTGTCTTCCGTTTCATCGATTATTTGAACTAGATAATGTAATAAATTATTAAAATATTATTAAAATAAATATATCCGATATTTTTATAAACAGGATGTTAGTATAGTCGACCGACATGAACCTGGACCTAGTGTCCGAGATACAGGGTGTCAAAAGTTTGAATTCAAAATTCAAAATTTGCTAAAAATCGCTTTTAAATATTTTTTTTTCAAATTTGATCTATCAAGATCTTGACAAATACACGAACTATTAAACATCTGAAACGTACCTACTAGATTAGAATTTAGAAATTATCTAAATCCATGCAGACTTTTGTTTAGCCCAAATTTGGAAAAAAATTGATTTATTGTAAATTTTGATTTCAAACTTTACGACCCTGTATCTCGATAACAAGGCCCTTCAAGGGTGCATGTTCCTATGTCAAAATTCATCAATCAATATACTAACACCCTGTATAACATTAGAAGCTATTTCAAAAATGGGTCACCAGTCATCGGTCACCGACAATCACACGTTGTGAAACCAGTACTTCATGTTGTGGTTCTGGGATTAAATGAACTATTGTCATGACTGTAATGTATGCACGTTAAATGCACTGTAGCTGTAGGAATACGTGTATGGCAGCCTACAGAAAAACAATGCTTGAAGATCATTGAATAAAATATGGTTCTAGATGTTAAAGTAAAAATAAATTATGACTTTAATTAAGGGCTAGTCTTTTCATCTCTGATTAAATTTAAACTATAGGGCTATTTTTTGTTAATCTGTCAAGTAAACCTACATGTAACTTTACTCAGAGATTAAATTATTAAAAACAAAAATGTTTTAAGAGGTCGTGAATAAAATATAACCTCTAGCGATATTACAGCTAAAAATATAAAGGATATATATTTGGATTAATTAAGGTGTTCAATTAAAATATTTTTGAAGTATTTTTCGTCTGTATTCAGTTTAATTTTAGTTTTACAAAAATTAATTTAATTTGACACTAAAAAAAATTGTTTCCTTTTTTTTTATAATTTCGTAACGGATTGGACCATAGTTTATAAAATAAAAATACTTTTTCGTGTAGATTCACACCTTAAAATATTCCCATATCATTAAGGAACACCCTGTATACCACTCGTCACTGATTATATCTTTGTTTTTTTCATTTTTTATTTCCATATCTATTCCATGTTATCTTTATTAAAAACCTTGATAAAACTAATATATTTTATTGATTAGTTATAAACGATTTTTTTGTATCTACCTTTCGAATTACAATACTTAAGAGCCAATAATCACGGCGCGCCCACCAAAAAAATATTTAGATCATTAACTCAATAACTTTTAGAATAATAATATTTTAGGCTCAATAATTACTGTGATATTGCTTTGATATTGTCTTTGTTATTAGTTTAGTCAAATATAAAAAATATAAATATAAAATATACTGATTTATTCAGAATAGACGAAACTTTCTACTTAGGAACATTTTCCATCTTTGTTTATGGTACAATTTTAACCAAAATTTACTGATGATGCCCTAATATATTTTTCTTGTAAGGATTCAGATAACTTTGTAAGAATTGTTAATGAAACACTGCAACATGTTTATAAATGGTGTTGCAATAATTTATTGAAAATTAACTTGGTAATCGGAAAAGTGGAGGCTGTAGGAGGCCAAAATACGGCAGAGCGGGACTTAAGGGATTACAGCAACTGGTCGTAAATGGCTCACACAAAATTGATATTTTCCTATAGCTTTACTACTAATAGCCTAATTCGCAAAGCATTTTTAAATGTACCCACATGTAAAATCTTAAATATAGAAACGTCATCATACTGAATGTCCAATAGAGTTGGACCATAATCATTATTATTTTAATCTTGGTAAAATTGACATTATTTACATGTGTTTCTGTCGATTTCTTAATGTTTTTTGGAAAAATATTTAACGAATATTTAATTTGTTAATGATTTGAGGAAACATAACCTCATTTATCTGAATTTCACTTTACTTTTCCTATGAATTGAAGCTTCTATCTTTAAGAATTTACATGTAAGGTAACTATTTAACAATACTTTGTAGGGATGTTATTTTTTATATTGAAATAAAATGTGTTTTCTTATATCATCCTGTCTATTGTCTAGAAATTAATAAAAACAAACCCTTAGAATATTGGTTTATGAATGAAATCTTGCATTAATTCTTCTGGATATTATACAATAGATGGTGCTTTTAATTGAAAGTAAAGAAATAAACTGAAATGAAGAACAGAGAAATATGGTTCAATTTACTCCTCTAATTCAGGTATTCAGCTTATAATGGCTGGAACAAAACTGGCTTACAAAAAAATGTAATTAGAAATCCATAATACTTTTTAAATAAATATTTTTGTAGCATAATTATATTATATTACTTAATTATTATAGCTCTTATAGTTTCCAAAATAAAATTATATAAATTTAAAAAATTATAAAAACAGCCAATTTTTCATGTTTTTTTTTTTGTTATGAAAAACCGTTAGTCCTACTAAAAAATATATGGTCTGAGTTTTTGTTCCATTTGTATATTGTAGGGTGAAAAACAGTAACATCATTGTTTAGGTATTTTGAGACGTTTTGAGTAAAATTTGTAAAGTACTTTTATTAGAAACTAATTTAATAGGAAACAATATCAATCAAAATATTTTTTTGTTATTATATAAGCAATTTATCTATTGATAGGTTTAGAGATACTATTCATAAGTTATCTATTAATAAAAACATTAGTTCTATAGAGAAATCTTAGAATTAGTTGTCTAAAAGTGTTCTGTAAATTCATATGTAGTTTCTCAATATATTAAAAAAGTAGTAGAGAAATAAGCCCACCGTTTTATTTTTTATAAACAATATTCAATCTTCATATCTAATAGGTAAACTGTTGGTCAAATATGTTGAAATACTACAAAAACTGTTCAATATGTGATTATAGACATGTGTTTTATGTTTTATTACACAATGTTTCATTCAATTTTTCTTACAATATGTAGGGTAAGTAGTATTAAAAAATAGAAGGGAACAGACTATATTAAAAGAAGTAAATGTCTAAAGAGATAAGTTAAAAACTATTAATTTTGTGGAAGACATAACAAAAATATAATATTATTTATTCATTAAATTTAAAATACTTTATAATTTTGGCTCAATTTTAAAATTCCAGAATATTATTTAATTTTAGGATTACTTTTTTTATACTATTCTGATACACCATGCAATTTATTTTAGAAATAAAAACATTTTCATTTAAATTATATTGCATAGGTACTTACATCAAAAAAAAAAAAAGTACTTACCAAATATTCTGTAGACCAGACATTTCTTTTGTTCTTCTAAGGGGTAAGACAAATCACTAATGTAAACCTTTTCATCAACCATTTTTCTTGGAACTCAATAATTCTAAAAAGCTCAAATTGAATTTTTCATTTCCATAGTAGTTGGCCGAAAACAGTCGATTGTTGCTTTGCGAATTTCTGGCAAACCCAAAAACAATTTGAAATAAAATATTATTTTTACAAATAATAAAAATATTAAAAAAAAAAATTAAATAGAATGTATACCTAATACTGCATAGATATGCTATTAATATTAAATAATTATTTATTTTATTGACGCAAACTGCTCACGAGAATCAATGTCGGTATAATTAATTTAAATAATAGGTATGTAGATTATAACAAAAAGTGTTTTTGTGTTAGGTCAAGGCAATGCATATTAGTCGACGCGTTAATCATAACCAGTCAAAGCAACTAAAAAACTAGAACTTGTTATTTATTCATAGTTAAAAACTCTGTTATTGATTAATAACCAAAATAAAGAAACAATAAACATATTTAATATCAACATAACCTCTTAATTTTTTTCTATAAAAGTTACACGACCTACCTTTTCGTTAAATCGTCGACAAAATACAATGTAATTGATTGCAATATTTAATAAATCCATTTTTAATTTGAGTGTGAGTACATAAAAATATTAAATATGTATTTTTTCTATAATTTGACAGCAAAAAAATCTATACGCGTAACAGAGCAGACCACTCTGTACATTCTACATTACATTTTTCACATTGGAATTTATGTAAGATAGAAAGAGAAAGATAGAATGTGGTTTGTAAAAATGGCGGACTAGTGGTTCCGGTTCCCAATGGCGTACTGTCATAAAAGGAATTGTTTATACTGGAATTCCAAAAATTATTTATTATTGAGGCCCTTCCTGTAAAGTCTCAGTATTGCATTTATGTAGACGAAAAAACTTTCTTAACCCCACTTTTTAAGACTTTGTTCACGTTTCCGATCATTCTGCGTCCGAAAACGCAAAAAAAATTTCGACTCTGTGCGTATGTCTGTCGGCACGATAACTCTAGAAAGAAAGATCCGATTGACTTGTGGTTTTGATATTCTTGAATAATTGCTTCGAACCCTATTGACTTTCAGAATTTTCGGTTCAACCTAACTACTTTATTATCAATGTTCTTCAAATCCCATTCATTTCATATGGGGCTTATTTTACGCTTTCCAATATAGTAAAATTAGAATGATGCTTAGCCATGCCTGTCAACTGTAAAACCACAGATTTTTTTTCATATTGAACAAATTATTTAAAAATGTTTGTAAAAATGTTTGAACGTCAAATAAAAGATTGACAAATAAGTACCTAGTTATGCCTATTTTGATATATATTTTTAACAATTTTAACGTAATTTAAAAATAATTATAAAAGTCAATAATTACATTTTTTTCTGGTTAATCGGTAGGTACCCACTAAACATGAAACATTGGCAGTCTTTTTTGTAACGTTTCTCATAGAGACTTTTCTTGATATATTTTTAAAACAATGCTAAAATATTTCATAAATGTTTAAATTTTAACATCATTAACATTCCTCGCATATATCTACAAATGAAGTTTTATGTACGCTAGATTACTTCAATTAGCAGTTACATAAACATCTTGTATACTTCTTTTTAGTTACTTCCTGTGACAAACATTTATACGATGATAATTTGTATAACTCACAATAATATCGCATACAGATCAGCACAGTAATGTGTACAAGTTACACATCTTTAAGATGGCGGCTATCTTTAGTATTTACATCGCAAAAACCTGGCAGACCCGCTTGCTACTTACGTAACCGGTAGTACTGTATTATGGAGGAGTCTGATGCTTAGTTTTAAGTATTTCATCAAAGTTCTTACTTTTACCTTTGATATTGATTTAGACCATTGTATTATCATACTTTTTCTATAAAATTTCTTGGAATTAGAATAGAAGTTTAACTTGTCCTTCTAAGCTTTTAACTTCAAGTTTATTTATTTCTATTCTGTTTTATATAGATGAAATATATAAAATATTCCATATAAAATTTAGATAAAAATAAAAAGGTATGAACGTCACATTTAGTTCATTAAGGACCGATTCCACCGTTGTGTTAAACGGAGATTAAAATGACATTGTTATTGTAAAAATGTCATTTTAAACTTCGTTTAACACAACGGTGGAATCGGTCCTAATATAATTTTATTTTATGGACTTTATAATAACATCTACAAGAAGTAAAAAGACTTTTTTGGATATAACAGGAATGTCTTATCTGGTTTGTTAAAAAGACGTTGAATAACGTAACAAGTAGCGCTATAATATAACCGCAACGTCTACATTGTTTCATTACAAAAGTAAACGTCCCTACTTTGGGCTTAGACGGTTACGTGTCTATCCTATAGATGAAAACAAGAGTAAAAATGAGAGTTACAATGTAACAATGTGATGTAAAGTTTTCATTAATTTAACGTTTTTATGCATAGTGGGTATATTTATTTGGTAAGAATGAACGAAAAATATGTACTTTATTTTACATTTGGCTTAAAAGTGTCACTGGCTTCTCTAGCTTACATCGCACACCTAGGTACATATTATATTTTTACTGCAGGAGTTAAACTTACTTTGCTGCCGTCCTCGCATTGTTAGAGCGTTTGTCAAAGACATCTTAAAAAGGCTGTTGTGGAAAATACTAGGGTAATAAATATATACTTAATTAGAAAAATAAATTAACATAACCACGTTGTCTTAGTAGCTAACGCACTTACCTTCTGTTTTTGCAACCCGAGTTCAAATCCTGGCATTATCTTTTTTTTTTTGAAAAATATCGAAAATGAAAAATATGACTGTATTACTGTTTATATTTTTTAAAAACATTTCATCATACCCTAACAGGCAATTCTGCTATTTATTTAATACTATTTTGATTCAGAAAAAAATGTATAACTAGGTACCTATTTCCCACTCGATGAATAAAAATTCTTCTAACATAGAATCATATTGATTTTCAGAATTTTCGGTGTATATTAAAAAAACCTTAATAATTACCTATATATTTTTTTGCTCGTAACATTTATACAATTTGTAAAATTTGAATAAATAAACAACTACTCCCCAGACAGCACACCAAATCCTTTGGATATCTACTGAACATCCCAATATCCACTGAATGTCCAGTCCATGGTGGATATCTATTTTATATCCATGAAATGTAATTTATAGACATGCAAATGTCCATAAATAATTGTAATTATATAGCAAATTATTAAAAAATTACGCCATTGTACTCGCCATTGTGGCTAATAGTACCGTTGAGATATTTAAAATTAATTTTTTTAAAGGTGTATTCAATATCCCATGGACATCCACTATAAATATATCAAAGTCTAAGCGCGGACGCAAACCATCGTGGATATCTACTAGATGTAATTTTTGATTTTGCTTCCTAAGTATAGATGGCGATACCACTTTTGTATCTACTCATGCTTAACCCGCCGTAATTGAGTTTGATCGACATTGTTTCACAAACAGACCTCATCACGACTTCATTAGAGACTGAAGTCGAGAAGTTCCACTTATTGCTGAAGATTCCTAATAAGGATGATTTTCTCCTTAGTAGGCAAAATCAAAGGCAGATTGTTGGGAATATTTTTTACCTCTATTTTCTTTCGACGTTATTCAATAACCATTGGTTAATTATGAACCTCTACTAAAAATTATTATAAAATATTTATCTGAATTTCTATATCCTGGGATATAGACGGACATTTGGTTGGATATCCACAAAATATATTCTATGGATATATCTGTGATTTCTTGTATTGTCTGGAGATACTCATTAGATATTTTGCTGAATATCCATAGGATATCTTCTATATTCTGGATATAGACGGACATTTGGATATCCATATTAGTTCCACGGAATATTTCTGATATCCTGTGGATATATTGGATATCCACAAAATATATTCTGTGGATATCTCTGGGATTTGGTGTGTTGTCTGGGTCTTCGCCGCAAAAAAATAGCTATTCGTTAAAATGAGAGAAATCCGTAGATTTACGTGTAAATAGGAAATCGAATTTTCAAATTCTGTCAAATTTAGGAACAGGAACTTAAATTGGAAGAACAAAGCCTGCACTAAAAAGGAACATCAAAATTAAATTTAACACCTATTACATTCAACTACGACACCTTTTAATTTAAGAAAATCACTTAAAAATGATTTTTGATTAATACGCAGCTGAAACAAATGTTCCAATAATAATAGTTATTAAAATAGGTCGTTATTAATAAAAAATAATATAACTTATCATAGTACGCCTGTGGGAAACGTGACGTAGATAGCTGTAGATAGCTCGAAATTGACAGTCTGGCGTCCAAATTGTCATGCGCACCGACTGTTTTTTCGCCCATGTCGGCCTAGAAATTAGGAGTAGGGTTTATGTCATATAATAGCCATCCCAGTTTAATATCAAGGTCGGTGGAACTATCGCGTTTTCAAGGTCGTTTAGCATTCACCCGCAAACCGTCCGACATCCAGTGGAGCAGTTGAATATCAAATTATGCGTCGCATAAAACTTTTCAACTTTCCATTGGTTATCTAGCACTAGGGCAGTTTACAACATTTTTCTAAAAGTATAAAATAAATAAAAAAGATGTTCTTGCAAATGGCAACACCGCCGCAATCGTTCCTATCCATGGAGGAATTCCTATCATGCTAAACAACCTTGAAATCACGGTAGTTTGTGAATATGGCGGACAAGTGTTTCCGGTCTCCAGTGACGTACTGACCATAGATCTATAAATTCGTATTCTAGAAACTGGGTTTCAGAATCGCGTAATTTGCAAATCTAGAAAATTCAAGTTTACGGATTTTATGGGCGATTTCTCAAAGTCGACCAATAATAAAACTCGCTGACAAAGGTCATCCAATTTAGGGCCGAAAGCTCTGGTATCCCAAACAACGAAGTTTTAATTTTATTAACCTTATCCCCAAGAGAAGAGATCTAAAAAAGAACCAAACGAAATCAATGCTTTAGATCACTGATAAAATATGCTATAATTGTTTTTTTATTATTTGGTGTCATCGGCATCGACTGCTAAGGTCATTAGACTCGTGTTCTGTGTAGGCTTTGTTACTGTTTCCTAGCGCCACTTTAGGAACAGCACTGTTAATTAGAACCCAACAGTGAATGGTCGAGTGGTTATTAGTGATTGCGTAATTTGTGTTCCAATGACAGTGACATTTTATTCCTATTAAATAGTTTTAAAATTGTATTCATTTAAACAATTGGTTACATATCAAACTAGTATTAGACGACGATCTACAAACAATATTAAAAAAAGTACTATGCATTCACATTCTCGTGGCAATTATATGTCTCCGGTCACGTCTTGGATGAGTGATTGCTGGACTTAGCCAACTAGCGGTTAACCATCGACGATGAGAAATAAATGATGAATTGGAAGGAGTAGGGCATCCAAATAGTGACAATAGGCCATCCGCGTCTCAGTGCCGCCATGCGAACCCCAAAAGGAGGGAAAGCAAATTGGACCCAACCCTGATTGGAGGGAGCCAGTGGCTGGACCCAAGCCTGATTGGGGGAGTCTGCTGGAATCCCTCGGGGGTAAGCAGAGGGATGCCTGAAAGGGCGAAAAATGCATAAGAACACAAATTACGTTATACTAATTTAGCATATTCGGCGGTAAAGACCTAGAGTGAAATAATCGCAGCACAATGGCCACGGATGTACCTGTACTATTAAAACAATACAAGAAAAAAATAAAACAATGATTTTTTTTTAACAAAAGTGATTATTTACAATTTTTGTTGCTAATCTCAAACAAACATTTATATTTAAAACGCTCTCTAGTTTTTTTTTTTTCCATATAGCTTCTAAATTCTAACAATTCTGTAAATATGACCAACAAAAAGAAAATAAAGCTGCCACCTTGTGAATCACATTGAGTATCTAAGGTAACTTATAAGAATAATTTTAAAAAATATAGGCTTGCATTTCCATTGGACATATTTGTAATTTATCTTTGAGATTCACTTCATTTTTAATAAAGAGGAACGATAAAGAAGTCCTATGTATTTTCCTTTCACTGTTAATTGGAATTAATGCACTTATGTCTACCTGCAAATAAAAACATAAATTGTAAACATTCGATAATAGGATACACAGACATTTAATATATGTTAAAAAAACAAACTGTTAACATTGAAATAAAAATAATGTGTTCAAAATCATTGAAATGTCTTCAACTTAAAGAAAAATTTAGAGAACTTAGAATTTCAATTCAATGAAACCAGCTTTTTAAGTTTAAAAGTGAATAAAATTTAAAAATCAATACTGCTGAGTGGCGATAAAGAAAATTACAAAATACGCTAAATTAGTGATGATATAATTATGGTTCCACTGACAATTACAGTGACAACTTTTTTTGAGTTAATTTTGTTGGTTTTGTTTACCTAAATTATATTTCTAGAGTAAGTAGATAAAATGCATCAAGTATATGATCATTTAGTAACCTTTAAACTACTTTTTATGATCTGCAAATAATATTTAATAAAAATTGTAAAAATGTATGTCAAATATTGTAAAAAGTATGGTTAGAATTAACTGTCAGTGGAACCATAAAACGTCAAACTTTTATGGCGTATAGCAACAGTAGTAAAAAATGACGTCTATCAAATTCCTTCTTCAATTTATTTCTGTGAAATTATTAAAAGTGAGCACTTACTGATCCATCACTTAAAGGAAATTGTTCCAAGATTGTTCTATCGGCATAACAAGTATTTAGGAACTCTCTGTGAATGACTAATCCGGTATAAGTGTTGTTTTTAAAATGTACATTTCTTTTAAACAGCGGAATTGATATATCTACTCCAAAATCTTGTGAAAAAGTAAATGAACTTTTTGATATTTCATCATCATCATCTTCAATTGTCAGAAGCCGTAACATTGGGTTTAGTAAACTTTGAGAAGCCACATAAGCAGCTAAAGTAGGAAATCCAGCAGGATTATTTCTGTCACCTGCCTAAAATAAGTTAAATAAGCTATTAGTTACATGAACTTTTCAATGTATGTGTAAGTATACACTAATAAATGTTTAAATGGCCGTTTAGACATGGCTACTGCATGTTGTGTCTGTTCTGTATTTAGAGTTCTATGAGTATTATTATTTGTCGAGTACTATAATCATATAATTTTTGTTTTAATTAGATTCTTTACGTAGGTGATTAATAGGTATTTGTGTATTAATATATCTTATCGCTAAAAAGTTAAGCTACGATTTTCTGAATTTTTTTTTATAAGTCGGTATACAAAGTACCTATCTGCATTTGAAACATTCATTATATATATTTTTTTAGAAAAGCAATACAGGTCAATTGCATCTCAATTTGGAAGAATATGTAAATTGAAAAAATACATAACTCATATTGCTGTTGGAAAAAACATGGTTCGCAGTACCTTCTCTGGTAACAAAGTGGCAAGATACGGTCAAGAGAATGAAGTCATCACAATTCAGTTTTAAATACTTGACAGCGCTAAGAGCGAGGGGTAAACCACTAAGTTTAAAATGTACTCGTTTTTCGAAAATTCGCATAAAATCATATAAAGCTTCGTTCACAATAAGAATCCTGGACTGAATAAAGGTCTATGCCCACTATACCGTACCATACTATGACCGTGCCCGGACCTGATTTTTTTTTTTGTATAGATTCAAATGAGGATGGTGTGGTCGATGCCGGGCTGGTCTAGTGGGCATTGTCTCATTTAAATCTATACAAAGAATATTTTTCTGCCTATGCCGGTACGGTCACGGTCATAGTATGATCCGGTGTAGTGGGCATAGACCTTAAGAATTAATAGCAATTGTTCCCATGCGCAATATTAAAAACTGAACTCTTGATTCTAATCATGCGTTCGTTATTGGTTCTGGACCGCTTATGTTATATAATGAATCGGGCATGCACTAAAAGTACATTTTGACTTCTGGAATATTCCGTATCTCCATCTGGTACTTCCCGAGCCCTTTTAACGCCGTATCGAAAGCTTGTGGTGCAAACCATATTAATAAAAGTGGCACCCGAGTATTTTTCGTCACAATATTTGTATATCTAGTAATTAATTAAAGTTATAAACTTACTTCACAGCCTTCTTTTTTCATTTCCAAAACAAGTTTAAATATGTGTCTAATTGGAACATTATCCATTACACCTTGTCCTAATCCTAAATTATCGTCTTGATTTAACCTACGATCTAGCATTATTTCGATTTGACCAGAATTTAGAGAGCTGCAACCAAGAGGACTTCCAGTGGCTACTGTGAGTCGCATAAATTTGTCTTCAATATAAGCCATCGTTGGCATTGGATAATAATTAGCTTGTAAAGGCAACTTCTTTAACATCTTCCTTCTCATCATCTGTTCGAAAATAATATAGATATATAAAAATAAAGCCATAATTATTACCATTATTATTATATTAAAGCGGGTGTCCCCATAGAAAAATTAAAGGAGAAGGTTTGAATAATAGGCGGAAATTGTTTCATATCGCGCTTCACGCGCTGCGATCACTAAATATAAAGCCGTTTTTACACCCATATAATAATTAAAAAATTAATAAATATTAAAGAAATCAATAACTTAATATATAAAGTTAAAGCTAAATTTGAATATTAAGAGGTGGTGTAAATCTGGCTTTGATAATAAATTAGCTTAGGTTGCTGTTGCACTAAAAACTAAAACATGACAGATATGATTCTGGAAAATGTAGGTGAGTAAAATTTAATTAATCTTAATTATTTTAGATTTAAGTAATTTATAGCTGTAAAAATATACTGAGGTTCTAAGGATGTCATTAACTTATAATGCCTTCATCTAATTTACTTGCAAAAATAAATGTGAATTTTGAGAGAGTCCCACGGACATGACGTTCAGGGCCAGGTTCCGGTGTACCAGGTTTTGGAGAGTCGTTTTCGACGGGAAATTCGGATTCAGCGCCCCAAACCCCCTCCCCCCCCCCCCCTAATACGATTTTAGGTTCGTCTTTTTCGATTTTGTGAGGAAAACCCACGTCCAGGTTCCGGTGCACCAGGGGATCGTTTCTGACGTGAAATTTGAATTGAACACCCAAAAAAGCCCCTCTAATGATTTTCGGGTTGTTTTTGGCGATCTTGTCAGGAAATTTCTCGGGGATGACGTCCACGTCCAGATTCGGTCGCACCAGAATGCCGATGCCACATTTGAATTCAGCACCCCAAAAAACCGCCATAACAATTTTCGGCTCGTCTTTTTCGATTGTGTGAGGAAAACTCACGGAGATGAGGTCCGCGTCCAGGTTCCAAGGCACCAGGTGTTCAGGGGGTTGTTTTCGACGTGAAATTTGGATTTAGCGCCCCAAAAAATGCCCTCACAATGATTTTCGGGTAATTTTTGGCGATTTTGTCAGGAAAATTCTCGGGGATTACGTCCTTGTCCTGGTTTCGACATACCAGGTATCCGGTGGGTGTTTTTATTATAAATGATGGTTAATAATATTATATATTATTTGTATATATTTTATAGTGGACAAGGCAAATGATAGGCAGTCATCGCTGCCTAGGAACACACGGGGAAGTAATCTAAGGATTATGCCTCCTTCTTTAAATTGGGTTTAAAAGCCCGTTTTTTCTACTCCAAGGGCAAGCTATTCAACGACCAAAAGCAAAATTAAATTACGATGTCGCCATTGAAAACATACACCTGTTCAATTAATAATTTAAAAAATTGTCAAAAAGAAATAGGTTAATACAGATTAAAAAAGAAATGTATTTTTTTATAATTCTTACTTGATATCCATTAACGTCGGTAAAAAATTCATTGGAACTATTGATATTTGTCGATAATCTCATAATCAGTTCAAAGTTATTCATTTGGCTAATATCTACCAAATTTTGAATTTCTATTCCCATACCATCAGCACCTAAAATTCAAAATATGGATAAAAGCATAATAATTGCTGTTATTTAGAATTTAAAACATACAAGGTCAGTCAAGGAAAACTCTACATCCCGATTTTTTGAATAAAAAATAATAATCTGGAAGAAACTGGGACCCATCTATGTTTGATTCGGGGAATTATATTTTTGTGATTTTTGTAGTTTCAACCCCCTAGCGGAAGGAAGGACAGTCGTCGAAATTTAAATAGGGGAAAGGGGTCTTACGATACATCTTGTGTGAGTACTTTGAAATGGAGAAAAAGTACGGATGACGTTTGGAATCATTGATCTCTGTTAAATAAATAAAAACTACCGAAATGTAGAAAAACATTTTTTTAATTGTTTTCCAGAGTAGCGTTTCTTAAACTGTAAAAAAGTGAATATGGTGAATATAAAAACAGAATTTAGAACTAGTCTGAAATATTAAAAGTTGCAAAAGACATCTACTAATATCGGTCTTATCGTTTTTCCGAATATATCGGAGAATCCCAGCTTGCTAAATAACCATTGTTAATATTTTGTTTAATTTTTTTTGCTAAATTGTTTAAAATTTAAAGTTTTCAGATGTTGATTACAAATGTCAAGTGTCAACCTGTTGACATTGAATGTCGGAAGCACTGATCTGTATTATTTTACTGGCCGATTTGGGCAAATAATATGGCGGACCGGATGTTATTTAACATAACCTCTATTTCCATTTGTCATCACATTTGTCATTTAATTGTGTCAACAAGTAACGATGAGATGTTTTTTTATTTATTTAGGTAGTATCGAATAGCATTACTATGATATAAACAATAAACGTTCATTCGTGAAGACACAATATGCTTCACGTTTCCATTTTTATATTTTCTTTCATAAAAAAATCAAATTATGGGTGAATTGGCCCGAAGGACATTGCCCGCAAAAGGAATAGAAGAAGAATAAGAAGAAAAACTAATCAAATTATAGGTTAGGTATGTCAAATTATCCCAAAATTCAGTTATGTGATCCCACCATAATTTGCCCAAATCGGCCAGCAGTGTTGCACTTCCGGTCTCCTTGGTGGAACGGATTTTTAGTATGTTAAATATAGTCTATATCCTATCCAGTAAAAGTCGGAAGTCAAACAAAAGAAGAGTTTTTATTACCTGTAGTATTATAGAGAAATACAGTGTGCTGAATGTAAGGTAACTGCACTATCACAGAACACATAATTGGTCCTTTTATAATATTGACAACTACATTTTCTAATGGAATTTTAACTGCATCCCCATCTGGTAAAAATAGATATGCACCACTACGTTCGGAATTAGTTCTTTTTCTGACTCCATACCTAAAATTTTATTTTTAAATATAATTTATAGTGATTTCAATAATTTTAATTGTTCATTAGACAAATTATATTGGAATCGCTAAGTTTAGTCTTATTTAAGTAGATCATTTTATAAATTGAAAAGAATATTAAAAATCTTGCAACGCTAAATTTGGCGATCTAGGCGGCCATTCAATAGACTCTTCACCCAATCGACTTAGGATAATTATTATTGTCTAACCAATGTCTTATTCAGCAGCACAGTGAGGAGGTGATGTCTTCGTGGAAATATGTTTGACCCACATCGTGACAATATAGTTTTTTTTTTACTTACTTTGCAAACTCTAAATGTACAGGAACTGTCTTCTTCCCAACTGTCAGTGCTTTCAGCAAACCAAATTTATTAAAAGATGCCATTATCCTTGCATTTTGTAAAGTAAATTCAGTGGGAGTAGGCGATACTTCTGGAGTAAAACCAAGTGGAGGTCGGACGTGACCATAATAATTTAAAATTCTTATTTCTGAAAGCACAGTTTCTCTGAAATCAATTATTTTATATCACTTTTATTGCCATTAATTTAATTAATTTAGGTACCTTTAATTATTTAAAAAGAATAACATACTACCTCATTTAGTACAATGCCACTTTTTAAAAATATGTTGAATATATTAAAAAAATGTAATATGTACAAGAAACAAGTGCACGTAACACTTATATCGATATTTCTTTGTATTTGTGAGTATTTATTATGAATAAAGTTGTTATTATTATCATCATCATCGTTTAAAATTATGTTTTATCACTGTTATTTAGATATTATATTTTAGAACCAGTTCTAAATACAACTATTCTTTGTAACCTTACATTATATAAACTGTAGATAAAATATATGATCCCACTATTCACACCGACTAATCACAGTTGAGTACGTCACATGTCAGAGTGTTGTTCGTCCAAATTTAAATCAAATCTATTGTGTCAACGAGAATTAATTTGGTATTTTACTGAATCAAATTGTGGAAATTAATGTTGAAAATGCCAAGGTGTGTTGTAAAAAGCAGTATTTATAATAAAAGTGCGAATTGTGACGCCTATAATGGAAAATTACATTTATTTCGGTAAGTTATTTAATTTATAGAGATTCTATCGACGGCCATATTCGTTTATTTGAAAATAAACAGAACCGAACTTGCTCATTGGTACATGTTGCAAATGTAAAAACATACTGTTTGACAGTTAGTTGACAGCTGTTAACTGTCAATATCAGTTTTGAACTCAGCTGCCTCAAAAGCAGATATTTACATGTGGATTTTTCAATTTTGATTATTGCTTGTTATTTAACAGCTAGTTGACTGCTGTCATCTGTCAATATTAATATATTGGCATTGAATTTGAATGCAGCGACCCCGAAAACAAAAAATACCGCAGCAAATACTAAACTTTCAAGAGATTGCCATTTTATGTAGTAAATAATATTCAATCTGTGGAGCTTTGGAGCTCCGTAGGAGCCAAAATAAGCAAAATTGAGCTTTGTGCCCATTGAAACTTTTGCTCAGAATGCCAAAACGAACAACATATCCAAATTTCAGCCAATTTGACCGGGAGCCAATTTCCATAAGATTTCTGCGGGGTTCTTTACGTAAAATCAGCAGTTATTTGGACTATCCAGTTTTGAAATGAAGACCCGGTATAAAAAATCGGAAGGATATATTATTTCATACACATATTATTTCATATTTTGTTTATAAAAAAATTAATGTGAGTTAAAATACAAAATACTAGACCACCAGAGCTCTCCTTAACCTAAAGTCGGCTTACCTAAAAATAATGATTTTTTAATTGACTATAGAATTATGTACTATTAATAACACTAAGCAATATATATGAACAAGCAACATTCACTATTTTCCATTTATTTTATGTCTTAAAATATACGCGCCCCTGGTTTACAACTTTCTAGGTAAGCTACCAATTCTATTCATCGGTAGGCGTGTTCGTAGCATTATAAATGCGCGCCCTTGGTTCTTTAGATTTGGCGTTTACTGTATCATATTATAGCTGGTCGCATTTTTAATTTCAAATAGTTAAAACTTTCTATTTGTTAAAAAATGAATTTTTAAAATTTTTAATAAATTTAGAATGAAAAATTTTAATAAATTTAGAATGAAAAATTTTAAACAATTCACTACTTACAATCTACATAATTGCAGTATCAGATTTAACTCTTTATCTATGCCATCTAGAGAAAGAAGCTTCATTTATAATACAGTAGCTATTTTAATCGTTACAAACCTTTAGTTCATTTAAACAAAAAAGAAATGTTACAAACCTCGGTACATCGCTGTCTAATAAGGCATTTATGGTATATCCTCGAAGACTTAGTCCTGGTATATTTGCAATAAATGACAGTTGATATTTTGATTGTGACATTGAGGAACTATATTCAAATATAGGAGACAGCTGACAAGCAATTCGTTCCCCTTTAAAGTCAATTATCTAAAATAAAGTTTTATAAAATAAAATAACACCATTATTAAACACAATATTACCTCTACAAAAGGGGTAGAAATATGAAATGTGACGACTTCTCGCCTTGTAAATGGTAAAGAATTATATATCACTACTTTTTTACTACGAATCTCTGGAATTCCGATGGTAATTTGGAAATGTTCCGAATTTACATTTTGCGAATGCATTATATCATCAATATTATAATACTTGGAATTTATTGTAGACACACTTGATCCAGAAGTTTTTAACAATAGATGAGTACAAATTTGTATAACTTTTTGACATCCTTGTATAGCAGATAACATTCTGAAAAAATGTATTTATATATAGTTAATTGTAATTAAAAAAAAGTGTGTTTTTAAAATCCATTTATCAAAAGTGAAATAAGAATAGGTCACTTAACAATATTTATATAGTTCATTGGACCGTGATAGTCGTAATGTCAAAACAAAGTTGGTATAGATGAATTTGGAATGCTGTCATTTGTTATTGTGTCAAAGTTCGTTCAGATCACGATAAATTACATTTTAAGTCGAGATTATTGGTGGTTACGGTTGAAACTGCTCAGTATAATTCTCCATTATTCACCATGTATATTTATTGTGTTTGATTGATTTTATTATTTTGTCACTTATTGACATTGAATGTAAAAATTAAAACGATTATTAATATATATTTTGTCAAAGTCTCTAAACTTATTCCTGAGTTATTTCTACAGTTACAACACAGGAGGAAATTTGTCACTATTCTTCACACAAAAAAGAGCAGTATATCTTAATAATAACGAACGTTATTTTGAACAATTATCATTGTAGTAAAGTATTGCCGATATAAAAATTGTCAATTGACGCTAAATGTTTGATGGTCCTTTCTTTAAACTTTAAACAATCATACCGAGAGTAATTTCTCTATCGCGAGATTTTTTATACCAGATAATTTAACAACGGACCTTTAAATAATGTTTTTTAAGTTACTTTAAATTAATAATTAACAATCATAACTCACTTTTTTCCGTAATCAATCACAACATGATCTTTGGCAGTTCCTGTAATTCCATCATGATGCTGAAATAAAGAATGCGACTGTCGAGCGGATTCAATTGTTTTTCCTAAATTAGTTCTTTTATCCTCAATCAAAATAGATTCCGGATCTTTATGTAAATAAACTAGAGTATGAATGATCTCAGCTGCTCTGCAAATTTTAAAATTATTATTATTACTTGTAAATAAATTCAATTCTAAGGGACGGACACATGTTAAGAGTAGATGGAGACCACCAAGGTCCTTTCAATTAACTCATACAAGATGAAACCTAAACTGATACTTTTTTCACTGATTAAGTTGAAAAAATCTCAAAAATAAGAAAGTTACGTTAAAATGTATCCAATACGGTCCTGCAATTAATGTAATTGAGTAATTATAGTTTTCTCACACTTATACTTAAGTGACAGATTTACCAGTAAGTCATGCAAATCTACATGACTAAAGAAATTGAAATTCTCTACTAGACTACTCTTTTCATCCAAGTTCTCTTAGAACTAGGGTTGCCACCTTTCTGAAAAGTGAATAAAGGACTATGATGCTGACGGGGGTCCGATATAAAAAAAGTCTTCAGCTTTTATATATTTTTGTACAAACCATGTCCCTTCCAAAGATATGTGCTGTAAAAAAAGACATTTGCCGTAAAAAATGACATTTTAAGCTTTAATAAGTTACAAGGACATTTTGCTTCAAAAAAGAACTGTCCTTTTCAAAAAAGGACAGGCGGCAACCCTACTTAGAACCGTGACGCATAGAAATTATATGAAATATCCTTTTTTTTCCTATATAAACGCATTTTGAAATTTTAATGCATGAATAACTTATTCCTTTTAGAAAATAAAAAATATGGTAAAAATAGATTTGACAGCTGGTTTTTTTATGTCTTATCGTCTTGAATATTCAAACAAAATGTTAATTAAGTTTGAAGCACTATCTTACCTAATGTAGGAGAGAAGAATTCGGTCCATCCTTTTATAAAAAGGCCTGGAAGTGTAGTAGCCACTCCAATAATGGTCGTCACGATCAGCATAGGTAAAAAAATCTCCAGTTAAAGTAGGAAAATCTGATAATTTTTTACTTTTATGAAGTTCGTTGAAGTAATCAGTAAGTGTCCCGAATTGAGCCTAAAAAGTTTTTTTTTTACAAAGGAAGATTTACTGTGGATGGAAGCCTCCGAAACGCCCATACTTATATAATATTTGACTTTATCGATATTTTTAAAATTTTAGAGAGTTTTGTTCATTAATCTACCTGTATATTTTTTAATAAAGCTTCAATTAAGAATAAAGAGTTGGTTAAGTTGAAAATGAGCGGGATAATCTCATCGCCTTCCACTGCGACCCAGATGGATCTATTATGGCTTACCTGAACATGTAGTTTAAAATTTGAGTTCATATAATCAAATAATTTCTGATAATTCTGGAATTGAACATCCCATTCTGTTGGATGGTCATATCTAAAATCATCTCCGAGAGGAACAAGCAGCACATTACTTTTAAAAAGTTTGGATTTTTTTCTATATTGGTCCAAAAGTAGTTCTGCTCTAAAAATCACAGTTTACTAAGAATTCAATACTGGTAAGATCAAACTTTTAGTCCTGTTTTGCTAGAGTTAAAGTGGATAATAAATAGCGCTAGCGAGTTTCAACACACTGTGCACTGTTTTATATATGTAGTACTTAGAGAAAATAATTTCTAAATAGTACAGTATATCTAACCTAATACAAAAGATGAGAATTAAAAAATATAAACAAAAAACTTTTGCAATTAAATATATCACAGTCCAAGTAAAATTTATTATAGTTCTTGCACGAGCGCTCAATAAACGCACTTTGTCCGTAATTGGTTCATTGTCTTTTTACGTTCAAAAGACATGTGTGCCGAGTCAGTCAGGCAGGTACCAATAATTGAATTCTTTCAATCAGAGACAGTATTCAAAAATAAACTAAAAGTTAAATTGTAAAAATATTTACAAAATGTGCAACTCCTGGTCTAAAATAATTCCTCGGAACGTTTTGGGTGGATGATTCGGGGACCGTATCTTGTAGCTATGTTACCCGAAAAAGGTACTAGGAACCATGTTTTTCGCAACAGCACTACGAGCCGTGTTATTTTTTATTTTGCATGTCCTTCCAAATTGAGATAAACTGCCTTTCTAAAAAAAATTAAAAATTCAAATGTCCACAGGTATTTTGTATACTTATAGGAGATAATTTTCAAAAAGTTGCAGTCGACTAACACAAACAATAACAATAGTTTAGTGACATGAGAAATCACAGTTTACCAAACAAAAATAATTATATAACACTAAAAACAGTTTAATGAGACAATAAATAATTAAGTTTACAAAGACACTTACATAATGAAATTTATAACAACGCTGAAAAGCACACTGAACAGAAAAATAATCAGTTAATACACCACGCCACTGGAAACTTACAAATACTCAAACTGGCACTACTACGTCGCAAATAAGACCCATAAGACCAGCATGTTGTGGATACCCCTTACCTTCAAACGTTGCCGCTAGAGAGCTGCTCCAATCAGGGCCATATTTATCAAAAAATTGTATGATTTCCGGAAAAAATAAACATTTGAAATTTTAGGAACATTAAGGTAGCTTCAGTATCTATCGATTCTTGAAGTTAGATTTTTTAAAAATTATAAATTTAACAACTTTTTATTTTTATCTAGGAAAGTTAAATATAACAGTACTCATACAGCCGTATGCATAGTCGATCGCCAGCGACTCGCCAGAGATTCATTTCGGTGTATCGCCAGCGATTCGCTGGCGATCCGCCGGCGAAAGCCCAAAAAGCTGGCGACTCGCCGGAGATTGTCACCGGAATGTCATTTCACGCAAGTTTTCATGTTCTTTTATAGGGAAAAATTTGATATTCGTTCATTATTTTTTGAGTTTTAAGAAATGAATCATGAATAAAATGTGAGAGATACCGGTGATAATCCCTATAAAAGAAAATAAAAACTTGCGTGAAATGACATTCCGGTGACAATCTCCGGTGAGTCGCCAGCTTTTTGGGCTTTCGCCGGCGGATCGCCAGCGAATCGCCTGGCGATACGCCGAAATGAATCTCTGGCGAGTCGCTGGCGATCGACTATGCATACGGCTGATAGTCTTTTATGTAAAACCTGTTTCCAAAATTTCTTTTAAACCACTTGAGAAATATAGATACAGCGTTAATTTAAAAATTACGGGAGTTATGTATTCCTCTTAAGCAGTTTGTTCTTAGCAAAACAATAGTGTTTGTCTCTGGAATTATTCACTAATGTTTGAACAAAAACGCTTGTTATGTGTAATTTTAGTGCATTTTGTTTAGCTATACAACAAACTTTTTTTATTTATATTCCATATGTTTTATATTTTTTATTTTATATTTAATAACTATGCATGTCTATAAAACTTTTCTTCATTAACATATTTATATTAGTTTTATTTTATAATTTTCATGTATGTTTGTTGTTTTAGATATTATATCGCAAATTATCAAAACTATTGATTATAAACTTTATTCAACCAATTTTTGTTTTTATATATAAAATATAGGCTTTTTTTAAGAATAAAGCTTTTATTATTAATATACGCACAAGAACATAGTATAGCACACTCAAGATACAGGGCCTGTTGGTTACTCAAATTACAACATACTATATTGTTTCTTCTCGTACATATGTGAATGCTATTTATTATTCACTTTAACATAAGCAAAGCAGGCCCGAAGGTTTGATCTTGCAAGCATTGTACAATAAAAATTTTCCAAGCATAACTATATACCTATAGCCAAAAGTAATGAAATAGAAAAATAGTAATTTGTACAAAAAGAATGATGATTTTGGCTAGCTATATCACACGAAGACAAAGTTTAAGTACGACGTCAGAATCTCCCAACAGAGTCCTTTTATTCAATAAATAACGCCTTGTTAAAAAAATAAACTTTGTAATCAAAATAGTAATAGATATGAAATAAGGCTGCAAAAGGAGTGGACAACTTGACGCCAGGACCCGTATTCAGTAACTGTGGGAGTAGTCGTGTAGATGTACTCCTTCATAATTTAGCCTTACTATGCATGTCACTCGCTTAAAATTATAAGGCGTCATGTGAGTGGTGAGAACAATGTTGTCAGACGTACGATAATTATCGTATTTGTACGATAATCTCTAAATGTTGATAAATGCACTCATCTCAACTTATAAAGGACCCTGCACTTTTCCTTTTGTAAAGTGGTGACCCGCAAATTTTCTGAAACTTTGTAATGTTATTGTACACAACCTAGTAACCATAAGTGTCAGTGGGTCCAACTCAAACCTATGACTAGTTTTTTAAAAATATTTATCTCATGAGGATGTCCTTTCAAGAGGTATCAAAATACATGCTAAATGGGGGGCGCCAGATGTAAGTGTTAATTTACATAATAACGAATTTTAACAGGTTGTGCGCCAGATGTTGATACCGGTGTCCTGTCAAGCGATATCCTCCGTTTGTAGTCTTTTTTCCTAGCTACTGGCGGTAACATATTTTTTGACGTTTGAAAACAAGTAAATAATAAACAAGTAAATAATAAGCAAGCAATTGCTAGAGTTGAAGCGATTAAATACCTTTCAACGATATTTTGTTCTGATATCATTACTGGCGGAATTTTCCACGGACAGTGTAATCCATAATTTGGAAGCCGCTTAAAATCAAATTGGCAACATATTTTGGGATCTGGACCGCAAGTATGTGGAATATCATAAGAATAAAATGGCATCATGTGTGTAAACATCTCAGTGTTACTATTACCATCTGAAAAATAAAAAAAATAAATGTTTTTTTTATGATTGTCTTCAAAAAAAAAATTATATTATTCTCGGATATTATTGTCAGTATAATTACTAAACGTTGTTGACCATTTTAATTATAAAAAGGAATCTAATTCTAAACTCAAATGTAACCAAGGCAAGAAAATAAGAAAATTACACAAGTGACTATTTCCCTCCAGATAGCAACTACTCTTTTGGCTCATACCTCAACAGGCATTGATGATATCAAAAGAAAAACAGCAGTGATTGAAAATTATTCTTAATAGTACAACTTTAATTTTATGTACTAAGGAGAAGGTCATTTATATTTTGATTACAAATATAATTTTCTACCAATATTGGATAAGTTACTTAAATAGATATGAAAAAATAAGCTGTCGAAGAATTGTGAAAAAATGACCTACTCAAAATATGTACATGATCATTTTATATGTACCTAAATCTGATCTGGTTCTATACTATCAGTTTTTTTATACAAATTTTGTTACCACAGTGTTACATTTACATCACTGTTAATGTCTTATTTCTAAATTTCTAAACTCGGTAAATATTATCACTTAAAATCTTTTCATTGATCATATAATGAATACATAAGCATCATACCCCATAGCTGTTTCCATCTAAATTCCAACTGTTGATTCCTGGCTAAATGTTTTTTAACTGAATAATGAACACGCTGTATTAATACATTTTTTAAGCCCATTTCTTTAAGTAAAAAAGGCATCGTTAAACTCATTCCAAACGGATCAATAGACCAATGACTAATAGGAGTATAATTCAAATTTTCTTGTAGCCATTGATGACCATCTATAAGTTGATTCATTATCGAAATCCAATGTGAATTTGCTTCATCATTCATTACCCAACCACCAGTTACAATTTCTAATTGGTTGTTTCGTAATAATCTGAAACAAAATTATTGTATTGTTAAAAATACAAAGCGTTTTTAACAGTAAAAATAAATTAAATAAATAATGACCCAGTTACAAATCCCTTCAACAACGTCATGTTTTCAATCCTAGAACATTATAAAAGTATTGATGAAGTTTAAAAATATTTTTAGCACCTTTTGACAACAGAAAAAAGTGATAATATACCTTTTAACTCTTTCACGATCTTCTTCGACAAGCTCTTCCCACCACATTGAAAAATAAGAAATTTCTGCCCAAATAAATTTTCTTCTGGGTTCTTCACTTAATTTAGTTAACATATTGTCTAAAATGTGTTTGGTTTGAGTAACATAATACTCGTCAACTGTTTTTATCCAACCTGGATCATTATGAGAATGTGGTACAACAAAAACCTTAAAAAAATTAGTGTAAATAACAATTATTGCTATATAAAATATTTTTTCTAATTTGAACATGTAAAGTGACATTTTTTATAATTGCAGCAAGTGCAACTAACAATGCACGAAAGTAATATTGGTCGCATAGATGTCAGTAATGTTTTACCAAACATAATTTTATAAATAATCTAGTCAAAATTTACTGCTATTAACTTTTATTCAATTAGTTAAAACAATAAGAGTTTATATCATTAATCAATAAAAGGGACATAATATAAAGACTATTTCAAAAGTTCCAGATCAAAACCTTTTTTTGCCTTTTCCTCAAAACTTAACTTTTGCTTCATATTACGTCTACTTACAACTTGTTTTTCTTTGGAAAATTTGCTTAATTTTTGACTACAGTCACATAATAATTCTTATTTCAAATAAAGCTCCTCTAAAGCAACAAATGAAAAGTATAATTGGAACTATAATTATTGGAATTGAACAGGAATTGTTGGAATTTACATTAGAATTGTTGGAATTATTGAAATTGCTAATTTTTTATTGGAATTGTTAGAATTTACATTGGAATTTTTTAAAATTTGTGAAGCCAATTTCGCAGCTGACCCCTCGGTTTTCCTTTATATCTAGAAAATGATGGATCGCTGGGAGAAAATTATTCTTTGGCAAAATTAAAAAAATGTCCTACAAGATTATTGTTATTAATTTATTTTCTATTCCTGCTTGTTTTTAAGATATTTACCTCACCTTACCTTTTTTTGACAAACATTATCCTAATCACAAAATTAAGATAGATCTTGCTTCTTGGTCTTATTAGGTACATACAAATACTAATTATCAAATTCGGAAGGAGCTCAAACTAGATACCAAAAAAATATATAAATTAAAGAATAATTATGTACCTTTAGTTTATTATGACGATTCCATTCTGTTTCATCCACATCAATTTTCCATCCTTGCTTCCAAACACCTCCATCGATATTATCAAAATTTAATCTATCATATAAATCTAGCATCTGTATATCAGATTTTATTGCGGAGTTTAATTGAAATGAACATGTGCTTTCATAAAATAAGTCATACTTCATTTGGGATTGATTGAAAGGAATTCTATGACTTATAGAATTAGTTTCAAAACTTGGCTGTAACATATTCTTCATGGCAATTTTTATCTCATGTACTGCATTGTGATGTTCATTTAAGTCATCTTCTAATTTTTTTATTTTATGTTCAAAGTGCAGCCACTTGTTCTAAAATAATACAGCATAATTAAAAGGATCTATTTGTCCATACTTTCAATAGAATAGTAGATTGGGAGGCTCCTTAAGGGTGGCTAGAGTATTTTGAGGTTTTCTTTTAATTTTTGAACAATCACCAGCTATGCAATGGGAAAAAATCTCTAAATCTGCACAAGACCACATACATGACAATATTTCATCATTATATATGTGTCAAATTTGAGTTTTTATTTTGTGATTAAAAAAAAATCTGATATATCCAACACATCACTCTCCAGTAAAGTTATCAAATTAGAGGAAGCGTGCTGGGCCCATAACCTGTAGCAGATGGCAGTCTAAACTCTTGTAAAATAAAGTTTGTAGGGATTCGGCAAAACTCTTTATTATAAAATGAAATTACTTTTCAAAATTCTGTCAGTATATTTTTAAACTTCAAACAAACAAATATATAGACTATATGAAATAAGGGACCTAAAAATTACAAAATGCTAAAACTCTACATGTTCCAGTTATTGTCACACCCTGTCAATTACTGGTCCACAAGCAAATACTGATACACTGTGTTGTACTGTCTAAAAAATCTATACTTGCTGCATTTGAATATCCACATTTCCTGCATTTTTACATTTCGAGCGTTTCTTTATCCACATTGGACACATCTGTCACCAGTATACCCAGTTTAAATATTGTTGTTCTATTCCAATTGTTAGACCAAAGCTGAAGCTCTCACACTCTAATCAGATTTTTTTTTTTTTATTTTGCAAACTGTTCTACAGGAAATTCCCAATTAAAGAATAGGCAAAATATGACAAAAGAAATATCCCAGAAAAATACAAAAAAGTACAAAACAAAAAATAAAGATTTAAGAAAGAAAAAACAGACTATTTAAAATGATAAAATAATCACAAAGTTTTATGTCCAAAATTCTAATGTTAAATATTAATGACCCAATTATGTCACACAAATTGTTATCAAAAACACTCAAAATTTAGATACATTAAAAATAGTCAACTATTTATCAAGGTCTCCTTATATTACCCTTGAATATTTCATTGGTTGCCATGGAATAGAATAGACAATCATATTATTTTACGAACTATGGATAAAACAGTATTTTAAATAAATTTTAGGTATATGTAAAATATTAGTACTATATACTTACATCCTGCAGTTCTTGTGTAATTGACGATCTTTTGTTAGGATAAGCTGTTAGATAATTAGCTGAATACGCTATAAAAAGAACTGCTATTAATATTAGAGATCCAAAAATTGCTGCTGCCTGTTTTAATCTCATTATTTATTTTCTTCACTGAAAAAGAAGTAATTTATAAAAAGAACATTTATGTATATTGCTATGTTTAAAATTACTTAATTAGTTCCATTGGTAAATATTCATTTCGTAGACATGTGGACTTATACTGGTTATGGAATGGACATTTATTCAATACAGAAAATTTTAATATTAATATAAGATAATAATTAATAATAAGACAACCATACACCACACCATAAGTTTTTGAAATTTGTTGTCACTTTTGTTGTAAACAAATCATATGTGACGTATGTCAAAAATGTGGATGGGTATTGCGTGTTCATGATTACTCTTTTCACTCCGTATCTAACTTCAGTCTATGTTAATCATTGTAACTCTGTGATGTGAAGTTAGTCTCGGAGTGAAAAGAGTAAAAGCAGAGCACTTCCCGAACTCATCTACGTGTCAGAAGTCGTGTGGTGGATTATGTGACACGTGACATTTCTGACTTTTACAACAATATAAAATCGGGTATTCGAAAGTTCTAATAAACGTGTCTGCATATTTACGATTATAGACAAATTAATCAAATATGCATTCGTTTTTGCAAAGAGGAAATTCTATTTTAGCCTATGCTCTTAGTGTTTTAGCCTGTTTAACTTTTATATGTTTTGCTTCAACACTTTTTCTCAACTATGTCACAGATGCTAAAATGAACACTGTAAAAGTGGTGGTGTAAGTTTATTATTTCAATGCTGATACACATTTTTATTATTACACTTTTTTCCAGAAAGAATGTACCAGATTATAGTGCTAGCAGGGAGAAAAATGACTTAGGATTTCTTACCTTTGATTTACAGACAAATTTGACCGATTTATTTAACTGGAATGTTAAACAGCTATTCTTGTATCTTACAGCTGAATATATAACGCCGAGTAACGAATTAAATCAGGTAAATGATTAAGTTAAGTAACATGTGAAAAGCTGGGTTGTTGCAAAACACTGCTCTCTTAGGTCACAGCAGTGATGACCCAGCCACAGTATCAGTGAGTAATCGAACTTGCAGGGCTCGGGGGCCACTAGACGGTCAAATAAATGTGTAGAATGCATAAGTTGGATAAATAGGAAAGAGGGGTGTCCAAATGGTAGTATATAAGCCATTCGAGCTGCAGTGCCATCATGCAAACCCCAGTTGAGGGAAAGGCTGATTGGAACCAAGCCTGATTTGAGGAGAGTGGCTAAAAAAATATTTGCAATAATGTTTCATAGAATTAAAAGTGACTGACCTTTTTTACATAAAATTAATTTACTCTGAATGAAAAATGCAACTATTGAACCTTTACAGCCCAGTCGACTAAAATATTTGAGTGCATAACATATTCTATACTGCCTGCTTTTAAGGTTCTTCCCCATATGTACCTTCTTAATATTAAACATAAATTAAAATGGTATTTGGGATAGGTACTTTTCTACTGGTAACTAGAACATAATCAAACATGGCAATGAAATGTATGTTTAGGGTTTATTTAACAATATTTTGAAAAGAAGTCTATTTTTTAATATTCTCTTTATAATCTATTTAATGGTATATAGTCCATTTTCCAAATGTGTAATAAGAAACCATTTTTAGGTTGTCCTATGGGATAAAATTATTCTTAGAGGAGAGAATGCAGTGTTAGATTTTAAAAACATGAATACCAAATATTATTTCTGGGATGATGGCAATGGATTAAAGTAAGTGTAACTAGATAACATATTTAAATTTATACTTAAAAAATTTGCACCATTTGGAAAATTTGTATCTCATAAACATAAAAAGGTCGATCTGATATCTGTTGTCATTATTTAAAAATGCTAGTATTCTTACTGTATCATCTAATCTATATTCATCCTAAACTGTATGATATTTAAATCATGTTTGTATTATATTTGACAAGCAAAATACTAATATGTCCAAATCATTTAGTTATAAAACTATCAATAAGCTAAGGAGCAATGATGAGCAACTGCTAGACTAATCCTTTCGTTCACAAATTAGCATTTGTTGACTTGCAAGTATGCAATTCATGTTTTATATTAGCCAAATAAAGCTGTCGCCTTGGCTGTCACATTAAAATGAGCGAGATCCCTACTAAATTGAGTGGGGATCACATTTGCAAGCACATTTTTTATGAATGAATCGGCACTTACAGGCACAGTTATAACTGGCGTACTTTCCTGGAAATCACCTTCAACTACAATAGTTGCAGCCAGAAACTGATAATAACCAGTATTATTTTTTGTATTGTATTGGATTTAACTAGTGGCTGATACTGCTCAGAGTTGTAACTACATGGGTTGTCTGTAAGAAAGTGGTTCAGAATTAGAATAGATTTAATTTAGGTTTTGTGGGGTCTAATAATCATTTTGAAATTTGGGAATTATCTTAGATTTCCACTAAGTTTTATCATCATTGATACGAAATAAAAGTTTTTAGTAGGTATGTTCAAAGTAAGTAAACACAGGTTTATCAAAGAACAATGATGAAGTAGCAGTTTAATTAGTAGCTAAAAACTCAATGATTGGTTAGCAAGGCTAGTTATTATTGACCATTTTATTATTTTGATGGAAGCAAAAAATTCCCTGGTAAAATAAGTAATTTTCTTATAATTGAGAATACATTTTTGTAAATAATAAATTATAAAAAATATTTCCAAATGGAGCAAAGTATTTGAGTTTCATTATGTAAGCACTCATTTAATTTTTAGTCTGTGATTATTGGTGATTTACTGACAATTTTGTATATTTCAGAGCAAACAAAAACATCACTCTAACCCTATCTTATAATATTATACCAAATGCTGGTCTTTTACCAAATATTTTTGCCAGCGGTAGTCACTCCTTCAAGTTTCCTGTGGAATATACAACAACTAGGATGTAATGGAAATAATTTAATTAATGTTTTTTAAAATAGACTGTACTTTTTTGGGGGGAAATCTACAACTAAAATTTTGTTATATTAGAAATGTTTTTTATTTAATTTATCACCGAGTGTCCAATGGTAAGAGCCTAGAAGTGATACACTTAGTAAACCAATCTTTTTCAAATAAATTTTATTTATTATTGAAACATACATGAAGTACATTTTCTAAGTATGCATATGTTAAACTAAAATAAGAGTTCCTTTAAGGGTTTGTAAACTTACATTGAAGTTACATTACATTTAGCGTAAAGTTTATTATAGCTTAGGTTAGGAAAATACAGTCAGATAATGTCCTTTCCTGCCCATAGATACTTTAATGTTTGATTAGAATTTCACTGATAATTTTATATGTTCATGAATCTCTTTATTTTTAATAAAAAATAACAATTAACTTTATTTAATAATTTAAATGTTCTTTAGAAAAACATTATTTTGATCTCCAGTTCAGTATTTTGAAAATGATTTAAAAATACAAGTCAGCATTTGAATTATTACAATATAGATCGAAAGTGAAGTGAAATTGGAGCAAGTTTATAGTAGCTGCATATGAAATAAACATTTTAATTAAACAAGGAATTTATGTCATATACATGTTGTTAATTTGATATAAGCATATAAAGAAAAATTTTCAAATCTGAACAATGTTGTCTAATGTAGAATATAGAAATTACTTTTCAAAAATAATGTTGCAGGAGATCACTCCATATAGTAATTTAAAAAGAAACAACAGAAGAGATTGTTTGCTTCTTACTTCAAGTGAAGTAACTGACTACATACCATATAATAGCAAACGTATTTCATATGAAGTATTAATTCTGCTATGAAAATGCAACTTAAAGAGAATATACTTGATGAACTTTCGTTATAACTGTTCAATTCTGTTGATGTGACCTGTGTATGTAGGCATCCAGACCATAATATTCAAGAATGCTTCAAACAAAACAATTGTAAAGGGACATAATGGCCTTGGTATTATAAATGTGATGACTGTGGTGTTTGATGAAGCCAAGCATTCTAAATGTCTTGCAAAGGATAGATTTGACCTGTTGGTTAAATAGGGTGACCAGATTAATTTGCAGAAAAGTAGGACAACCAGGACAAAAAAAGCCTGATTTTTAATAAAAAAACCTGACATTTAACAAATATATTTGTATAAAAAAATGTAACAATTTTTACTGAGGTAAAAACTACTTATACTTTTCAGAAAAACCAATTTCTTTTAAAATATTGGGATTGTCCATCAAATAATTATAATATTCCTCACAAGACATTTTTAAATTAAATTTTAACATTATGAGGCTTTTTATTGATTCGATAGATAAACGGTTTCTTTCTTTGGTCCACTGCGCTGCGATTAAAGAAAAAAATCGCTCGACGGCAGCATTATGTGCCGGAATAGCAAAGTAGAATTCACAAATTTTAAGTAAGACCACTTTTTATCTAAAGATAATGATAAAAATTCCTCATTTTGAATCTTTGTTGTCAAACTGTCTATTAATAAAATGATTTCATCAATTTTCGATTGATAAAAAGCCGGACACGACAAAAAGCCGGCCTGACGTTTTCATTTAAGCGAAAAAGCCGGACATGTCTGGCTTTATCCTGACGTCTGGTCACCCTAGGTTAAATGTCTGACCTGTCCCAAGGATAATGCCAATATCATCAATATATCAGGCACTTATATAGCATCATCTACTTTATAAACATTCTTGATAATTTAAGTGGTTGTTAAATTTTAGCTTTTAGTATCTACATAAAATAGTAACTCGTACAGCCTAATTCCCAAAAAATTATCTCGTAAGTTACAAATAAACTATAATAAATCTCTAATAGAAGAGTTAAGCGAGATTTCACATTTCTATGGATTTCACTAACAGTTATTTAATTACTGATTATTATTACAAATATCAGCTAACATTCTTTATATTATGTTCTATCGATTTCATAAATGTTTTTCAAATAAATACCAACGAGAAGCTGTCCGCGAAATATATAATAGAACTTCTCTGACATAACTGCAATACCAGCGTCGTTAGTATCTTCGAATTTGCTTCTTAAACATTACCAAAGAAGTAGGTATTATTTCTCCAACTAATTACTCATCCCAGTCCTTTTTAACTATCCACAAATAATGTAATAAATGCTTTGATATTAAAAATATCGGACCCAAGCCCCAAGGTAAGTACTAACAATTATTATATAAATATATAATCATTATAATGTAATGTTAATTGAAATTATAATATGTTGTATAGTTAGTATTATATATTGTTTTATTTTTTGCTAAGATTGGAAGGATTTGATGTAATTTTTCAAAGTTAAAGTCGCCATTTTTGTCCATATAGTCTATGTTATGTTGCGAATGGGATGTTAATACACTGCGACCTAAAAGATCTATTCTGTCCCTTATATCGTTAATGCAGCAATAAATGTCTCGATGCCTATAACAACCCTTCCAATCCTATCTTCTCAAGAAAGTGTAGTATTTGGAGTGGCTTCAAGTTAGGTAAATCTCCCTCTTCTATTTGATATGTTTCTAGAGGTATAGTGCCCTTGGATTCTGGAGTGCTACACATTCAGTCAGAATATAAATGGAGGTTTCGTCCTCCTCACAGAATCTGCACTTACTATCCTCTACTATTTTCAGTTTACTAAGGTGTCCTTTGAGTCGGCCCAGTAAAGATCACTTTTACAATGCGTAGCCTGTTCTTACTCAGGCAAATAAAGGCTTCCGATGTTTTCTGGTTATATTCACCCAGAAATAACAGCCTGTAAAGAGATTGTTCCAATTCTCGGCTTTTCTACTACCCAATTCTGATACCATAGAACGGCTCAGGTCCCACAAAGGGTGTTTGAGTCCCTTATTTCCTTACGAGACTATCTGCAGTCTCGTCCCGGGACCCAAATGTGAGACTAACTGTATTTTCCTCGCCTAGCTCATTAAGTTTTTCTAGGCATTTCCTGACCATTTTTGAGTAGATAGCAGCTTAGCTCCATGTGGATGTGGTCCAGATTCGTGAGGCGTGTTGTCAAAGGCGCCTTCTATGTTTAGGAAGACAGGACAGTTTCTTTGTCAGTGTATCCCGGATTTCGTCAGTCAACTGTACCAGGGCTGGCTGTAGTGGAATAGCGCCCTCTCCAGGACTTCTGTTCTGATATAATTATCAACAGCCTTCTCCATTGTTTTTAATACAAAGGATGTGTGGCTATAATTGGTCGTGAGGATTTAGGATGTGCGGTATCCTTTTCCCCTTCTCCATGATTCTGGTATATATCGCAGTTCCAAACTGCTCCGGGATATTCTGATTATGTGTGGTAGTAATTCTTCCTGTGCCCGCTGAAGCCGGTCCAGGAAATATATTCTATCCACACCTGGAGAATTAAACGGTTCAAAAGTGTTCACGGCCCACTTCAACCGATTGATACTGCATATGTATTTGGCCACTACAGAGGCCTTTCTTGAGGGTCTGCTTACCTTTGTGTCCCTTATTAGAAAAGGTGTGCTCCTAGGAAAGTGTTTGAGTAAATGGCGAGCTCTTTCCTCCTCACTCTCCTTGAAGCTTCCATTAGGTCTCTTTAACGCCATAACTGTATCAACTCTCCCTTTTGCCAGGACCTTGTGCAGTCTTGCTGCCACAGGTGTAGAATTATTCTCGCTTAATTTTTTTAACTTCTGATTTCTTTGTTGTAGGTGGTAAGTGCCTCGATATAGCGCTGCCAATTTCCGCTGTGCTTGGCCCTATTATAGAGCTTCCGCACTTCGGAGTAGAAGGCTCTTCATGTGTTTCCCCCAGTTTACACATCCTTGGATGTGATAATTAGCTTCTGATATTAATAATAAAATCCGCCTTCCACTTCTATTTTAAATAAAAAATACCAGATCAGATAACTGTTTTTTATATTTAATATTGATAATAAAACAACATTATTTCAAAATTCTGTTGGATTAATGATTAATTTTATTTTCCATTGATTAGAAAAGGATTTTTTTTATTTAATCTAGAGTTTATATCTTGAAAAAGATAAGATTTGATTAATTTTTAGTTTGAATTGAAGACATCTCTACATACATAATGATATGTTTTTAGTTATTTAAAATTTGCCAAAATGGAAAGGTTTTATTATATCGTATTAATAATTATAGTTAACAATATTGTTAGTAGTGATTGTGGTAAGTAGGAAAAAAAATGTTGCTAACTTAAGTTTTATCATTGGTTAATTAGTCTATGTGGAAAGCATAAAATTTTCATTGGAGATAAAACCTGCATTATTTTACCAAGTAATGAAGAAGTAAAATGGTGATATAGAACCGTATATAGTGGGGTCCTAAACTCTTAGTAGGTAACGATTTTTTTTAGTTACGTTTACATTTTCACTATATATCTAGAATTACCTAATTTTTCCCTCATTCTGGATAATTAAATATATTATCGATGTGAATTTTCTTCGAAAATATATTCAAGAATTTTATTACAGATCTTCCATGCTCTCTTCTCTAAAGGATCAAATATTTTTGTTATCTCTACAATTGTTTATTTATAAATTCTATTTTGGAATAGTCTGTGCTGATTTTATTTTACATAAGATAACGAATGTGTCATTGCTATTTTCGTTTTCATCCGCATTGTCACCGTCTTCGTCTGTACCGTCAATTTGGGAGAAATGACCGAGAATAGCTTGGAGTATAGAGTATGGTAAATTTTAAATGAAAAAGAGCATAATCTTTAATATGATTTAGGGTGAGATTACAGAACGTCTGCAACTTTGCAGATCTGCAAATATGGCGGACTTACATATGCATGTATCAAGTTTTCGTATTCCAAAAAAGATCTGCAAATTTGCAATACTTATTATGGTTTATTACCCCCAACAACACTAAACCCAAATCCATTACTATGTTTAAAAACTCAATAATCTGACACCATGAACTGTATTCAATCAAAAGAAACAGAAGACTTCATGGTTGTAGGATGTTCTAACCTTCTTAAGGGTGGATTTGGATTTAGTGTTAGGGGTAATAAATATTGCGAATTTGCAGATATTTTTTGGATACTTGCATCTGTAAGTCCGCCATATTTGCAGATCTGCAAAGTTGCCGCCATATTTGCAGATCTGTAAAGTTGCAGACGTTCTGTAATCTCACCCTTAATTTGATTCTTGACAAAGCATCGGCATTTCTATTTGATTTGCCAGGTTTACACTCTATTTTTATATTTCTCTAACTTGAGACGCTGGCGGACTAGGAATGACTACCGGGTTCTTTAACAGAAAAGAGCCATGACGTCAGTAATCGATGATCAAATTGTAATGAAGGGCATGTTAGAAAATAGTTCTTTACATATTTACCCAGAGCGTTCAACAGATTCTTATTTCGATAGCAGTAGTGATGCTTTAGTGTCACCCAACACCTTCGCAAAGTGATATGAACGAGCTAGCTACTTTGATTATAGTTCTACCACAGAAGGTCCCCATTTAAAAAAAATTGTCGCTGACGTCATTACTCAATGTTCATCTTCCTCTGTATATAACTTTTTGTGGAAAATTAAAAATCGATGTTGGGGAGATTTCTTTAACTAAAAATTAATTTATTCTATGCTTTACGAATACACTGATATATATACCATATTACATTTAGATTAAGTTTAATTAATGTAAAAAATGTTAATTTCTAGCCAACAACACAGAGAACGATTACCCTGCGTTGAATCCCAATTGGCCCTATTGTTTTGAATTCACTTGGTTCGGACCGGACTATGATAACGTATCTACGTATAATAACACTTGTGCAGATTACTTAGATGAGACAAGGGCTAAAGGGGTACCATGTGCGGCCCCCATTGTTATTTCATGTAAGTCATCAATTATACACTTTCTACTAGGTACTGCCGCAATTATATTGGTTGGATCAAAATGACTATACCGAATCATCTGATTATTTTACCCAGTATTATTCGGCTAAAAGGCGGTGCTAAGTTGATAGAATCTATGGTGTTCGCGATTTCAAGCCAGATTTCAAACATCGAAATTCAGAAACTTAAATGGTGAATGATTTGTATTAAATTACATTGTGGACTACCGTCCAAAGGCATTGAATGGAATAGGTGTTTTCATTTTCATTGTGTCACCAATATAATCATGAATAGTAGAACCCAATGCACATGTCAGATCTCATCTTCCAAAAATATTGAATTAAATTTTGTTTAAAACTTTTAATAATAATATTCCCTATTTAAAAAAAAATATGGCAATATCAGTAGCGTAGCTTGACACAGGGGGGCCTCGGTGCAAGATATTCTTCGGGGCACCTTGGGTAAAAAAGATGCTTAAAAACTTAAATAATAGGAACATATTCGCAAGTTTAATAAATAGCAAAATAAAATAGACCTAAAACCATAAAAAAGGAACATCTATAAGTCCGACAGAAATAAAAATAAATTAGGAGAGCTCTTGGGATAGGGTAGTTCAGGTCGATATATTGGTATTTGTCTGTATTGTCCCATAAATATGAAAATCACATTAAGAAGAAGCCCCCTACCCTTTAGCTGATATGGAGGGGTTTCACCACAAAGCACATAGAGGTTCCACGTGAATGACCAAGGTCAAAACCGACAACTGACATTTTTTATGCTATTTGCTCCAAACTCTAGATGGGGCTACTGGTAAAATTCTGATTTCTTACTCCATTTTTAAGCTTTATGGGAGAAAAACTTAACCAAAGACTCCAAAGATGTGACGTGTATTTATTTATGTTTTTGGTTAATCTCATTTTTCCGTCTGATTTTAGTGATTTTTTGTTGGCTTTGGCTTTTGGTTTCTGTTTATAGTTTCGTCTTAGTTATTTGCAAAATTGTGATGTTTTGCTTTTCTATTTGCTACTGTGTTTTGCAATAATTTTGGTGCTACCTGTGGGTGCTACGTTGAAAACTTCGAGAAAAACTTATTGATTCACCATGCATCTGCATCATAAAAAGACAAACGGGTATAACAACTAATTGATAATCAATTTATCACTGGACTAGATTCCGAAATCATTTTTCACATAAGAGAGTAATACACAAAGCAGTGGAGTAATACCACCATCTGTATTTGGAAGGAAAATACCTATTTATCATTGAATGAATAGTTAAAATGATTCACCTTTTAATACAATACCTATATTACATTTGTCCTCGGTTTAAAAGACATTTATAAAATATATTATTTTAGTGTTAATAAAATGTAGTATCCTAGTCTCTACTTCACATTTAAATTATTGATAGGTATTTTAAAGATTTGAGAGTAAGTATTCGTTAAATATGTATTATTATTTGTATTTATTTTTATCTAATAATATTTATTTAAGTTATTAATAAACATATTTTAAGAATGTTCTATTTGATTATTTATTGATATATCTTATATTTATTTAATAATAATATGCAGAACCAACTCTCCACATCAGACCCCTGCTTATAACAAATTAATTCCTCAAATTTGGTATAATCGACCTAAATTATTTTGTAAAATAAAAGTTTCGAACTTACTAGTTCCATTCTTTATTTTATAAAATAATTTATGTGGAAATCATTTAAAATTTAATTTAAAACTACTACCTACTCCTAAAAATTACAATTTGAATTTACCGCCATCTGTCAATTGTCATTTTAGTTCCAGCTCCAAACACAAGGTGGCGCTAATTTGGTTTAAAAGTTTAACATTGGCGTGGGGTCTCTAGAAGATACGTGCTTTGTGGGTTTCACTCTCAAAAAATAAAGTTACATTTCTCAAGAAAACAATTGGAATCAATGATATTTTATACATACGAACCAAAAATTTTTTTTGATATATTTCCAAATATTTTTTTGGACCTGAACCATTATAGTTCGGATATAGGGGCTGGCATTTAAAAATAGTTACAGAGGAGATAAAAATCTCGTTTTTAGCACATTTTTGTCGAAAAAAATTGAAATTTTGGGTGTGTATGTAGAAAAATTGTAGCTTTCAACGATTTTACATAAAAAGTTGTATTTTTTTTTTTTGGGGAGTGCCACCCCATCCATCTCCCTTTAGGGGATGGTGAGGATAAGATTTCTATATAAAAACGTTGTAAATCGGGTATAATTTAAATTTTCCCAAAACTAGTTTATTATTTCCTCTGTAACTATTTTTAAATACCACTTCCGAACTATGACGGTTCAGATCCAAAATTTTATCAAAAAATTTGAAATTTTGGATTTGTATGTAGAACTATTCTTTAAGGGTGACACCTCCTCCCTATCATCTAAAGGGCGGGGGACGAATTTTTTTTGCGATTTTCATACTATTGGACCATGTATTAAGTTTAAGTGGTACTTATAATGAAAACAAAACACTGTTTAGAGTGTGTAAAGGCATTTTACTCAGTTCGTTACCATACATTATAAACAAAGGTATAAAAAAATACCTGTAGCACTCGGGGACTGCCGCGGTAAAGCTATTGCATAGCATTTTTTATCAACTTATGCAATTATAATTATTTATTTATTTTATTTATGCAGTATTTTTTTTCTTTGATATTAATTCAAGTTTTTTCTTTGATATTAATTCAAGTTACACTTTTTGAGCGTGGTGACCGAGAACAGAAAACAAATTTTTTTCTTTTAATGAATAAATGAGAAGTTAATATTGTTTAAATTGTTTTTATTATCTTACAATACATGTAGGTTATTCAGGAATTTTTATCATTGAAACTATGGGTTTATGGCAAGGGAGCGTTCAAGTATTACGTAACGCAATTTTTGGAGATTTTCCCCCCCTCCCCCCATGTAACGAGCCGCAACGTTTTTCTGTATCCCTCCCCCCTAGTAAAACGTTACGTAACTACCAAGTGACTATTTTTATCTAAAAATCACAGTTATGTGGCGTAAAGTACCGGAAAGTCGCTAAAATACGCGACTTTTCTGAAGGGTTAAAAAATAATAATGTTACGTACCGGGAAGTTCAACTCCCGCTCCCGCCCCTGTAACGCATCGTAACGTTTTACAAACCCCCCCCCCCTCCCCCCAAATTTGTTACGTAATACTTGAACGCTCCCTAACTGAAATAAGAAACATAAGTTTGAGACTTGATATCCTCTAAATATCTGGAAAATACCGCGTCAATGGTGGTCCCATATTTTGTTGGGGATTCTTGTGGATCATTATTCATTTTCAAATTCAATTTTTCCGAAATTGTGTCTAAATGAGATAGAATCAGTTAGCAGCTAGTCTACACGCATACGTCTAGTCGCACGCACACAAACACCGTGCCGAAGTCTGCCGAACTGAAACGACGTTAGACGATGCACGGCTTTCAACGCCGCACCGCTGTGCCGGTCGGAGTAGGGGGTGTTAGGTTTATTTTCGTTACGGAATTTCTTTTTCGATTTTCTTTTATTGAATAAATGAGAAATTAATATTGTTTAACGCCGCACCGCTGTGCCGGTCGGAGTGGGGGGTGTTAGGTTTTTTTTTTTCGTTACGTTTATTTTTCTTGATTCGGTCGCCGCGCTCAAAGCCCGCGATAAAAGCTATGCAATAGCTTAAAAGAAAACCGTGTTTTTGATTTTTTTTAGATGATGGGACATTACCAAATATGCAGTACCTTTGGGACAAACATAAAGCAAGTATTCTTTGTAAAAGAAGTATAAATCAAAGATGTGTTAAATATACTTATTATTTCAACAATCACAGTAAGTATGTTTTTGTAACTTTTATACACGTTTATGTAGCAACGTTGTCTTTTACTATATTCATTTACTAAACAAGCGCTCAGAACTCGCGGTAATTCATCAATTTTGATATAGCAATATGAATCCCTAAAGGGCTTAGTTACCGAGATACAGAGTGTTGAAAGTTTGAAATCAAAATATGCCATACATCAAAACCCTTTTAATATTTTTTTCAAATTTGGGGACCAATGTACTGTGACAAGTCTTCTTGATTCACTTGTGGTGAAATGGAAGTCGTAGGTGGCGCCACGCTGTAATCTAGAACAAGGTTTTCCCGGGCGCCAGTTTTGATAATGCAGTTTGCTCTGCTACCCTTAAGTACTCAAGGTAACCTCAGTGCGGTAAGTAAATTACAGGCGGTCACTTACAAATGGGGTAGTACCTGAGAAAAAAAAACCTTAACACCGCGGTAATACCCACCTTACTCAACCTAAAAGGTGTAATCGCCTCGTACCTTTTACCCTAAAGGTGATGCTGGAAGAGCTAGATAAAAAGGAGTTATAGTTAAAAAAAACAAGGGAAGTTTATATAAAATTCGAGAGGCGCTAAATTGGTGGTTCCCACCTCATCGAGACTGAGGCCCACAAGGGTAAACTCGTAGCGTAAAAAACGAGAAATGATTTAATTTGGAACGAAAGACCGCAAGCCCATAGTAGTACAGAAGATTTTGATATATGGCAAATTTTGATTTCAAACTTTTAACACCCTCTGTATCTCGGTAACTAAGCCCTTTAAGGGTTCATGTTCCTATATCAAAATTCATCAGTTAATGAAAACTCTCTGAGGTAGAGCGTTGTCGGTCGAATATACATCCTATCCTGTATATATTAAAGATAGTAGACAATGGTGCTGCATAAAACTTGAGTTTTATATCATAAAACGATGACGTATGAGTAAATTCATAGAACGATAAACAAAAGACAATATAATATACAACTATTTACATATGTGTAAGTTCTTGTAGGTAAAGTATAGTACGTAACGCGTATTATAAAGCAATTACGCACGCATGGAATTAGTAATTTTTCCATGTCATGTAAAGTACGGGTTTTAATTTGTTATTTGAAAAATATAAAAACCTTTACCTACATCGAATAATATTTTTTTCAGTTGCCAATATTACTTACAAGTGCGCAAAAGTACAACAAAGCAATGGAGGATTCATTGATAGTGGATGTTATAAACAAAAATTAATCCCAGGCTATGAATCGGAAGTTTGTGTGTGTAAATCTACAACTGGTATATATCCACCTTGTAACAAATCTTCTATGATTGTGAATAATTATTTTAATATTATTGGAGTATTTTTTTTAGTTAAATATTTTATTTAATTTGTACCTATTTACTAAGGGCAATGAATCTGAGGAGGATTTGCAATTGATAAAGCAAAATTAATCGATTTTTTATATTTTATTTTACCATTTATTAAAAAATATGTTTTTATGACAGTGTCTTCCATTTCATTAAATCTAGGTTCCCAAATATATATCCAAATCACGTTATTTTATTAAATAAAGCAAAACATGTTAAAAAAAAACTGTTGTACCCAGACAACACACCAAATCCCAAAGATATCCACAGAATATCTTTTGTGGATATCCAATAAATCCACAGGATATCAGAAATATTCCCTGGATCTAATATGGATATCCAAATGTCCGTCTATATCTAGAATATAGAAGATATCCTAATGGATATCCAGAAAAATATCTAATGGGTATCTTCCAGAAAATACAAGAAATCCCAGAGATATTCACAGAATATATTTTGTGGATATCCAACCAAATGTCCGTCTATATCCCAGGATATAGAAGATATTCGGATATTCAGCAAAATATTTTATCTTTAGTAGAGGTTCATAAGTAACCAATGATTATTGAATAACGTCGAAAGAAAATAGCAGAGATAAAAAATATTTTCAACACTCTGCCTTTGATTTTGCCCACTAAGGAGAAAGTCATCCTTATTATGACTCTTCGGCAATAAATGGAAATTCTCGACTTCAGTCTCTAATGGAGTCTGATTAGGACACAAATTTCGATCGAACTCAATTACGGCGGGTCGAGCATGAGTAGATGCGAAAGTGGTATCGCCATCTATACTTAGTAAGCAAAATCAAATAACATCTAGTGGATATCCACGATGGTTTGCGTTCGCGCCTAGAATTAGATATATTTAGTGGATGTCCATGGGATATTGAATACACATTAAAAAAAATTAACTTTAAATATCTGAACGGTACTATATTAGCCACAATGGCGTAATTTTTTAATAATTTGCTATATAATTACTATTATTTATGGACATTTGCATGTCTATAAATTACATTTCATGGATATAAAATAGAAATCCACCATTCAGTGCATATTGGGATGTTCAGTAGATATCCAAAGGATTTGGTGTGCTGTCTGGGTAAAATTTACTCATTATACCATTCTAAATTATAAATTAATTGCAGAATCTTGTTGACAAATCTGTATAAATATCAAATACAAAACAAATAAACCGGTACAAAGAAAAACGTATAAAATAAAATATCCGGTCAAACATTTGTTAAAATAATATAAAAGTACGAGATATATGAAATAAATCAGCAACTCTGCAACATTATAGTTTTCTCAGCTATACTCGGACAAAATATTGAAGAAGGCGATTCCTGTTCACGTACAACAATCATACTATACCAGAGCATAATGAATGGAATCACGCGCTTAAAACTGCAGAAGTTATCAGTATCACGTGCCAACTAGTCATAAATGCATGTTTATTGCCAAACTGAATTACGCCAATGGCGTATAAAAACTATTGGCAAATTAAATGCGGTAATAGTAAATAATATTATATGATAGTAGGTTGGTTATCTATTTATGTAGTAATAATCATTTGTTTATAATTTTGTTTTGTTTATTGTTAAAATATGTAAATATTATGCCAGTTGCGTAGAAACACTATTGGAAAATTAAATGGGGTATTATACTAGAACAAAATATTGAAGAAGGTGCGCCTTAAAACTGCAACTATCATATCAAAATGCACTCTTCCAGTGTCGCAGAAATACTATATTGGCAAATTAAATGGGTATTTGTGAATATTACTAGAGGAAAGTAGGTTGATTATCTATTTTTGTTATAATAATTCATCTATGTTTATAATTGTATTTTGTTTATTATAAAAATATGTAAATTAGGCTTGGTATCACTTACTAGAATTCTAAATCTATGAAGTTTCGTAATCCATTGATTCTGCAGAACTATCACTGGAATCGTCTTTATCGTCGGAACTTAAAGTTATGACTAAAGGTTCAACTACCGTTTCGATCATACCGTCCAAGCGCCACATATTATTTTCTTCCTTAATTATATGGGAAATAGCATTCTGCCAATCTTCAGGTTTTATACGTTCTATACCGGTTTTTAATAAACTTTGAACGTCGGCTATTTTAAAAGTTTAATTTTCTCGAGCTACAAACCCTTTCAATTGTGCCCAAATTAGTTCAATAGGATTGAATTCGCAGTGATAAGGGGGAAGTCTTAGTACCGTAATACCACGATCACGAGCCATTGTGTCGACAACATATTGAATATATTTATGGCGGTGTTTCTTTATTAGGTCCATTAATTCCACTTTAAGCATCTCCTCAGTAAATGTTATTGCTTTATCCCGCAGCCAGGTTTGCATATCCGCTTTCCTACTGGACATTATCGGAATGCGTTCAACTCGTCGACTGTGATAAGAAGCGTTATCTAGTACAATAACTGAATTTCATTCTATACGATATAATACTTCAGTAAAACATTTTTCAAAGCATTCCGCATTCATGTCCTCATGGTAGTCTCCTGTTTTTTTTTTTCGATATAAACACAAGAGCGCTATTTTCCAAAAATCCACTGTCACTTCCGATATGGGTAACAATTAGGCGCTGTCTTTTACCCGATGGTACTTTCAAACCTGTAGATAATCCCTCTATAAAAGCTTGGCGATGACTAGTTACAGAAGTATCTTACCATATCTTAGATACCGTGTGTCCAGCATTCACCCACGTTTCATCGAGATAGTATATCTTTTTTAGCGGCTCTAAACTCTTTAATATTTCGTAAATAACGCCGTCGCCAGGACACTATATCTGACCTCTCAATTAAAATTGATTTCCTACACCGTTCGACAAAACGAAATTTTAGGCACCATAAAATTTTTCGTAAAGTTTCACGGCTGATTAATGGAATTTCTTCGTTTTCTCTTAATTTCGTAAGAACAACTTCAAGTGTTGGGGCTTTGTTTTCGAAAAAAAAAAAAAAAAAAAAAATGTACAGTTCTTCGAATGATTTGTTTTTGGTTTTCGTCCAATTTCAACAATTTTCGACCACGTGTATGCGTTTTAGGGGCTTCTAAGGAGCCTTTTTTTTGTCTTTTCGCGTACAATACGTTCAATTGTTGAAACAGATACTCCAGTTAAAAAAGAACTGCGGTTTACAGCCTCATTTGTAGGAAGTGTCTGTTTCAGCCCATCATACACTTTCCATATAATGTTATTTTCATCCTTTGATAAGGGCTTTGCCGACGTAATTGGGTTTCACTTGGACCCGCCTATGAATCCATTACTATTAAAACAATATAATTCTACTATTAAATTGTTTTTATTAAATTTATAAAGACACCAATATTTTACTATTTAATAAACTTTTAAAATACCTGCCTAAAATAAATATAACTCCTCGAATATGCACTACCACTACCAAATTGTAAGGCACAAACATGAACACCTACTCGTATATCAGAAAAGAGCACTTATACAAAAAAGTGTTTATAAAATATAAAATAATTATCGTAAATAGTTAAAGCGATACAAATCTAACTTCTTCGAAAGTTAGTTTTCAACTGTCTTTGTGCCTGTGCTGACAATATTCAATCTGTAACCCGTCTGTCGTTTATTTACTTGAAACACATTTTAAAACCATTAAACACAGATAACGAAGTCATTAGGGAATAAATATATTCATTTCTTGAAAACTATCAGAAACGTATATTTAATGCATCATGTTTAAATAAAGATGTTGACAAACAAATTTAATAAAGTTTACTAACAAATACCTAATAAATAATTATTTGGTATTTGATACGCGGCCTATGCTGACTCTGTCGGAATTTTTATTCATAAACAGTGTTGATCATGCATATGACTCACCTTCTCCAATATTTTGTCCGAGTATAGTAGACAAAGTTCTTTCCGAAAGTAGTAGTGACTATGTGAAGTGAATGTCCTTTGAGAGGTTAAGACAAAGAGAGGCATTCTTTCAGTTTTTTCAACCTCTATTAGTTCCACGATATTTATTTCTACCTCTTCCTCAAGAGCTTCAGGAACACTAATTCACAACAAACATTTAAGGACGGTCAATAACTAATGGAATTGTGTAATTCTCATAACTTCAGCTTTCTTGACAATGTACCACTTACAGTTTGTATTATATCCTCATATCGTGTGTTGTTAGCTCCTATATTCACTTGCCTATACAAAATTAATTAGAAATCTATAGTAGTGTGTACAACAAGAGTGGATATGATGGCCATATAGCAAGAAAACGAAGTTTGAGCACGACGAAATACACTTCATCTGCACACCTATTTTTTTTTTTTTTTTTTTGTTTTTTTTTTGTTTTTTTTTTTTTTTTTTTTTTTTTTTGTAAAAATTGACGAATATCTTGTGAAATGCTATTATTTATCGATTCTTCACAAGACTAACTCATTTTTAATTATATTTAATCTCAATATACTGAGTTAGTTTGACAGAATTATTGTCACTTATTTAAAATAAAAAATAGTAGTCTGTTGATCAGTGTTATGGATATTATGAAATATATTCGTTCAGTTGAACACAATACCTACTTTTTTGTTTTGTAGTTTGTGCGTAGAGTAGCTTATATCCTTGTGGGTGTAGAAAAAATATTTGTTTATTATTATCCTTATTATATAATAAAAAAAAGAATGATTAAAATAGAGCTGCTTACAATAAATAAACATATCAACAAATTAACACATTTATTTTAAAACACTAAACGATTAATAATTATAGGTAATTCAAGTACAAAAGTAATTACGATATATATATTAAATATGTTGCATAATTAAATAAATAAGATTTACAAGATATATAAAAAAAACTAGTTACTATTTGTGCACATGAAAAATAAATTAAAACACAAAACAAAGTTTTAAAAACTTTACGGAAATAGAAAAAATATTTTATGATAAAGTATGCATATCTGTTTGTACAGTTTTGTCTTCTTTTTTTAGATTTCCACATTTTTGAGCAATATCAAGCATTTCTCTCAGTCCCTAAAAAATGAAAACATTAAGATTACAATATTTTACAAAAAAAATGTCATTTTGTAGCCTTAAAAATCTAATTTTGATATTTGTAATTCCTAAACAAAAACGAATCGGACCCATGTTCATTTAAGAAAAAATGTTTAGAATCAACCTAGCTACCATCTCCAAACTTATAGAACACCATGTACATACCAGTAATGTTATTGAATAATCTCAAAAACGAATTATAGTTGTTTTAGTTATGAAACAAAAATGCTTAAGACATTATTATGAATATTCAAATCATCTCAAAAACAAACCAAGTCTTGTTAGAAAAACATTTTTTGGCTCTTCAATAAAATTACTAAAAAATTGCAAAATACAAAATAGTTTAAAATTTAAGAACAGTAAAGTTAATAAACAATTAGATCAAAATCAATTCCAATTCAATCAAGGATCAAAGGTAAAGTCTTCATCTTCCATATGCAGGTCTGATATTCCTCTATATTATATAAACAATTTTTGAATAAAAAATATTTTAATTAGTCTTGTTATAGTTTTCGAAACAGAAACATAATTTTAATAAACAACTAATAATAAGTCAGAAATATAAATATTTCAAAAAATGTTCTAGGTTTGAAACTAGAATGTAACAAGACTATAACAGTTTAGTTAATCCATAATAAAAACATCTCAGACATGAAACTAATATGTTATGGTTTTGAAACAGAAACGTTTATCTATAAAAGTATCCCTGATTTTATAATATTTGAGGACATTTTAAGTAACTATGAATAAAAAGAGGCAGTAACATATATGAGATAAAACTGCAATGTTTTTTTGGTAAGTGAATTATTTATTTCAATCATTATTTGGTAACCAAGTTAAATATATTTATAACAGATCATGTGAGGTTAGAGCCATTTACAGATTATTGCAATAAGTATCATTCATATACTGTATGTATTTATCCCAATAGCAAAGTACCCTGCGACCCTAATTAGCCAGCTAAACATACCTGGTTTTCAATTCTCAACATAGATACAACTTCTTGTTCCCTAGAATCAACATTTTCATCAATTAAAGCAGCTTTGTCCATTACAGCAGCCATTTCTTGAATTTTCTCAGCCTGTTGTTGTATTATTTCATTATATTTTTTCTCTTGCATAGCTTTGAAATTTATCTTGGATCTATATATCTCTTTGTTGGTGTGTTGTCTGTATTTGGACATCACATGCTGAAGTGTAGTATGGTAGTCTTCTAAAGCAGCTCTGAGTTCTCTGTTTTCTTGTTGGATTTCTCTCAAATGTCTATTTTCTTTTTGAATATTTGCTATTAATTGGGAATGTGGTCTTTGATTTGCAACTTCATTGAGTTGTTCTACTTCCTCCTGAAACTACATAAAAAATTGGTTGTTTAATTTAAATATGTTGACCTCCACATTGTCTTAGCTGGTCTGTGGTATTTGTTTGTTACACTCGTAGTTATATTATACCTTATCTAATTCATTGTAAAGTAGATGGTCCACGTTTAAATTTCCGTGTATATTACAAAATTTGGTTTACTTACCTGTTTCATTGCATCTATTTTTTTATTAATTGCATGAGTTTCGTTAAGTAATACATCAGCTACGACATCTCTATCTTTTAATCGACTGGCCAGTCGTTTTGCATCTGTAATTATTTGTTGAATTGTAAGAGACATATTTAGCCGTTTTTTGGCAGGATGGTAGATTAGAATCAGTTAATATAAAAACTACAAATAATTTTACAATTTTAAGGTGTAATTCAGATGGTAACAGTGCTAATAGACGTTTTGATGCTGATAAACACTGAATAAACTATTAAAAATTATACCACATAATAAAAGTTATTTACTGAAATATTTTTGTATTATTTTTTTATCAATCTGACACTTCTGACAGCTGAGAGGTGACGGGAACACAATATATCCCCTATAGTAGTGCATCTCACTTGTTAAAGAGTTGGCACTAAGTTTGCAGCGCAAGAATGCGTCTGTGTCTGGCCGCTCAACTAACTCGATATGGCGGTAAATTCAAATATAATTTAAAGGCCAAATTTAAATTTCCCGCCAAAATTGTAAATTTTCAGCCGCTAAATGGCGGGAATTTTTAAATATATTCATTCGGCAATAATTATTGAGAAGTATATTGCATGTTCGATTAAACGAGCTGTAAATCCAGGCGCTATTTTTATTTTGATAGCTAAAAATAATACTAATTCTTTTATTATTAGCTATTACAATAAGAGCAGCATTTGGATTAACAACACATTTAAAAGAACATGTAATATACTTTTCAATTTTACCTAAATCACTTATTTTTTACCTATAGAGGTTAGATCTGAAAAAAAATTGGCTCTGGTAAAAAAACAAAAAATTGTATAAAGTATTTTATTTGAAAAATTATAAAACATTTAATATATTTTAAAGACGAAGATAACTCTAGCCATATCCATTTTACTGAAAAAAAAAAAGAAACTATTAAATGAAATCATTTAGTTATTAAGAGATGTTTGTGATAATACAGTGGCAGCTATCGAATGTTGTACAATACGTTTTGCTAATGTCCAAGTAAAAACTACAAAGAGTTAGCATTAGTGTGGAGAAGGAATAGAATACTATGAACGTAGCCAGCCGGCTACGTGGTGATGCATCACACCGTGTGCCTGTTCATATTACACAGTACACAAGGCAACATTCATATTATTCGTTTCCTGATCGAACTAATGTGCTAACTATTTAGTTTTATTTTCGATTCTAGCCAAGCGTATTGGAAAGTGTTCATTAGCCGATACTGTATATAAATGCTAAAATCAATAAGTGAAATAAAAAAATTTAGTTTAAATGGACATCTACTTCGAAAAAAGTAAATTATTATACTTGAATTTTAAAGGCTGTTGCCACTGGAAAACTATTATCTAGGGCTTGGATGACAGCCATAGGACTCCCTCCTTGAATCGTGTCCATAGGAAAGCATAAGATCATAGTTAAATTATAATATTAAGAGGGTAGGTATTAACTGAAAAAATATGAAAAATTATTACAAACTTACCTCAAAATTGGCACCTACATTAAAAGAAGGGAAAACGGAAACATAAAATTGTTATACTTGAATTTTAAAGGCTTTTCCTACTGGAAAAGTATTATCTAGGGCGCAGACCCTTGGATGACAGCCATAGATAGCAATCCTTCCTCGATTCCTCTTTTTCTGAGTTTGTTGTACGTTTTGTTTCCCATATTAAATAAGAAAGCACTTAATACAACAACACAAATCACAATAAATATCGCTGAAACAAAATTAATATTAAATTTCGTAGAAAAAAAAATCAAAAAATTATCACTTGTCAACACTGACACTTCACGCTTCACTTATAAAAACTCAACGCTAAAGAATGAAAGATGATTCGAAATAGAAATTATTAACTGGTATCTCTTTCTTTTATAAGTATCTAAACAAAGAGAAGGAGTGGGAGTGAGTAACGCTCCGATCAGATTGTTTTGAATTCGTCGTCAACCAATGAACGTGCCGAAGTCAAAAATCAATAACGATACTAGCGCCATGAGACCTGTGTCTGGCCGCAGCGTAACTCAAAGCCATTTCTTGAATCCCAGTTACATTACTATAGGGGATATATTGTGGACGGGAAACAGGATGAAACCACGGATAAGTGAAGTGAAATGGCTATAATTTGATGACTAAAGTAAGTAGAGGATAGATAGAGGGCGATGACAGATGAGTTAGTGGAAAATGTCTTTTTCGGTGATTTTGTATTTTTGATCTCTTGTTCTTTACAATATACAGCTATTTTCTCACAAATAAACTAGCAAACAGCAAAGGCATTACAGACTTATGAACAAAAAAACACCCGGTACATTAATTTTCCTAATCTAGTACTATTTTGATAAATCTATGACGTTCTTCTTGTTTTCTTTTTTTAATTTACTTGGCAGCACTGGGTGCGGTGAACGTGTGGCAGAGGTGGATAGTGTTGCCAGATGTACGATAATTTATCGATCTTACGATAATTTTTGGATAATTTTGGTGTTCGTACATAATTACCTAATGGCCGATTCCACCGTTGTGTTAAACGAAGTTTAAATTATTAAACGAAGATTAAAATTACATTTTTACAGTAACAATGTTAATCGGCCCTAAATAGACGGTAATTTCAAAAATGCCTCAAACTTTCTCTTTCAATAATTATTCCTTTAAGGTCGATTCCACCGTTGTGTTAAACGGAGATTTAAATGACATTACAGATTAAAATGACATTGTTAATGTAAAAATGTCATTTTAAACTTCGTTTAACACAACGGTCGAATCGGTCCTAAAGTATTCCGAGTATTTACTTGAATTCGAGTGGTTTTCTTGGATTAAAATTTATTTTCTGCAACTTGTCATTGTTATTTTATCATATGACCAATAAAGTCTAGAGATCTTTCCTCCATGGTCTAGAGCGTTTGCTTAGGACCGATTCCACCGTTGTGTTAAACGAAGTTTAAAATGAGATTTTTACATTTAACAATGTCATTTTAATCTCCGTTTAACACAACGGTGGAATCGGCTCTTATTTGCCGCGTTTGAGAATCCACATCGGATGCATCTGAGATGTAGTAAATCTTTGATCACGTGATTCAGTATACCAACATGTAATGGGACAGATGTGTCCGATGTGGATAAACAAACGCTCGAGATGTAAAATATGCATCCGATGTGGGATTCTCAAACGCGGCATATATCTACATTTGCCGCGTTTGAGAATCCACATCGGATGCATCTGATATGTAGTAAATCGTTGATCACGCGTGATTCAGTATACGTAAATGTAATGGGACAGATGTGTCCGATGTGGATAAAAAAACGCTCGAGATGTAAAAAATGCACCCGATGTGGATTCTCAAACGCGGCAATTCAGATCTAGTTCTCTATCACGTGATAAAAAATTAACATCTCAGATGCATCCGATGTGGATATTCAAACCCCAGTCCACAGATCACTTCCCCAGTCAAAGCGGCAATAGTTTCCTCCATGAGTTATTTGTGGAACCGATTGGCGTGGCAACACTGGTGGTGGAAGTTCGAAACATCAAACATCATCCATTATCCATTACATTTTGACAACATTGAAGTGACAAAAATTAGTGGACAAATGAACTGTTTATTCATAAAATAACAGAGAATTAACAACCTAGGGAGTATATTATCAAGAAATTAACAGTAAGTTTCATGGATTCTAACAATACTAAATAATTTTAAATTAAAAAGAATTGTGAATGGATCATTGAAACGAGTTTTCTCCATTTACGATCTGAATCTTGGCAGATTACCAAAGTAGTTTTTATTATCACAGAAGTTATTAAAAGTTCGAGACGATGAATATGTACTTCCCTTTGTTTTGTGTAATCCTGTTATCGTTTTTGTAGTTTCAAAATTCCAGTGATAAATTAAGGAAAAAAAGAAAAACCATAACTGTAAATCTAACCTTGCCCTTGTCATCTTAATAAAAGGTAATTGCGTTTTCTTTGTGTTAATTATAACGTGTCATTTTCAGTTTGTTCATTGATTTACATGTCACATTGTTCTGTTTTTATTGATCCTGTGAAAGTCTGCTATTTAATAAAAAAAACTTTCTCTTCCATTTCAATTTCCTTATGTGTACATATGTGTATCAGTGTTTGAGGATCTTAGTTTTAAAACATATTTCGTTAGATTTATTCATAATAATTACAATAATATGGATAACAAATAAGGGTAATCTTTCCCAAATAACAATCTTAAAATAACCAATGACAAAACATTAAAATTACATGTAATGCAAGAATTTTAAACTAATCAACTTCAGTGGGTTTAGACCTATTAGCCATTAATTCTAATCAAAGAATGAATTTTTGGTAGCCAACCATGCCTGGGTTGTCAAACCCATATCAATTACTGCTATTAAACTGGCGGCAACCCATATTCCAACATTGACCTAATATAAGCTAAGAGTAAACTATTACTGGAATTCAATGAATGGTTGTTCTAGTTCCTTAAGACAAAACCTAAAGTTTTGAATGATTTATTTATTGCATGAGTGGTATGATCTATTTTACCTTAAGAACACATTTAGGAGTTGAATCATTAAATACAATCTTTTCATGCCCTCTACCAAAAGTAAGTGTGAAAAATTTGTTGATATTTCATGATGTACAGTTCTTCACATACCAGTCATACAGTACATTATAATATCAATTTCTAAAAAATTGACACCAAGGCTTTAAGTCATCAAAATAAAAGTAGAAAATGATATTCAATATCATTGATATACACTGTACAGTAAGAGCAATAATGGTCTCAAATTGGAACCCTGGGAACCCCTGAGAGTACATCATATTGGATGGACAGACTACCATTTGAACTTTGTTTCAAATAAAATCAGAATAGAATAATAAAGGCCAAGCTTTTTTAATCTAAATAGCAATAAAGTATGAATAACACTCAACAGCTTTACTAAAAGATCATATTGTGCCAACTTGCATATTTTCATAAAATTTAGAAATAATTTTTGTTGATAGACCATCAGGTTGATAACTGTAGATCTATGGGTAGTAAAACTGTGTAGTTGATTAATAATGATAGTACTACAATAACAAGACAAAGGATTAATCAAAAGTTTTTCCAAAGATGATACGGTTGTAATTCTGAATATCATAGCTCACATGCCTTTGTGCTGTCTGCTGATGAATGCATAAATGCTCATGTCAGCCCAAGTGGGTGATGCTTTTAAGAAATGTAATGGAATGATCATATAAAAACCTAAGTAATATAAAGCTGTTATATTATTTAAATTGGCTTAATAAAGATAACAAAAAAATACATACTAAAAAATTGCAAAATACAAAATAGTTTAAAGTTTAAGAAAAGTAAAGTTAATAAACAATTAGAAAAATCAATTCGAAATCAATCAAGGACCAAAGGCAACGTCTTTATCCTCCATATGCAGGTCTGGTATTCCTCTATACTATATTATATAAACAATTTTTGAATAAAAATTATTTTAATTTAGAAGTCTCTAACCTTTAATGCCAACATACAGCGATACTCCGAGAAAACTAGTGCATGTGAACAACGTAAATTATTCATTAAAACTACACTGCAAAAAATATATTTATTTCTATTGTACTTTGACAATGCTCCACCTTCAATAAGGTGTGTGGCTATTGTTACTAGGGTTTTGGCTTTAGCCTTATGTTTCCTTTCTCTATTGTTCATCTGTTATGTGATAATTGGTTCCAAAACAAAAAGTTTGTATGTATTTATTAGGATAGATGGACTTAGACTTTACCTACTAATATAGCTATTAAGCATCACACAAAAAATCTTAGATCATTCTTCATACTGTTTGTTAAAATGTTCTTAGGACCAATGCAGTCATGGATGGAGTTACAGATGTAGTGATGTCCTCAGATGAAATCACATTTGAAATTGGTTCCAATGAAGACCCAGTACAAATCAAGGAATTGGTCACAAAAATAGTGGCAACATGGCAAGCCAAACTCGATAAAAAACTTCTCAGTCATGTTGATTTTGAAGAATTTTGGAGAGTTTATGTGCCACAGATCTACAACCCTTCTATGAAAGAAAGCTGCCTGAACTGGAATTTCAATGAAGATTTGGCACAAGAAGTACTGTTAAGCACTTTGGATAAGTTCATCTGCAATGGAGATCCAAATACTGTATTTAAACAGTTGAGCAATTTTGAAAAAACACCATCGGTAAGATAAAGATTAATAATTGGATTTTAAAGATTCAGTATGGTTAAATTTTCTTAATTATTGATAATGTTGTAGTATTCAACCTCAAGAACAAAAGTGTTCCAGGGCATAACTCCATCATATTACTAGTTTTTTATTTAAGGGGTGTTGAATTTGCAAATTAGCCATTTTTAAAAAAGTTTGCACTTCTTAACAAAGTATTTTGATTACAGATTACAGATATTTTTCAAGAATACTACTTTACTAATATCAAACAATGTATCCTCTACATTATTATTAAATAAAGAAAATCTCAGAGTCTGTTGATTATAGAAAACTCAACTGGAGGATTATTGTTTTTTGTTTTGTATAAAATACACTCTTAAATCGTTTTTTTTATTATTAGTGGTGAGCATGTAGAAATGCTGAGTCCTCTGATTTTCCAACCAGATGTAGGGATCTTTAACGAGCCCAACATCCAAGGATTCGGGACCGACAGCTTTACATCTCAACTAAAAGATGGCACATCCCATGCAGGCAACCCTGCTTGACTACAGATATCGATACACAATAGTGAACCTGATAAGCTGTGCCACTGTCCTTTTTAAAGCTTTTTAAGATCTTTTAGAATTACGAATTCTTGGTTAATTTGTCAGAATACAAAATGGCAGCTTCTAAGAAAACTTGCAAAAAAATTTCTTAATTTTTCATGCCAATCAGTGCAAGGGTGTTTTTTGGGCAATTTTTTTCAGAAACTGTTCGCCTTATTGGATCCGCCATTTTGTATCCTAACAAAATAACTGCAAATTCGTAATCAGCAACTCACAAAACTCCTCTACACTTATTTACTTCAAAAATAAGCGAGTTTTTTTAAGATTTCTGCAATATCGGAACCGCCATTTTGTACCTTAACAAAATAACTACAAATTCGTAATCAACGACCCACAGAACCTCTCCATACTAATTTACGTTAAAATTAAGCTAGTTTTTCAGGAGCTGTCCGCCATATTGGATGCGCCATGTTGTATTTTTACGAAATAATAATTACAAATTCGTAATAAGTGACCTCAAAAACTTTCGTACGCCTAATTTGAATTCTTTTTACCTATAACTTGAGTGTTGGCCAGCCTTTATTTCATTTCCAACCACTGTGCCCCAATATATTGTAACTACTCCAACTAAATATTTCAATAAACGAAAAAAAAAAAACATTTAGCTTATTTTATCAGGGCCTGCAGCAAATTTTTTAAAATAAACAATTTTATTAAGTTTATTTTATAAAATTTGATAAAATACCTAAGTATTTTTTGGGTATTTTTTCTTGATTTATACAGGGTGTCCCATTACTGCGTAATTATTTAATATACTTGATAAAAAAAACAAAAATCTTTATTTTTATCTAGCTTGCAACTAAATTTATTTTCAAAATTTGATACCTATATGTATTTTCTGTTTCTGATTATCTTTTTATTTTTGAAATATAAAGTATATTATTTATTGCATTATAATACTACCATTGTCAGTAATTATACATTTAAATGCTCTTGCAATTACTTTTAGAACAAAATAGCTTTAATAACGTTTCAGTTTTATTTCCGGAATATTAACGACATTCAATAATTATACCCGTCTGGGAAAAACATTCAGGCATGCCACTGGTACGAATATTTCCTTATAGTATTTTCAAGGCCACTTGTAGAATGTACGGATCAATAATTTGGGTCTTGTGCGGTCGGACGATAGCAGGAAGGATTTAAGTATCTTTTCGCTGTGGTGTCTTTTAGCATTCAACCAGTACCACCAGCTGATATTAATTCGTTTTATGTATGTCTGTATTCGGCGACTAAAGAAGAGACATCGACATAATAATAATACTCTTCGTAGGATTCCCCACTCGACCATTCATTGTTGGGTACTAATTAACAGTGCTGTTCCTAAAGTGGCGCAAAGCCTACACAGAACACGAGGCTAATAACCGTAGCAGTTGATGTCGATGACACAAAAAAAATAATACTCTCCCTAATTCACCCCCTTACGAGTGAATTTCAACCCTTGAAGTCAACTGAACGACTTGTGTAGGGGAAGGTACGGTTATTATTATTATTATTATTATTATTTGCCGTGGCGCTCCGGGGCGACTTGAAAGATGATTGATGATGCCATTTGACTTGCAGTAGAGGAAAACCCTGAAAACCTCACCCACCATCATCGAGACGGTAACGCATGGCGATTTTATAATCTGCATGTCATATCAACAGAAATTGAATTTCTATTATTACGGCACACATCAAATCCTATAACGAACCATGCAATTTAATTATAAATGATTACAATCGCGTGAGACCGCTACGCCACCGACTCGATTAAAGAGGATAGTTACCTTGAGACAAAGAGGTAAAGCGCCTGCAACAAAGATAGAATAGATGAAGGTGTCCAAGCATTAGAATAGCCGTGGAGCTGCAGAACACCGCTATTATAGTCAACTAGACATTTGTAATCTTGTTTTGGGGTTCTGTAATGGTCGACAGCATCCAGTTTAGCGCTGGAAAATCCTCGACCATCCAACCAACATAGCTAAGTCTCAGTCGTTGATGCCTGAGAATTTTTACCAATTTATATATACTGAGCCACTTTTGTTAATTAATTTAAGGTCACAAAGTCACTTGGTAGTCTATTCAACTTAATTCAGTCCACTCATTTTAATTCAATCTAAATAAATAGTTTTTTTTTGTTGTAAAAACCTTGGAACTCTTCAGCAACATAACCCAGTAGAGTTTTGTTTAACGTTTACATTAAAGTCACTATTTTTTAATTTAGTTCTTTTAATTCCTTCCTTACTTTCAGCTAGCAAATTAATGGCATAATTTGTATTTATTAATCATCTAAATACATGTCGCCTTTAACCATTAATATAACATTTTCTTGTCTTTTTAAATTGTTTATTATTGTCCAACAGGAAAAAACCTAATTACTGGACAAACTATAGAGTTTGTTAATATTTAACCTAATAATAATTATATAAATATTATTAACACTAACAAATATAATTCTCATCTAACCTTTGTTTTAATTTATATTTTAAACGAATGGATAAATTAAAATTCGTAGCCCACTTGCATAATAATAAATTGGCATAATAATAACAACAATAGTACTAACAATAATTAATGATAATAACAGTGATAATAACAACACTGTTACATTTATTATTGTCGCTGACACAAATTTTGGTAAATATTTCTTTTGAATGATGCTAATTCTTCTTTTTATCATTACATTATTCTTAGTATCTTGTTAAAAAATGCAAGATTTTTAAAAAGTAACCAATTTGTAGCTTCAACAAAACATACAGCAAAAAAAAAAACAAAAAAAAATCAGAAAATTTAAACGAGTCTGGGGGATCTTTTCTATAAAAAAGTATTAACGTTTATTTTGGACATACTAATAATAATTTAAATCTTTCTAATAGGTATGTGGTCGGGTTTTCAAACTAGGCGAACCAACTTACTCCTGTAGACAATGTGGAATGGACCCGACTTGTGTTCTTTGTGTAGAATGTTTCAAACATTCAGAACATCGGCATCACAAATACAAAATGGGTACATCTCGTGGAGGCGGTTGCTGCGATTGTGGAGACCCTGAAGCCTGGAAGCAAGCACCATTTTGCACGATACATATTGCCGGAATTTCGGAAGAAGAACAAAACAAATCTTTGCCTGAAGATATGAAAGAACGTGCCCGAATAGTATTTAAAGCAGTTTTGTGGTATTCCTACCGCTTATTAAATTCTGAACAAATTTCAGATATAAGATTAGGTGTCACTTCAGAAAACTTCTTTGATATTGATACTTATTGTACAATACTTTACAATGATGAGATTCATACATTTGAACAAGTAATAAGTACCTTAACCAAAGTACTGAAGTGTAATCAACGAAGTTCTACAGAATTCGTGACTAATATAGATCGTGAAGGAAGGGCTGTAGTGAAGTGTTCCACCTTTCAACATTGCTCAGATCTAAAACAAGACATTGAAAAATACACATCGCGACATGGCAATAAACCTCTTAAAGTTTTAGTAAATCATGCTTATGTCATTGCACATCAAATTTTCGCCACCAAAGTTTTATCATGGCTGGAGAAATTTTTGGGACAAGGAGAAGGATTTAGAGCTATATTTGCTGAAGTAGCGCTTAAACCACAAGCGATGGAGCCATGTATTATAAAAGGAATATTACAGAGAGATTTGAGTTTATGGAAGAGTGCCAGAACTCAGTGGCACAGGTTGTTAATATCCGGAATGCTGTTAGAGTACGAAAATAAGAAAGCTTTGGCAAAAATTTTCACCAAAAACTATGGACAAATAATGAAAGATTTTATCAAAGATGATAATGATCATACTTACTCAGTGTCTTCTCTTTCTGTTCAGTTATTTACAGTACCAACTTTGGCTCATTATCTTATAGCAAACGATGACGTTCTTTACATTTTGCTAAACACACTTATATCCGAGTGTAATAGAAAATGCAATAAGGCTGGAAAATTGGAATTTGAAAGAAATCCCTCTTGTCAGACGTTCAAGCGGGCACTCTACATGTTGTATGATTTAAGGTATTTGTTGAGTTCAATACCAGAATCGTGGACGGATGATTTAAGAAGAAGCTTTTTACATGGATTATCAATGATGTTATCACTTCTAACTATGATGCAAGGTAAGTTATACAGTTAATTATATGATTTTATAGCTGATCTTTAACTAAATATTCAAAAGTTTAAATTGTATTTTAAAACACATTTGGGCCCAAATCGATTCTGTTCTGTGAGCAATTACCATACACTTGGGGCACACTTTTTTTCTTCTTATTTACATTGAATAGATTTCAACGATAATTGTTGTAATTAACACCACAAGATGGTTTTCATGAATCTCATTTCAGAGATAATTTTGTAAAGTAAACTACCACATGTTCTTAGTCAATCCCTTTATTTTTCGTTTGCATTTACATTTATATTATCACAGAATAAACAATATACAATAACAATTAATATTATTTAATTATTTAAATGTACATTAAAAAAATATTTTTATTCCAATTTCAGTCTCTCTAGTTCAATGTTTTGAAAATAATTTTGAAATAAGTCAGCATTTTTATTATTATAATTTACACATCGAACTAGATACGAAATTGGAACGTGTTTATTATTAATTGCATATGAAATTAAACATTTTAATTCAATAAATAATTAATTTCATATACAGGATGTTAATTTAATTGGTGAATATAAAGAAAAATGTTCAAATCTGAACATACATATAGACGTGCAATCTATAGGTTCAAAAAATATACAGTGAACACTGTAATGTTATGTTAAACGTTCTTCTGTCACATTTAAAAATGATACACATCATATGTACTTCTCAGACCGACCCTGTCTTTTTGTCTGTACCTAGTGAAATAATCGATAATTTACCATTTCTGCCTGCGCTATACGATGAATATTGAAGTGTGGCGATTAGTGGCCAATACTAGAATGTTTAATTTGGAGAAAGTTCTTTCAACGTATAGACGTGCCGTAAAATATTTTGTGTGATCTTGTTTCGTAATGCCAAAGGTCAGTATAATTGTATACCATTCTAAATTGCATTGCAAATGATTATTTAGGTTTAAGAACTCGCTTTGTAAATTATTACCTGAGTTTAGTAATTTCATTTTTTTAGGTATGTCTCCCATGCCGCCTTCCTGTACTAAACGGACGATGGCATTAACTCTTTTATATATTCTATTTTTTCATCTTTTACGGCTGGGAAATGGACTAAAAATGGCGGCCGTTTCTTTCACTTAACAACGCGTTAGTAAATCATGCTTTTTATAATAATAAAGAAAAATTACAAGAAAATCGCGATATAATTGTCAACAGCAATGTTGTAAGGATGAATTGAACATAAACATATTCCATAATTGTTAAGTCTTCACTTATTTAGTATATGTAAGTTTAAATTGAAAATTATCATCCAGTATGAAACGTAATATTTCACATATATTTTATTCTCATTACTTATACTTCGCCAAGGCGGTATTGCCCTAATCAGTAAATGACCACATTCGCGTGGCAGAGAATGATTCTTAAATTCAACCGGGCGAACCTCAGTATTGCATCCAATGTCGTAGAGTACAGACGTGTGTTCAAGCTTTGTGATCATTGGATACAAACCCGCAAATTTACATTCCCGAATATTCAAATACCAGCCCTAAAATACAGTCCACGACCCCTGCAGCTTAGGGTGGACGCGCCAAGAAAAGAAGTCTGCGTCAGGAAGCCAAGGAAATTGAAGGTAGGACCTGATTGGCGAAGCTTTAAATTTTCTTTCGCGCGTGACATACCGTTAGCTTAACAATAACCTATTCAATAATAACTAATCATAATTTGACATTATCATTAAAAACTTTAAAAAATTTATTGCAAGGATTAATAAGGAAATTATTTTCAATGAATTCTCTATCATTTTTATTAACTTTCCCACAATATGAAGGCTGTATGTTTGATAATTATTACAAAAAGCATGATTTCAATTTGCAAATTTTGACACATTTTTTAAAATTGACGCGTTATCATGTCATTTTAGTACATCGTGTTCACCACCAATGCGACATGCACGGCTGAGTTACAAATCCATTGGATCTTGTGTGACAACTAATGGTTGACCAATCAGAAAAACAAACGTCATATGTCAAAATAATTATTGACCAATTTGAAATGAAAACGGCATGTCAAATTGTTTCAACGTACAATACGAACTGACGTTCAAATATACTTGCTCATGATAATACGACGTTGCCGTTCTGTATATTTTCTCAATGGTTTTAAAGATATTTATAGTGTGACAAAATCGGGAAGGTTTTAAGGCACAATCAATTTTGTTTTTTAGTCGAAAACTTTTCTGCCCAAATGGTTTGTCTAAAGGTTGACAAGAATAAAAAAAAATTAAAATATAGTTTTGCATTATACAGTGTGTGCCATAAAGTTGGATCCGGTTTATTTTTAATATTACGATTTAAAAAAAAACGTCGTAGGAAATTAATCCTTTATATATTGTTACACTTTTATTCATTGAGGAGCTTTGAACAAAACGATTTTTGGGAAAACACGATTTTCCAATTGCACAAAAAATACTGTTTTTTGTTTGTTTTGTTAGAAAATAATATTGGCGACATCATTAATAATACATCCTTTGCAATTACAATTTTGAAAATTTATTTTTGTAAAAAATATAGCAAATAAAAATGGATTTATTTGCTATACCACCAAATATATTATTCTTCTAAAATATTTATTGGTGTCTGTGTACCTATATTTGGCAACCTGGATATAAAAACAAGTACACATAAAAATAAAATTATAAATCGAGCTAGTGGTACAGTTATCGCCATCTATGTATGTAATGGGATATAGAGTTACAAATAAATTAACAGACTTTGAAGACAAGAATACTATTGTTTAAGATATCCAGTCTTATAATTCCAGACAGATTAGAGAAAGTTAAATAAATAATGGGGAGTTAGTTAGTATGTAACTGTTTTGAGAACTGACTAATTACTGTTTTTAGAAACGAAAGGAGGATAGTAGTTAAACTAAATTCAGTCATTAACGAATATTCTGTTGTGTCAGTTGCGTTTATTTGTCTTAAAGTGTCTTAAAAATTTTATATAGTGAAAAATGTTCCGTCCATGAGTCGAACCTGTAGCCAATACTTCAACTGGTGGTGGTAATACCACTAATCGACAAGTTTCACACGATGGAAAAAAAAATATTAAGTGTTTATACCTCCCTTATGGAACGTGGAATGACCAAGACTCAAGCATTGCGAGAAACTGATTCTTTAACGAAAACGCCGTATTCTACAGTATTTAAAATTGTAACCCTATTTTAAAAAGAAGGAAAAAAAAAATCTGTTACTTCCAAGAAACTAGATGGCTGTGATGTAGACCTAATTCGAAGGAAAATATATGACTTGTATAGAGAGCAAATTGTGCCTACACTAGATATATTGATGCAACGTCTTGAAAAGGACGAAACTGGCATCCAGTGTAGCAAAGAGACTTTAAGGAAGTCTCTTTTAAAAAACGGGTTTAAATTTAAAAAAATTAATAACAGCAAAAAAGTCATAATTGAATCTATGCGCATTAAGCAATGGATATTTCAATATTTATTGGCGATAAATGATTTTAGAGAAGCTGGCAGAACAATTGTGCATTTGGATGAAACTTGGTTCGATACACATGATATTCCAAACAAAAGTTGGGTAGACTCATCTGATTTGTGCCAGACTAATGCGCCACATAATAAAAGCAAACGTATTACTATAATACACGCAGGAACCAATAATGCTTTTATACCTAATGCATTGTCGTTATCGGCAAAAAATATTAAGGACTTCTTAGTCAATTACCATGACGACACTACTGCCGAATTATTTGAAGATTGGTTCCAAACTAAACTTTTGCCAAATATTCCACCCAACAGTGTTATCGTCATGGATAATGCCAGCTACCACAGTCGAAGACTAAATAAGGCACCTTGTTCAAACGACATAAAAACCATCATACAAGATTACATAGTAAACAATGATTTGTACTTTAAAGAAAAGTACACAAAAAAGCAGTTACTGGAAGTTTTAACAAGCTATTCAATACAAAAGAAAAATTTTTGTGACACATAAGCTGAGAGCTTGGGACATACGGTGCTCAGACTTCCTCCTTACCACTGTATATTTAACCCAATTGAACATATATGGCGTCAGCTTAAGTCAGCAGTTCGAAGAAATAATACTTCTCCAACCTTAAGTTCGACTGTGGTAGCTCTTATTCAAACAGAAGCTGGAAAAATTCCTGATAGCAGCTGGACCAAATGTGTTTCCCATATAAAAAAGGTGGAAAAGACATATTGATATAGAAAAGATACCAAGAGAAAGGTTCATTATTTATTAATTTGGATGACGATAGTGCAAGTGAAACTGAACTTCGTGAGTAATTTTGTTTAAATTTGTTTAAATAAATAAAATATTAGAAAATGAAATGTAAAAATTCCACTATATTCAATTGTTTCAGAAGCATAAACTTCTATCAGGATTGACAATAGTGGAATTTTTACATTTCATTTTTTAATATTTAATTATTATGAATAGATTCCACAATGTAAGGGTAAAAACAATTACTATGACCTAGCTACTTGTTCGTACTTTGTCATGCTGATTTTTATTTTTAACAAGTTACCACTTTATACTTTTTAATGATTATTATTTTATATTGTCATGAAATTCCTAAAGCCTACCCTGTTAAGCGCGACCTTGGAAGTCTGCCACTCGATTCATGATCGAAGCAACGCTGACGTGTGAAGACAGTCGGACCGCGTCTCGAATATACAGGAAACGACGGAATTTTTTAGGTATGCCGCTGACGGTTCGAGAAACTGCCGTTGAGTCATAGAGATGGAATTTTCGGGAGCACCTAGAAACTACCAGCACAGAATTGGACTTGATATAAATAGCCGACTCATCGGCGCAGTTTAGTATAGAACATTGTAATGAAAAGCTAAAGTGTAATAAATAAATTAGAATTGTTGTTAGTGTCTAAGTATTATATAAATTAAATAGTACGTCATAAATAAATTATAAATAGTGTGTTTTAAATAAATAAACTATAAATAAATTAGACTATCGTTACAATATGTTCAACCTACATTCTACTTTTTAGTACTTCTATTACCTACATACTTTTTCGTACTTTGTCATACCGATTTTTACTTTTACCATTTTATCACGTTATACTTTTTAATAATTACATTTTATATATTCAACCTACATTTTATATTTTTAAATACTTTATTTTTTACTTTTGAGTACTTTTATTACCTACCTACTTTTTGGTACATTGTCATACTGATTTTTTGCTTTTACCAAGATACCACGTTCCTTTTTGTACACACTGTATAATTAAATAAACAATTCTGCATTATAGCGATTTTTCTTAATATTTATATTACCCCAATTATTGACCTATAGAACAAAACTTAATGGCTAGTGTAGGTACGTCTCTGCGTAGAGACGGCCGCCTGCTGATAACTATACAAAACCGCTGGCTCAAGTGTCGCAGCCTTAAGAATGTTACCGAAATACTATTGTGAATCTAAATATTTTTGAGATTTCTTGTATTTTTTTATTATCACGTGTATCTAAATATTTTTGTATTATCACGTGTTAAACGATGGAAAGACATTATTTGTAGTATGAGTGACTGACACCGTGTTTTTATTTAATAAAAGACCGCGGGGTGTCATAAAAGAAACTAATTATAAAGGTTGAATCAAATATTTATTAGGCAAGCTGTTTTCATCCAAAATCAGAGGATCGAGGGATCGTCCGATGACACTACAATCACTACATGTGTTACACAAAAATATTTTTTAGTTTCTTATCAAGTTTGTCTTTTTTTAAGGTATGGACGCAGTTACTCGTCAAGTAGGCCAACACATGGAATACGAACCTGAATGGGAATCGGGCTTCAATTTACACATCAAATTAGCTTACTGTATATCTCTGGCCGTCGAATGGTGCGGAACAGACAAAATTGTTCTAGTGAAAGCATATAGATCGATATTGAAAAAGTTAGAAGAAAATCCTTGTTACGAACCCAGTGAAGCTGGAAAAGTCCGAGAGTTGGCTGATCACAGCACCGCTTGTCTTCATTATGACGTAGCATCGAAACCAGTGTCAATACATTTGCCCTTAACACGATTTTTGGCGGCATTGCACCTACATTTAGAGAAATTCAATTTGCACTTTGATGGTTTGGAATTCCAAGTGCCCAAACCTACACCTGTACAAATTGTGGAACCAGTTTTAAGAGGACAAGTTATGATTGCGCAAGTTCACGCCGGTATGTGGCGCAGAAACGGTTATGCGCTTCTCAACACCTTATTCTTCTATCACAATGTTAAATGTAGAACGGAAATGCTGGACAGAGATATAACGCTTCTTCAAATTGCCGCCTCATTGATAGAAAGTAACGAATTCCTTATTCACGTTTTAAATAAATTCAATTTGATCTTTTGGGCGATGCCCGACTACGAGATTAGCAGTTTGAAAGCACCCGAAGAAGAGAGTATCAGACAGACCATTAACTTGGTAGAAGAAATGTTACATTTGCTGATTTTTATTGTTGGAGAAAGACACATGCCTGGTGTCAGTAACATTACTGTCGAAGATAGAATCAGAAAAGAAGTCATCCAATATTTATGTATAAAACCTTTACCTCACTCAGAATTGGTGAAGGCTATTCCAGATGATCTGACCTCGAGAGAGATAGCTGTAGACGAGGTAATCCAAGAACTGGCCAATTTCAAAAAACCAACACACGGATCCGGTAAAGGCGTTTATGAGCTCAAAGAGGAATACTATGACGAATTCAACGTGTTTTTCTATCATTATACAAGAGAGGAACTGTCGAAGTCTGAAGAAGCTCAACGATTTAGGAGGAAGACAAAAGGAGAACTCGAATGTTGTCCTCCACCAAAATTGCCGAAATTAAATGAGAGTTTTAGTTTAATCGTCAATCTTCTACAGTGTGATGTAATGTTGCATATTATACACATAGTTCTAGAAAGGTATGTATCTCATAAGCATAAAAAATACTTATCATTTAACTATTTAACATTAAAATAAAAAAAACAAAGTCATATTTCACAAAAAATACGAGTGACCTTTGGAAAACAACTACTACTTTGGCTAATACCGCCAACAAGTAATGGATTATTATATACAAAGGAAAGACAGCAAAGAGAAATTTAATTCTAACACCCTACCTTTGATTTTGCTAGTCCAGTCTAACAAAGGCGTCAAATTCACTAGTATATAATATTGAACAGTTTTTGGATCATTATCTGTTCTATACAAAAAAAACTTGCTAGTGAATATCTCGTTCAGTTATTTTTATACTACATTACGTTAGCGACAAAGTTAAAAAAATGGTTTTATTCAAATGTGTGCAACAGTTTGCCAAAAACTCAGATTTGGTAACTGCATTATACTAAATTTCTGAAACACAAAAACGTTTGCAAAAATTCGCTCTTGACCGTTGACCAATCGATATCCGAAGCAAAATTTGAGGCTAGGATTACGAAAATTTACAATTTCGATGAAAGAAAAAACAAGTGTGCAGTGATAAATAAAAACACTGTTTATTTTAATCACAGTCACTAAGTTGGGATCCAATTGTAAGGTGGGTTTGGGCTTCGTCGTGCTTAAACTAGTGAATTGTGAAATTCGACCTGATCAAAGAGGCTTTTAGGTATCGGTGATGAAAACGGCACTAAATATTGACTTATATGTAATTTTTCATCTTAAATTCTTAGTAATAATCACTACTTTACCTACTTAACATGTTTTTATTAAACTATATAACATACACTATTCTTACTGACAAATAAACTAAATTAATTTTATTATTTTCTGTTAAGATGCATTAACCTTCGAGCAAGAAGCTTCTCTGAACAACAATTGCACAAAGTTCTACATTTAATAGGCTACGGATTACTTGAGGAAGAGTCCAAAAATTATCCGTTCTTTAAATTTATCGAAAATTCCTCAAAATTTAGAATATTTCCGCTTATCGAGGAATTACTAAACAGTCCCAGAGTCGATTCACACAAAGGTCTCTTGCGCTGGACACTCAACAAATACAAACAGTTGACTGACAAAAAGGACGACCAACTGGAAAATAAAGATGTGACTACATCGAAAAACGTTGATGACGAAAAGGTTTGTTTATTTAATTTTATTAATAAATTATTTACTTTTATTATTATTTGAAATGATGGTAATAACCGAACAATGAAAAAAAAAAAAAAAAGGTAAAATAATGATTCTGAAAGACATATATATTGTATATCAAATTATAGTAGGAACAAACAGTAAAATGAAATAATAAGAATTTGAAAAATATAAAAAGAGTGGACTAAATGACGTGTTTATTAAGTATAAAACATTGCGCATAAAATATGAAATCAGAATAATTAAAAGCTAAAGAGGTGTCATAAGGTTCGGTTGAGTTGAGCTATGTTAACTAATGCATGTACCTTCATATCAAAATATTTGGACCATTTACCCTTTAAGCCTACCCATTAACGAATATTTAGACCTTTTACCCCTTAAGCGTACCCATTTAAAATTATTTGAACCCTTTTCCCTGTATGTCTGCCCATCAAAAAGTATTCGATGATTTACCTCCCAATAAGCTTTCTGTGCAAAAATATATGGATCTTTTAGACTTAAGCTGCCTCGTGTAAACATATTTGGGCCATTTATCTGTTTGATTCTAATATCAAATTCAGATACAAGCCCCATTCTGGAATTCGTTAAAACTCTAGAAAAATCATCTATATTTCACCATCCTGTATATTATTTGCGTAAGATTCACATTTATTTAAACTTAAAACTTATTTTACCTTATCTAACACTTTAAATTGCAATAACAAAGCACCCAAATAAAATCATTTAAAAGATGTTTAAAAAATTATCTATTTGACTTTTAAGAATGACAGCAATATTGAAAAAAATTCTGTGGTTTCACACTTGACAAGCATGGCTAGGATCTAGTGAAAATCAGTACTTGTGTTACAGTCCATAAAATAAGCTCCATAATAAGTATTGCATTTTTAAAACATTATAAGCACTAGAGTTTTGCAAATTAATAGGCTTCATGGTGTTCAGAAACCCCTTTACGACGCTCCTGCTGAGTGAAGTGAAGTTGTTAGAGACCACAGAATCCCATGCGCTGCATAGACATTTTTTAATATATCGGTAACCGCCATGGCATTCACAACACGTGCCTAAAATAAACAATATAATTTTTATGTATTTGTTTAATGTTTTTAAATAAAAATAAGTTAATTTGTTCGAAATTAAAAGTTTTTAATCGTAACCAACTCAACACATGGCTTGAAAAAATTATAAAATCGAGCTGCTTTCGTTCTAGAGTTATCGTGTAGGCGCATATACATACAACCTTATCGTAGTTATAATATGGTTACCAACATATAGGGACCAAGGTATATTTACATTTTTAAAGTCTATGCTTGCTACTTACTAAATATACACTCATTTGATGATGATGATAATCATAAATACAAAGAAATACATACTGAATATTCAGACCTAAAATGTGTACCACTATGTTAAAACCCAAACTTTTTCTATTGGACTGATAGGTTTTACCATTTTGGGAGATTCTCAAAAAGCTGAGACAACTACCGCCGCCACCACCACCGAGTTTCCTAGATGTATGAATCATTATTAAGCTTTTGGGTTTGCCAAAAAGGGTCCTATCAGCGATTTTTCATAATATTTACATTTGATATTTTTAAATAGCAGAGAGTAACGTGTTTTATATCGTTTATAGGAGCGAAGATCAAAACTAGCAGCCGAACGACGAGCAAAACTTATGGCGCAGATGACAGCAATGCAGAATAATTTCATCAAAGAAAATGCTAGCTTATTCGAAGAAACCAGCACGACTGATTTGTAAATGCTCTCAAATTGTTTTTGTATATCTATTATATTTTTTGATATTTTTAGGCGAAAATCCAGGACTTCTAGTCAGGTAGAAGTAATGGATATGACAGAATCTGAAGAACAACCGATAGCTCTCGGACCTCGACAATCTCCCAGATTTGCAGAGGAAAAAACATACACGTGTATACTGTGTCAGGAAGAAGAAAAAATTACGACAGATGGGCCGACCATGGTCCTTGCAGCTTTCGTTCAACAAGCAACGGTTCTTTGTAAACACAAAACTAACGAGGGTTTGATGAACATGGGTAAACACGATCCGTTGTACTTGCACACCAATTTAGGACCTGCACCGCATACTAGCACTTGTGGTCATGTTATGCACAGTGAATGCTGGAGAAAATATTTCGACATTATTATGGTTAGAGAACACAGGAGACCCTATAGGTGAGAAGAAATGCCAACTTATTCTGTATTAATTTTATTTTTGGTTAATTTTTAGATTAAGACATCCAGCAAGTTTCGACGTCGATAAACAAGAATTTCTATGTCCACTATGTGAATGTCTCAGCAACACTGTACTACCTGTAATACCACCATTAAGCATTCTTCAATCGACGCAGCCAAAGAACGACATTTCATTTGATCAATGGTTCGATGGTGTCCTGCACGTCTTAAACAACAAATTAAAAATTTGTCATGGAATTTTCAAATGCGATTCATCGGAAGAGTGCAAGAATCAGCATTGCAATGCGTGTATTTATGCTTCTAACGGAACCAACATTGAAAACCAAGAAAATGTTGAATGCGAAGTTAACTGCATGCTACAACCACATCAGATTTTCTATTCGTTTGAGTTTCCACCGGGTTTCCCGGAAGATTTTAAGCTTTTATTTCCTACAGATTATCCAAGTTTAGAGGTCAATCATAAGGAGATGATTCAGGTTTTCGCGCAAGTGGCGTACACTAGGGGTTTGAACGTCAATCCTCACCCCACTGATAAGAGATTGGTACCTTTGTGTTGGAAATCTCTGGGTTATACAATACATTCGATAGAAGTTTTACTGAGAGATTCTCAGAAACCTCTACTGGGTCACTTGTCTAGTAGGCAGAGAGACTGTATAGAAAGTTTGGTCAGGATTGTAGGAGCTTTGGGAAGCACTTGGCAACGCAGCGTTTTCATTAACAGTCACGCTGTTAATCTATTATCAATTTTGTTGGAACACGGTAACGACGGCCCTTCAATACTACAGTGGGATTCTTTAGGATTTTTAATTAGTCTTACATTTTCTTTACCTAGTTTATCATGCAAATATACACCTACGCCAGCTCCGACTGGTAGCACCTTGGACTGGCACCTTTTAAGAATAATCTTCATTTCTCATATTGTTAAAATATTGATTTTAATAAAAACCAGTGATCTCAATACTAGTATGGAAACTGATTCCGATAAGGGCGATAGCGAACTTTTAGATATTTTAGAATCGATGGGAAAAGATACGAAAAATTTGAACCCTCATATCGTATGGAAACATGTACAAGAAGCTTGTCTGCCATTCTTAAGATGTTGCGTTCTCTTTTATCACTACTTAACTGATGTTAATGCTCCGGCTGTATTGACCAGTCAAGGGGGGGATACATTTAGCAACATGTGCGCATATTTGGATCTGCCTCAAAACTATACAGATATCTTTAATTCAAATAACGTTAAATTGTTGGTCAACCGTTGGTGTAAACACGAAGAGGTTGCATCTTACCTAAGCGGCGCTAATATTCAAGTTATTTACGAACCCTTGCCGGTGCCGAAGCTTATAGATTTGCCAACTGATTACAGCGAACTAATCAATACCGTTTCGATGTTTACTTGTCCGAATAGTGATGAAGATTCAAAGAATCCCTGCATGTGTTTGGTGTGTGGGGAGATACTCTGTTCGCAAAGTTATTGCTGTCAAACTGAGCTGAACAAGATGCCAGTGGGCGCCTGTAATTCTCATGCCAATAAGTGTGGCGCTGGCATCGGTATTTTTTTGAGAGTAAGGGAATGCGAAATACTTTATTTGGCGGCCCCTCACAGAGGCTGCGTCGTTTCGCCTCCTTATCTGGACGATTATGGCGAGACAGATCAAGGGCTTCGTAGAGGAAACCCTTTGCGCCTCTGTCAAGAACGCTACAAAAAATTGCAAACCCTTTGGCTTAGTCACAGTATTCATGAGGAGATCGCGAGATCTATAGAAACAAGTAATCACATTATATCTATTCAATGGAATCTTTTGTAAATGATTTTAAAAAGAAAAATTGCGATTCCTGAAGAATAAATAATTTTAAAATAATGGTAATAGTATAAAAAAATATGTATTCTATTTTATTTTACTTCAAAATGATGAAATACAATTTGGAATCTTACAATGTTGAGTTTTTTGTTTGTAGGTCATGTAGATACATACTTTTTGGCCAATTTACAAATACACTACAATCGATTGCTCTTTCCCGCTCAGAAAGAAATAATTCATTTGAAAAATGAGTCAAGAGTACTGTTGTATTATATATAATTATAATATTAAAATGTTTATAAACACATTCTAAACTTTTTATTTTTTTACCTCTATACATTTGACAATCAAACTAAGTATAGTACGAGAGCCAGCAGTATAAAATTTAAGGGGATATTATAGGCTGAAACGAAAAAAGTAAATTATTGTGTGACATGACACATTTTAAAATAACACACTTCCATTTAAACAATTTTGAGATGGTTGAAGTGGTATTTTATAGTAAAGAAAATATCTCTAGCGAAAGAGGAGTATTTAAAGAAATAAATATCTTTATTGAAATAGGTAACCCTAATGTACAAACAATTTTTTTTTCAAATATTACAAAAAAAACAACATTTAAATTCAAAATATGAAAAAAAAAAAAATACTAACAGAAAAATAATTTTAAGTCCAAAATATGAAAGTTAACAAAGTGCTTTGGAGTTCATATATTATAATCGGTTTTGTTGTGAAGATCATTTTGAGGTAAGTTAATTTTAAATTAATAATAAAGGTACCTATTACTACAGTAGTATTTTTAGTCGTACTAACACACGTGCTTACTTACATTACAGGGTCTGCTACTATAAATTCAAATATCTTGTAATAAAAAATCTATAAAAATTCATGTGAATAGTTTGTTTTTTGAATTATTTTATGTAAATATTAATATAAACCATAGCTATTGTAAAAGCCTTTAAAGGCCAGATGAATTTTCACACCTGTGTATTTCCTTACAATTACAAAGCAATACAATATACATAGTAGTTTGTGCAACAAGAGTGGATATAATGGCCATATCGCACGAAGACGCCTTTAGGTACTTAGAGCTCGGAACTTGGAGAAACTACGTAACTCTTAACATCTAGGAGCAACTACGTAACTCGGACTTCTTGTTTCTAGGAGCAACTACGTAACTCGAAACTTCTTGTTTCTTAGAGCTTCTTGGAGCCACTACAGGTTTAGAAATAAAAAGAACCTCAGTAAAAGTACATATACATGCCAGTTTGGAAATCTAACGGACTTATGCATAAACGGGACAAATATTAAAGTTACATCGTCTGAACAGAATATAAAATATCACGACAAAAATTAAAGTTACATCATCTAAACAGAATATAAAATATAAGGCCAAAATAAGTTATAACAATAAGTTTTACATCATCTGAACAAAATATAAGCTATTTATAAGGCCAAAATAAGAGCCATAGATTTCCGTTTAAACTGTACTTCCAGACTGACTTGTAATTCAATTATTTAGTTGCCTCCCCGTGTATATATAAAAGTATCAAAGAAAGCTTAAAAATATTATTAGTTAGGGTAGCTATAATCTATATAAAATAAAACAAATAACCGGCATGATGGTAATAAAAAAAAGGCCGATCCTTTTCGGTTTTCCAACGAAATCCAGCAAAATGTTAAAATATAAGGTGAAAGGAACATTACCTGACAATTATCCCAACGTTAACACACAATAAACGCATAAAAGACAAGATAATTATGGAAAACTACTAGCAGCTAATTTATCGGCACAAGCCATCACATCGAACTCGATACACCAAAATACCGGTTGAATCCAAACGAGTCGGTTTTATGACGACGTGATTGCCCAAAGAAACACTAGGTAGGTTCCATGCGCAAACCATACTTTTCAAATTTCGAGCGGTGGTAGTTTAAGTTGTGTTACGAGGGGTTATGGAGAAGTTGTTAAAAATAAATTTCGAACGTAAAGAGAAATTTTTTGTTAAGCTCTCCTAAACAATAAGTGTCAGAGACATGTGATAAATAACAAAGCCACCCATGATTCCAAACTTCTAAGGAAAAGAAATACGGTTTTGTTTTGAAATTTAGTTTTTAATAACACACTTTAACAGAATAGTTTTCTATAACGAATTCAAGTATGGAAAATCTATACTTTTGTGTCATAGTTCCATGGCATTTTTTTTGAAAATGAGACTTGTAAGGTACTTTTTACTAATGCTCCTTTTTTGCTTGAGGTATTTTTCTATAAGTTATATAAAACACTGATTCAACAACCTTAAAATTGTTTCACCGAAGTGTTATTTAGAAAGGCGTGTGAGTAAAACCAGGGCAAACAATGGATGGTTTGATGTAATTAATAATCTATATTTTTGTCAAAATTCTGTCCATTCGATTTTATATGACTGGCACTTACAGCCAGTTGCAAGTATTTTCATTAAAATGTATGAGGCTGATGAACTTCAAATTACTCACAGTCTAAACAACTGTTATTATTAGGCTCCCAAAGTTTAATGAAAGTTATTACAACTCACTGCTAGACTATTACAAAATAAAAATAATTTAAAAAATAGCATCTTATTTTATTCATACCACTTTGATTTTTTCCCTGAAGGTATATTTACAAGTTTTTTTTTAAAATCACTAACTAGATGTGAAAAATTGTCCTTTTTATTCACTCGATTATTCATTTTCTGTTTAGGTTGCTTAATAATCTCTTGTTTCCTCTCTGCTGCTTTTTTTACTTTTCTTTTTTCATTTTTTAAGTTTTCATGATGTAATTTAGCTTGCGCCACTAATTTGTATCTACTTCTCATTTTTTCCACGGTCCCAGGTTTTGTTGTTACGCCGGAATAGTTAGGAAGTTCTTCATTTTGCTTACGGTCGAAATTTTTCTTTTGTTTAAAATCTTTTCTGGTTATTTTACCATTCCGTTTATATTGTCCCTTATCTTCGTGACTATAATCTTTACTTAAAGGATTATATTGCTTGGATTTATCCAACCGTTTTTGACGGGCTTTGATAATTTTTTTGTTTTCTATACTGAAAGTAATTATCGGTCTTTTTTGCGGTGAAAATATTTTTGGGTTGTTGTTTAAATTTCTAAGTGCTGTTAAAGCATTTTTGTTTTGTGTAAAACTAACAAAACCATACTCCTTTGATTGTCCAATTCCATTGCCATCCACATTTTGCATATGTCTCATAACTCTCGCTTCTTTTATAACAGCATCTGGACCGGCATATTTTTTAAATAGTGTTTTAAGCTTTTCGTCATCCCAACTAGGAGGTAAGTTGTGAACTACCAGTCTATCTTTTGATACAAACATATTCAGATTACGTAACATTTGAGTTTTATATTGTTCTATTTGAAGTCGTTTGGCCATATCAGAGGCTGAGACGCCATGGGCAGCAGGGCTACCAGCCAATATAACTAAAATAAGAATTACATTATTTAATATACAGTGTATCCCCAGATAAGTGAAAAACTCTTGGAAAAGGTACACAATTCTAGCCCTGCTTGATTAATTTTAGTATTAAGAAATCAAGGATGCCTTGGAAATTTTCAAAAATCCTATTTTTTTTCAGAGTAGTGCCTTTTAAGTTGCAGATACGGCCAAAAGTTGTTTAGAATCGCCATCTAGGTCCATTTACCAAATTTCAAAATCCTCAGCTAACTTTGATCTTTTATATTGACAAAATAAATGAAAAATCCTAGTTGACAGAGGAGTTTCAAATTTGGTATATGGACCTAGATGGTGATTCTAAACAAATTTTCTTAATTTATTTATTTATTTATACATTGTTCAACAGGTTAAACCCAATTACAGAACAGGAGTACATTTGAAAGAAAACAGTTTAACAAAAGGCATATAGATAATTAATCTAAAATTACAGTAAATAAATTCAAAATTATTTTAAACAATGTGTTTTTATGTTTTTAACACTGCAATTAAATATATCCAACTGTTCACTAATATTATTATAATTATTACACATGTTATATACAGGTGAAAACTTCAGAACGTTTGTCCGAGGAGTCGCTATGTAAAATGATTCAGTGTTTCGAGAGGTTGCGCGTGGGATTCTAAAATTAAGCATATGTAAAAGAGCTTCACAATTGATTTTAAAATTAACAACTTTGTAGAGGGTAATTATGGAGAAGTACTTTCGTCTTACGTCGAGACTTGTCAATCTGTGTCTAGTCAGTAAAGCATTTTGAGTAATACCAATCGGTGGATAAATTTGGTCTGCCCGAAAACTTAAGTATTTGAGGAAACGCCTTTGTGTGGACTCTATCCGACAAATGTGTATTTGATAATAAGGATCCCAAATAAACGAGGCATATTCGAGTTTAGATCGAACAAATGAGAAATACAATGATTTAATAGTATCTGTGTTTTTAAAATCACGGCCCACTCGTACTATGAATCCATACATACGATTTGCAGCTGTTGAGATGTTATCTATGTGGTATTTAAACGACAATACTGGGTCAAATGTAACCCCTAAATCCATAAAATTGTTGGGTTTAGAAAGCAAACGTCCATCAAGGACATAATCGAATTTAATTGGATGCGGTTTTAATGTGTATGACATTACGTTACATTTGACGGGATTCAGTGTAAGACCATTTTTGTTGCACCATTCAACAACTTTGTTCAAATTTTCCGACAACTGTTCACAGTCAGAAATATTTTCAATAGCTGAATATATTTTTAAGTCATCAGCATACAGCAAATAATCAACATTTATAGCGTCACCAATGTCGTTGATAAAAATATTAAATAACAGCGGACCCAAATTTGAACCTTGCGGTATACCAGAGGTGGCGCAATATTTGTTAGACTTGAATCCATTTAATTGAACATATTGTGTTCTTTGAGAGAGATACGATTGAAAAAGTGTGATCAAACTATTAGAAAGACCAAATGCGCAGAGTTTCTGTATCATAATATTATGATCAAGTCTATCAAATGCTTTTGTCATATCCGTATAGATGACGTCAGTTTGGACCCGATTATCAATATTTTCAGCTATTTGCTGTGTGATCACAGAAAGATTTGTTACTGTGGAACGCCCTTTAACAAAACCATGTTGCTGAGCTGAGATTGCATTACAAACATGTTGATAAATACTACGTTCCAGTAATATTTCTAGAATTTTGCAGAAATTGCAAATGATAGAAATCGGCCTATAATTTTTGATATCAGTACGTTCACCTTTTTTAAAAATTGGGCAGACTTTAGAACATTTCCACATCGAAGGAATTGTATTGGATTTAAGGCAGATATTTATCAAAATAGTTAGAGGGCGAGCTAATACTGCTGAACAATCTTTTAAAATGAACGCAGGAATATGATCCGGTCCTGTGGTACGTTTAGGTTTAATGTTTTTTAAAGCATCCTGGACCTGGGTTTCAGAAAAATGAGTTATATGAAGCTGAGATGGCTGGACGTCCTTTAATGATATGTTTGAACCCTTGGAAGCGACATAAGATTGTCCAAAATATTCCGCAAAGCTTTCTACTATTTCTGTTGGATTATTTAATGTTTTATTTTCAAAACTCATGGTGCTTGCAACTTTACCTTGGCATTGTTTATTATTAACGTATGCCCAAAATTTATTTGAATTTGCTGAGATTTCAAATTCAAGATTTGCTATGTAATTTTTATAAGCTTCAGATACACAAGTTTTAATTTCAGCTCTGATGAGCTTAAATTCTTGAAGAGCTTGTATATTATTCTCATTCTGATATAAGCGATGAAGTTTAGACTTTTTCCGAAGTTTCTTAATAATAGAACCATTAAACCACGGAGGATATTTTCTTTTATTACTTACAGTATATTTAGGTATACACTGATCTAGTATATTGTATAATTTACCATAAAAGTACGTGCAGGCATCTTCAGCATCATAGAAAACCTCCAAAAAATCCCAATTCACAGTAGATAACATTTCATACAAGAGTGGAAAATTTGCTTTACGAAAATTGTAGCAATTCGTGTAAGAGGATTCAAGATTTTTCTTATATTGCTTTTTTTCGTTTTTAATGGTAAAGTTGTAGGAGAGGTATGTATTAACATGCACGCTGATGCCCACTTATGGCCATATGTAACAATTCAAATATTTGCAAGCATTGTTGCCATGTTATATTTAGAAATACTTTTAATTTCACAACCCGATAAATATGTTTATTTTGCATTGATTTTAATAATTGTGTTTCTGGTTTTGTTTGTATTATCTATTAATAAGTGTTGTTTCCTTTTTTGTAAATTTTGCTCACTAAAATGAGTGGAAGAGGTGAATTAATATTACAGATAGTTAAAGGGGGTACAATAATATTAACCAAATAAATGGTGGCATCTATGAATATCAAGTCATTGTACCTACATTAGGTCAATTATTATTGATTTTCATTTAAAATAAATTATTTTTTTAATGTCTTTTATTTATATAGTTAAACAGTATTGGAAAGTCTCTTCAAGCTAGTGAAATGGAGATAAGGAAAACTAAACATATTTAGCAGTCAAAAACCTATGTAGAATCTCTAAATAACAAAACTCTCAGTCTATTTCTCTGCAATTACTGAACACTGGCAGACGGCGGATAGATCGACTGCTTTTCATCTAGAAAACTACAATCCTATTACCTCAGACTGTCACAAGGCAAATCGAAATACATCCATTGGTTATGGTGGTGTAGTGCTATATGCTCGTGGTAATCTAAGGCTTACAGAAAGATGTGACATAAAAGAACTAAGTGAGGGAAATTTGTTTGTAGGTCATCAAACTAGTACAGATTATCCTGGCTTCTTCTGACTTATACCATACAATTTTATATGTATTTTTTTCTGTATAATATTGTTCCTGACATTAATAAATATTATTATGGTGTGAAATGGATAAATCACAGGAACTATCATGCATGGCTCTGTGCAGGTTAGTATACCTGCCCTACAACTTTACCATTTTCATATTGTTTAACAAACGTACCTCCTTCTTTAACAAGATACAAATTTCTAGAATCTTTAGGTTGTTTTTTATCCTCTTTAATATGGTTAATTTTATTATTTACAGTATTTTTATCCAGGGCTGGCTGACAGTCTAGAATATTGCCTAATAATTTCAATTCTGTCCCAGCATTCAATGCCTTTTCAGCATCTTCTTTGTTCTAAAAAATATGCACATTACGAACTAGTTTAGTAGCAAGTTCTTAAATGACCAAATTTGGTAGATTTTCACAAAAATTTTATTAAAAAAAAAAAATAAAAATTAAAAACACTACACATGACATGTTTCAAAGTACAACTTCTTTTTCAAATGTGACTAATTTACCATTCAGTGTCCAATATATATGTGATTTATGTGAAGTAATTAAGAAAATACATCAATAACAAAATAAACTGACTATTTAAAGTCGATTTAAAGTTAATAAGGGTACTTAAGTAATTATGATATCAATCAGATAACAATAAGATAGTAACATTACTGGGATTATCTCACAGAAAACTAGGAAAGAGATTTAATAAAGGTTATTAATATCTAATTGATCATTTAGTAGGTTATCTGAATTTTTAAATCTATTTATTTCAAGTGTTTCTAAATGGTTTAGTTTAATGCCCTTATTTTCTATATGTAAAATTTCAAAGTTGCCTGTAAAAGAATGATTTTCAGCTAAAATATGATTTGAGTAAGTAGAATTATTTTTGTTTTTTGTATAGCTATTAGAGGTGTGTCGTTCGCGAACGATTCGTTCAAAAAGAACGAATCAGTGCACTGACTCGAATGAATTGATTCCCTGTTTTTAAAAGATTCGAATCTTTTTTGAGTCAATTGCTCGATGGCTCTGCGATCGATCAAACACGCCGAGTTCCGAGTTTGGTTGCTTCGTTCATTCGATTCAGATTCGGTATTTGGTATTTTACATCGGCATCGGCAAATTGGTCGCTTTTGTTCTACGTTCTACGGCATAATACGAGAACTCTAACTGACAGGCGGTGGCGGTATGTGTCTTTTAATGTTTTTCTCACTTTACAGGAGGTGTGTATTAAGCTTAGGTAAACAATTTATGCGTGTTGTCTGATAAATAAATTTAAATCAAAGTAAAATTAAAACAAAAAATGACGAATCGTGAATATATAATTTTGCGTTAATTTTGGCTATATATTTGGCATTTTAAAAAAAATTGTGTAATTGTTGTTTATCTTAACGGAGACAAGGATGTATTTATTATTCAGCTGCCTTTTTTTTATGAAATATGAAACATTAATTCGCTTTACTTTAAAATAAATCTGGTTATAATTATTTTACTCAACGACCTAGTAGGTAGGTAGGTAGGTAGGTTAGGTAGTACTCAAATTCGTAAAAGTTCGGTTCGATTTCCTTCGCCGGATCGGCGGAATAACATCGTTCGTGGTTCGCTAAAGTGAATCACTTGAGAACGAATCTTGAAGAACGAATCTTTTTAGGTGAATGAATCAAATGAATTAATTCAGTAAAAAGATTCGAACTTCCCACCTCTAATAGCTATTATAATGTTCGGAATAGCCCTATTTGAAAGTACGGCCTGTTTGACCAATATACAATTTTGGACAACTACCACAATTTAATTTATATACCACCGATTTATTATTAGAATTAATTTTACCCTTATTGTTTTTAATATATTTCCCAAGCGTATTATTGGTTTTGAAAGCTACGTTAATATTTTGGTTTTTTAAATATGATGATACCTTTTCACTAGGAGCTCCTATATATGTAAGAGTCTTATATATGAAATTTTGATCTTTAATTATGGGATAAACTTGTTGAATAGCATGTTTAAAGTTTTTTCTCTAAAACTAAAATTATTGTTTACTGTGATTTGTTTAATGATATTTAATTCTTTTGTGAAGTTCTCTTTGGTAAGTGGGATATTAACTAATCTATGGATCATACTGTTGTATGCTGCCAGCTTTTGTTTGTATAGATGAGATGAACTATTATTTATTGCAATATCAGTATGTGATGGCTTATGAAATATCCCAAAACAATGGCCTTTATTAATTTTAATAATATTTAAGTCTAAAAAATTAATTGAATTATCCTTCTCTGTTTCCATAGTAAATTTAATATTAGGGTGTATAGTATTGATAAAAACTAATAAAGAATTTAACTGTCTACTAGTACCAGTAAAAGCAGTCAATATATCGTCAACATATCTATGCCAATACAGACAATGTTTACTTAAATTATTGCTATGAATTTTATGTTCTATATTATCCATAAATATTTCTGCAAGCAAAGGGCTTAATGGGTTCCCCATAATAAGACCTTAAACTTATACAAGAAAACTGCAAATTCGATTCAAAGTACAGTATAAAAAATTCTTATGAATTAAAAGAAAAATTAAAAAACATTAAATTACCTAGTAACACAAAATTAGTATCATTCGATGTAACAAACTTATTTTCTAGTATACCTCCTAAAGAAACAGTTAAGCTAGTAGAAAACTTATTAGATCATAATCAAGTCAATATTATAATCAAAGAAGAAATCCTAAATATGTTAAACATTTGCCTAAAACAAAATTATTTTCAATTTCAAAATAACATCTACTCAGCAAATAAAGGTGTTTTTAATTATAATTTTTTTTTAAATAAAAGTTTTGTGAAAATCTACCAAATTTGGTTTTACTCATTTAAGATAATATGGATTTTCATAATGTAAAGGCCGAAACAATAAATAATTTAGTAGCAAGTGTTTAAATTAATTACCACAAACTTAACAAAACCTGTTCCTTTGGAATGTTCTGTTAATTTATCAATACAAATAATTGCATAATAAACACGTCCAAACTGCAGCATGCACTGTTTCAATTCTTCATTTGTTGCATCAAATGGCACATTCTTTACAAAAATAGTTTTTCCTTCAGTTACATCATTTGAAATAAAAGGAGATTTTTTGACTTGATCAGTATCTTCAAAGCTTTCCTCTATTTTTTCTTCATCATCTGTTTCTATTTTGTCATTTTCATCTTCAATCTCACTTTCACTTTTTGGACATTCATCATCACTGTTTTCTTCTATTACAATAGTGTCTTGTTGTTTTTCGTTCTCTTCCACTTTCACATTATTTTCCTCCTCTTTCACTTCTATCTTAATTTGTTGTTCATATTTCTTTTTCGACTTTGCAAAATCAACTGAAAGTACCCTTCCTAGAAATTCCTTTCCATTTGTGTGGTGTCTTGCTTTAGCTGCTTTTTGTACAAGTTCAAATTGTACAAAACCACAACCTTTAAGCTTACCATCATTGTATTTCAGTAGTTCTACGGATTTAACAATTCCAAACTGCTCGAAATATGTTTGTAACTTTTCAGGTGTTACTTTAAATGATAAATTTTTAACTACTAAGCGAGCACGCTTCTCTTTCAGTTTGTTTTGAGCTTCTTTCTTTCGTTCTGCTAGTTTCTTTTTAACCTCTTCTTTATGTAGTAGTGTTTTCATTTCTGGAAAAGTCGAGGTAAATTTCATCGATTTTATAATTTTTGTTTAATTTTACTTACTTTATAAACGGTGACTTAAAAAATACAAACACCACAAACAGAAACAAACACGTGTGTAACGTAAGGCAAGGGCGGGGGGAACGGGGGACATGACATAGTTGTCACTGTCAAAATGGTCAAGAATCAAATGACAAAACTTAAAACGTACTGAACCTCGAAAATGTACTGAATGACCAGTTTTTAAAAAAGGACTAGATTTTATGAATCGTAAAACACCAAAAATTGGCGGGACATTTAAATTCATAAGCTATAAAAGAACTTTCAAGCAAAAATTTGAAACTAAAAAAATCTATCCTATAGGAACCATAGATATGACCAACAGGGCACATATGGGAAATAATGCGAAAGTTGAATAAAAATTATTTTCAGGAGGTTTTACAGCAAGACTGAAACCATCTGGAATTCTAGACTAGTCAATCGAACTTCGATTTTCGTTCAAGGACAAAGAAGTCGAAGAACTCAGCTGAGTCGGACTTTAAACTTTAATGACTTTTACTTGAGTTCGGTTTTGAAAAAAATGGACGTATGTTACAAACAAAATAAGATATAATTGTAATTTGTAGTGAGAAGAAGTGTAAGAAGGTGTCAGGTAAAGTACATATATGAAAGTACCGAATACCAGTTAGTGGTTTGTGGTAATGTGATTGTTGTGGTTCATTGTTTATTTCATTAATAATTTATTAAGTTTTAGATGTAGCAGACTTGTCATCTTTATTAGTAAAGTTATTAAAGCTAAATTCTAGCTAGGTTTTAGAAATGGCATTTAGACCTTTAACTGAAACCGAGTGTGGACAAACAAATCCATTATTAAAGTTAAAATCACATATAACTGGAGATCTTACGTTTCCGGATAACCATGGACAAGCCTTTCAGGGTAGTTCTGACCAATTGGTCGAACAATTTCTCCAAGAAACACGGGCAGTCCCTCAAACTTTCAGAATGGATGGTACTTTCTAAACTAAATACTTAAGTTGTTTTGTGTTTACCCAGATATTATTTCTAGATTTGATGCGAGAAATGCACGAAATTGAGTCTCAAAGGTCAGCATTACCACCAATTCCTGCATCTACTGTTAAGGATCAACTAAATGATAATGCCTGGGCTCTTCAATATATTGAAGATGGAAAAAGATTCAATGTAAGCAGTTTTAAATGTACCTACATAATTTAACAAGGGTCCTAATTAAATGTGTTGAAAATGTCCAAAATATTCTAAAAATTATTCAAGGAATAATTAGATAAGGAAAAGAGCTTGCCCAAGTGTTTTAAATATATAAGGGTTGAAGTAATTACTTTTGTAGCACTTTTGTTTGCTGAAAGGATCAAAAGATTTTTATTTTTATGATTAAATTGGTTACAAAAAATATATATCTATATATTTTTTTAAGCCATTGCCTAGAATTGTACCCATTATTTTTATTGATGTGTATTAAATTCATTTAATTAATTTAAATATTAGAAACAGAAAAACTCTATTTGGATATATAATGTGTCAGAAGTAATGTATAAAACTTACAAATTAGATAAAAAGCTGTAAAAAACATCAACAGTTTAAGGTGTGTTCCAACAACAATCTTGGAACACTACACAAACCAGTTCATGACTTATTGTTGAAATACTAGTAATTGACAACCTATCCAGTATTGAGACCTGACTCTGAACTGGGTTATGTTTTAAAACATTTTTAATAAATTCGACAGACTCACTATTATAATAATAAACCACAAAATAAAATAAATGATAATGAAAAAAAACTTTGAAAACTAAATTTGATTGACAAATACAAGTCAGAAATGATAGATACAAATAATATAATTACAATCATGAAATTTTCAGGTTATTGAAACTTTGCACATATCTTAACATTTCCTTCCTATTCAGAGCCAGGAGCTGATTTGACAATACACACATCAATTTGTGATTAGTTTTGGTTGAGATGGAACACTATGTTTTTGTACAGTTTTGAGTCCAAAGTTTGTTGGAACTCAAATTCTAGACTGTGCAGAATCCCACAGTACATGAACTGATTTGGTTTATGTTGGAACAAACCTTTAAATTAGTTTTTTATTTTTTATCAATTATCATTACTCCATTACCTGTCATAAGTTGTACAAAACTACAAATTTCAATGCAATGTGTGGATTCAACTTTAACATTTCATGCAATCAGATTTTCCTATAAAGAAAGCATTATTAAAACAAATTGTGTCATTACGTTTTCAGTTAATGACTATGATTAAACTGCCAGTTGATGAACATTATCCTTGTCTGAAATTTTATCAAAAATTTGCTCTCTAATAATAATTATTGTTAATAATATTTACGCTGACTTTACTTTTCTAATTTTTAATAAATAATTTCAGGAGGCAGCATACGATAATGAGAATGTCTGGGCTGAAATAATATCACAGGAACAAAAAAGTTTCACAAATGCTTGGAATAGTACAATTTTGAATTATCCGACGGGATCGAATGAGTTTTTGGAATCTGATGAATATTTAAAGGACCCAAGTGATGCTTCAAAATATGTTTATTCAAAGGTAAAACCGAGGGTGAAACATTAAATATCTTTTCATATTGTAATATTTTTTTGGATGGGTTTTAAAATGAAAATAAGAGTCAAGTTGTAACCCTTTTAAATCCTCATAATCTTTGCCTAGAATAATGTCTGCCTTATATTATACAACAACAAAAATAAGACCATTTTTTTAAGTATTTATTTTAATTTTATGCTGGCGCCGCCATTGATCATGTTTTATGTTTACTTATTTCGTAGGCTTATTTTCAAATCTCCAAGTATTTGTTTTCACCTTTGGGGTTCGGAGATGGTCCAAATAATTCATAACGGGAGTTTTGAGATTTGTTTCCAAATTTTCAAATTATTCTGATTATTAAAGTATTAATTAAACAATTGAGGATACTGGGGGATCTTATTCATACTCGTTACTTTAAGAGACTATATGCAGGGGGGAGATAATATTTACTCTATTTGTATGTGAAATTATAAACAGAAAATTTTAAATATAGTTTATGAAATTTATGAAGGAAGAAGGCAATTTCGATATTGAAGATGCAAAACTTACAGACAATGAAGCTTCTAATTGGACTAAGGAATATTTTGACTTAGAAGAAAAGTCTTCCAACAAAGAAGGCCTTGAAAATTGGGCCGAAGAGCAGCAGTCTAAAGGTAATTTTCAAGCATTTTCAATGAAGCTATTCTATTAAGCTATGTTAAATATTATTTATAAAATGTTATTGTAGTTTCTAAAAATCAATTTAATGTTAGGTAGTTCCAGATTAGATTACATTAGATTGGATTTGAAAAGAGTTGCACATTATTTGTCCTTTTTCACCACAACTTTTTCAAATTTATTGTGAGATTCCGTTATTTACAGTATGTCGTCTTTATTAGATTTAGTAGCTTTGATAGTGGCTCCCACATGTAGTAACGTGCGTCTGGCTTTTCTTCAATTTACCCAGGCTTTCACAGAGGCACAAGACGTAGATTGATGTTTCCTCTTATTCATAGAACCTTTACAATGTACTTTCTTCTGCTGGATTGGTGATACTCATGTGCCTTTTTAGGCGTCAGTGTCCAGTAAGAAAACGTACTGTTATCCTAATGATTTGTAGTTTTTTGGTCCAACAGGTCTTTTGTGAACTTGGCTGAAGGTTCCTTAATGAACTTTTAACCTGTTTCAATCCTGAGACTCCATTTACATAAATACATTTTTACATAAACATTTTATATTTGACAGTTAGTCACTTAATAATAACTTAGGATTTAGGTGTATCTACCTGTGTGTGCTATTGTGTATAAAAATAAACTAAAGTATGGATTTACAGAATGAAATTATAATATTGTGAAAATAACAAAAAAAAATATTTTTTCAATTAGTGGTGGGGTGTATCGGTGTATCAGTCAATTTACAAAATCTCCTTAAATAAAACTAAATTATAGTAAACATTTGTTTAGTTGTGAGTCGAAATATATGTAATTTGGTTATATTTTATGTTTATCAGTAGCTTAAGCTTTATTATACATTTTGCGAGCAACTGTGGTTACAAATTGTTAACTAGCGTCATGTTGACATATTGGTGTCATCAAGCTGTTATTTGACTTGGCTCTTGTGCTGTGGAAATGTGTAGCAGTCTTAGAACATGTAGCAGTAGTTCTTAAATGTGTTTTTTGCATTCATTTTTTGATGGATGCCTTGAATAAGGCCTTAGTAACTCCACAGAAGGGTTCGGGACCTCTCATTGTCTTATCTGAGCTGTCTAGGGGCCCTTTTGGTTGCCCTGATTTCCTTCGTGGCCTAGTACCCAGGCTAAGGTCACTTTGATTAGGCTTCTTAGCATTATTAGGTCTTCTAGGCAGTCTTTCACCAGTCATGATTTTATGGTGAGTGAATTGCCTTTAGAGCTGCTTGGCTATCAGAGTAAATGGCAATAGTTCTGCTTGATACTTTCTGATTTATTATTTCTCTTACACAGAGTCGTATGGCAATTAATTAGCTTGGAATACTATTGCGTATTCTCCTAGACTCAACACTCCAACACCGGCCCCTTCCTTAATTTTGTAACCGTCTGTATACCAGACGAGTTTAGCCTGTATGGGAGGTCCCTGTTTCCAGGATCCCTAGGCTGATATTCAATCATCAAACTCTTAATTTTGTTATGTATGTTCAGCGATAATTCTTTACCACATTATAAGATTTCTATAATTCTTTAGAGATACCTCAGGGGTGGTCCCGTATATAGTTGGTTAGGATCTGATGGTGGGATCTTCGAGAAAATAAAAAACAATTTTTAATGGTAGCACGATTTTGAAGTTGGTTTTTTAAAATTACTTATATAACATGTTTATATTTTTACCAAATTGTAAGGTAACAGCCTTTAATCAGGCATTTCACACAATCAGTACATTTTCATATTTCGTTTATATTTTAAGTAACATTCCATCGATGAATTCATTAACTATTAAAGGTATTCATTCACTACAATTTGCTCTTTTACTGTAGCATATACAGATTCAACTTAAACGTTTCTTGGGTATTGTCGATTAAAAAGAGGAACTGCGATAGATTTATAAAGAGTTCGCACGTCTTAAATCCCACTCTGTTTGCATGTCAGAGTTAGCAGATGGGATTGCCAACTCCACCTTTCTGCTTTCTTTCTTATTTTCGCTTCATTTGAATATTCTTCTTTCTATTGCTCCTTATAGATTAGCATTATACCCAAGAAAAAATTTAAGCCGTTTTTTGATTAAATGTAAAAAAAACACTCTATAATAATAATATTTTATTGGTTGCTAGATGATGATTTTAATTCCGCCTTTTGGGATAATCTTCAAGAAGAAATGAAAAAAGTGTCCGAGTCTGATGTAGATCCTTCACAACTTTGGATAGATGAATTTAATTCTTACTATAATACAACAACAAAGGTAAATATTTTAAATTTCAATAACAAAATATCTGTGTTTCAAATATGGTCAAGTTATTCAATAAGAATAAAGTAACTCAAACTCTTTACCATATAGGTTGGATTAGATTGCATCACTTTTTTCTAACAATCGTAAAAATATTTTTGCTACATTTTAATTAACAATTTTTATGCAAACTAACAGTTGTCCCTATATCTCAAAGGGGAGTACCATTGGTGTAAACCTTGTAATTACAATGTTATAAAAGTATTATGTAATTCTTTATAAAACTTTTCTTCATTATAATTTATTATTATTGTGTATTCAATAAAGGACACCTTTTATTTGAGGATAAACTATCTTTATTAGAACACTTGAACAAACAGTTTTAAATAATCGAGCAAGGACAGACGCTCCTGTGCCGCCAAAACTACATGGCATGACTGTTGACGTTGACGAATGTCAATTATGTCATCAGTCATTGCATATTTACAACTTAGACTAACTACTAACTAGACCAGTCATAACAAAATGCGCTGGTAAGTGCCGCAAACTTTGGAATAGTGACTGTTTTATACTTAAATTTCATTTTATGTTACCATGTACCACACATCCTAGTAAGTTTTTGCTTATAACTGGAATATTATCTCCTAGTTAGCTCAATGCATCGAGCGGTAGAGTATTAAAATGCTAGAAGCCGCTCCCACAGCAGACCATGCGGATTTTTCATTAATTGAGGACCCTGCAGCTTAGTAGCCTATGTAAAATAAACTTACTTTTGAGATATGGAACATTTTAGGTTTTTTATTACTATAAAACAAATTAAAAATATTTTGCATTCTGTAAATAAAATAGTTTTATTATTAAAGTCTTTAAATTACAAAGCTCTTATAAAATTTATTCACACAACTTTAGATATAACCCATTTTTAACTTATACTGTTTTCTCCTTCGTATAGGATTATGAATTTAGTGAAGAAAACCCTATGTTAGATATATTGAAACCACTAGAACGAGGTAAACAGTTTTTGGAAGAAGGAGACTTTCCAAGTGCTGTGTTATGTTTTGAAGCAGCAGTTAAACAGGAACCTGAAAATTCTGAAGCTTGGCTATTACTTGGTACCACACAAGCTGAAAATGAACAGGTATTTTTCATTTAAAATTGACATCCGCCACTGCATTTCGGTCAACAGATTTTTCTATTTTTTACTCGAAAAGGACCACGAAATTGATAGGATGTTTTATAAAGTCAGGATCTTTTTAATTAGTAATTGTTGGTTCCTGATTTATTCCTGAATAATATTTCACTACAATGTAACATTTACTGATCATATGAATAATATTTCTTTAGAACCTTATAAAATACCAATTTAATTTAGTGAGTTGACTTTTAGGAGTAAATTGTGAGGTTTCATGGTTTACCAATCCTATTTTAAAATAGTAGCTGAGCGAAGAAAGGTGGTACTACATATGATCATAACAAACTAGACCTGTCATATATAATTAAAATCAAACTTCTGTTAAGGGAGTTTGTTTGATCTTTTATTTATTGGTTTTATGATTTAATATGTGAATCAATTAATTTTTTTATTCTATATTACTTAATAAACATTGTGCACATATTTTTAATTTCATAAATATGAGTTTAAAATCAATAACCATTTATTTTTTAGGACCCAAACGCAATTTCTGCTTTAAATAAGTGTCTACAATTAGATCCTACGAATCTGAAGGGCTTAATGGCGCTGGCAGTCAGTTACACAAATGAAAGTTATTACAATCAAGCCTGTCAAATGTTGTTGAATTGGTTGAAACATAATCCTAAATATCAGGATATCATATCGCAGAATTTGAAGTTATCTGGGCAAGTTACAAGTTTGTTAGTTCAGTAAGTGAGGCATAGCGCTACATGCTCATATCTCTTGCACAAATAATATGAAGCAGTTTTATTTTATGTATCCGTATAAGAAGGTTAAATTATTCATTCATGTACATGAGTAGAGCAGCAGTATCCAGCCAGCCATGGGTACATATATAGAGAAATAACTTTGGTAGAAAAAATATTACAAAAATAACAACCATAATAATATTAAGACGCCTGTCTAGAATAATATTGTTCTAGCTCCATTTTGTAATTTTTTACAGGATCATAATCTCTCTAAAGGTAGTATAATGAAATATCCTAAATATTGGTGCAAATAGGATTGACAAAGGCTTAGTAATAAAATATTAAGGTAACAAAACTACATACTTCAAATATTCTCGCTAATACAAGTATATGCATTACATAATTCCTCTTTCCTCAAAAAAATTAGGTAATGGAAATAGGACAATATTATTCTGGACAGGTGAAGAAGTGACTTTATGATAACCATTCAAACAGTTAAGAAAAGTGTAGAAAACATGTAACGAATATTCCTAACCTCAAAGTATAATTTTACATGTAATAATTTAAAATTACTACAATTGAAAACTAGTTAAATATTTATGGTTCCCTGTATTCGGAAAATTTATTAAAAATAAATTATTACAGTTGAAAACCAAAAATATAACTATAGGGAAATAATTGCGGTTCGATAGCACAGGAGGCTAATCGGTCCGGGAATTATGAAACTCCCTGTATACGGAAAATTAATTTTAAAAATAAATTAATTAAATATGACGGTAATCAAATGTAAGAAAATAAATGAAATCAAAGTTTTCGGAACGCCCATGTATCTTAGTCCCGAGCGATCGACGCTGGCAATTTTCGTCGAACGAGAATGATATGATTTAGACAACGAAGGCGATGGTTATAGAAAAGATTATTTTGAGATTTGCCAAAGCCGATCAAAACGGTGTGTGAATTAATAATGATAGAAAACGTCGGGCTTCGTTCAATAATTAGTTGTTGACGGGAAACGGAATGATTCAAATATAATTGAATGAATGAATAAATAAAAGAAAAATAAACTTACATGAAAAATACTGGGCGCTTTTTAAAAGAGATTGGATATAGTCGTCGAAATTGAGAACCCTCACAGTCTAGCCTATATCCAGCCTCAAAAAATTGCCAACGGTTTCCCACTAAGGGATGAAATGAAAAATGCTGGGCATTAATCAAAATTCTTTCTCTTGTCGGACGGGTGTCCCAAACTAATTGTAAATAAACAAATAATATGCGGTGTACCACCTTAGAAAAATAAACGGAGCTGTTCAGTAGTCTAACAATATCACGGTCACTATATAATTGAGTTCGTCACTAGTCGGTGGAGAAGAGAGAAGAGCTTACGACGGCCGGCAATCAAAAGAGAACCATTATCAGTTATAATCGAATTTATGCTTTTTCCCTAGGCAAGCTTAAAGACCGGTAAGCCAGAGTGGGAGATACCACCACTACAGCAGACTGTTTACATTTTAAAAATAAAAAATGTCCTACTAGTACCTTGACAATGTGTTTACTTAAGTTGGAACCAAATGGAAAACTTTTTTATTATTGGTTTTGTGAAAAAATGAATTCTTGGGCCAAAACATAAAATACAACCATCAGATATTAATTGTTATTAGTCGTATACGAGGTTTGTCAAAAAGGTACTTTCCCCTTTAGCAAAATTCATATTTTTTGACAAACCTCGTATACGGCTTAAAAAAAATAATATCTGATGGTTGCATTTTAAGTTTGACCATGCAGAACTTTTTATCAAGAATAAATTTTTTCACAAAACCAATAATGAAGTTTTAAGAAGACAAACTGTATACATAAATCTAAGTTTGTTTGCTATAATATATGTCGTGGGATCCAATTTTAAATTGTATTTTAAAGTTTTATCACGTTAATCTTTTTTAAAATGGGTTTGATCAGCTGTTGTTTTAGAAAATGTTTGTTGATATTTAGTGATTATTTTGATACATCTAACCAATTTTTGATTCTCTCAATTCCTATTGTTGCACTTTTACAGCTTCCAAATCTACAGCATCATCAGCGTTTAAAACGACTTTATCCTGTATGTTAATCTATTTAAAATTCATTATAAACATTAAATAATATTGGCCCTAGAAGTGCACCTTGTGGGATACCAATTTGTACAATTTTTTTTTTGGATTACTAAGACTAATCCTAATTACTTGTTCTTGTTCACTTAGGTAACTCAGAAAAACACCTAAATGAATCCGGAGTCTTTTGAACACAACCTTGTTATCTAAAGTAATAAATAATTAAAATTATTTAGGGTTAGGACTATGTTTTAGGAACTGAGGGAACTACTCGGCTCGATAGTATACTTGTCTAACGCACTTATATTCATTTATATGCAATTTTCTGGTTGTGACAAAGTGGCTTCGAATCCACAGCAGACCATGTGCTTTTTTAATTAATTTGCATGGTTCGTTATAGGATTTGATGTGTGCCGTATTAGCAGAAATTTAATTTCTGTTGATATGGCATCCAGATTACAAATCGTCATGCGTTACCGCTTCGAGGATGGTGGGTGAGGTTTTCCGGGTTTTCCTCATCTGTAAGTCAACTGTCATCAGTCATCTTTAAGTCGCCCCGGATCGCTACGGCAAATAATAATAATAGCCGTCCTATCCCCACGCAAGCTCAGTCTGCTTCAAGGGATGAAATTCACTGGTAAAGTGGTGACTTAGGAAGAGTATTATTATTATTATTATATCTATATAGGGTGTGTATTAATTGAGTGTGATTTTAAGAAGAAAAGTTTATATCAACATATGTCGTAAACCTCTTAAGTTTTGAGCTACAGCGTGTTACAGTTTAAAAAAAAATAATTTTATCAAAATTTTTATGAAATTTTGTACACATCTTTTAATCATTAAGGGGCATTTTTTGACGTAAAATATTTTTTTAAAGTTTTATCAGTGACGTCCGTACGGGGTTGGAACTAAATAGTTTTGATGAAAAAAATGGTAGGTACGTCACTGATTTTTCTAAAAACCAAAATTATTTTTGAAATCCTCATTTATTTTGGAGGTCTTTACACTTATTTTCGTACGACGCACCGTTTTCATGTAAAAAAATAATAAAAACAAAAATTTTAAGTTCATTGAAACTGCTGTTGATATTTTGTTGAAATTTGGTAGGCACCCACCGTGCGTGGAAACACTTTTTTTGGGGCAAAAGTTAATTGTCTACCAGTGACGTCCACATAGGTATGATATTGAATGTAATAAAATTATGAAAAATTAAAATCCGTTAAAATAAATTGTTTTATATCGGCTTCATATTATTTGTTGAAATGACTTATGATTTGCTTTGTATATAGCTTTTTCATTTATATGTGCTTTGCTTTTGTTACTTAATATTTGACATGGGTGAACTTCACTAAAACTGAATATTCAATGTTATTAAAGCTGCTACTTCTTTTTTTAACTGTATAAATAGAAAATAAACTACTTAAAAAACAAATATAAGAAAAATAAAAACAAACAAAAATCGCAATGAGTTAGGTCTGGGGACCTGGGTGGTCCCGCAACTGGGGTCCATTTAGACTAATCTATTCGAGAAAGCCTCGCACTTTCCTACTAATGACACGCTCGTTGTTGCATTTTTTTTAATTCTCTAGCTTTCTTTCTTGCGTGGCCATCAAAGTCACCAGATCGAAATTCTTATTGTTATGTTTGTTTTTTATTTTCCTTGTTTTTGAATTTTTTTGAAATAGTTGTTTATTTTAATGGATTCTATACAATTAAAAAAGAAGTCTTAACTTTCGAATCACTCTGTAAAAACATTTAGCTAAAATTGTTTCTAATAAACATATTCCACTCGAGAACTTTTTCATCAAGGAACTGATATTGGAAGGTTTAGTAGATCTTTAGAAGATAGATTTGGACAATGAAATCGCAGATGCTATGAACAATCCTTTTTCTCATTTTGACATATAAAATGGCATCTTTTGTAATCGCAGCAAGTACTTTATGTAACCAGATAAAAATAAAACCTTTTTTTCGTTGTATAGGGTATCCCATAACGTTTTGTTGTTTATAGAAAGCGCTAGTTTGGAAACGTTAAATATAAGCGCCATGACTCTGTATTTGCCAGGTCGAGGAATGTTGCGGGTTATTTAGTAACAATACCTGGTTTCAACAAGATGGTGCCACAGCCCACACCGCCAGATCTTTGGCAACGCTACTACATATTTTTCATAAAAACTCATTTCATAGTGGCGTGACATACGTTGGCCCACAAGAAGTCCTGATCTGATTCCCCTGGATTTTTTTGTAAGGTTATCTAAAGTCCAAGGTGTACGAAACACCACCACGCACTCTGAAGGCCTTCAACTTGCGAATTCAGGCTAATACGGAAATAATACGAGGTCTTTATTACAATTTAAGATCCAGACTTCAAGAATGCGTGACACGGGAAGGAAGACATCTGGAGAACATTATTTTTAAGAAATTAAAATCCGCGTTTATTATTAACATTTTCATTATAAATTTAATATATTTTAGGCAAATTCATTTGTTTTATTTCAGTTGAAAAACAGCAAAACGTTATGGAACACACTATATAATCAATGTATGTATATATTGCTTCATTTCTTTTAAAAGTTTATATCGAGGGGAAGTGTTCTTCGTAACTTTAAATTGAATAATAATCAAGAAGAAGATCACATTTACCCCACTTCATCCTAACTGTATTTATATAGTTCAAAAACGACCCTAAATTATACCCATAATTCGGGTTAGTAAATAATCTATTTAACAATAGAATAATTAGTGCTTTTCATTTAACTTTATGGCAGATTAAAAAGGAAGATTTCCAGACAAACTATAATATGAGGGTTGCCTTTTATATTCCGGGATTAGTGAACAAAAATAAATATTAATCAACGAAAATCGCTTTATTGTTTTCAAAATATTCTCCATGAAGATCTATACACTTCTGCATGCGTTTGTACCAATTGTCGAAGCACGTTTGCCACTCTGATTGAGGTATCTTCAAAACATGTATTCTGAACGCATCAACCGCTTCTTCAGGTTTCGAAAAACGTTGACCTCTCAGTTTATTGGTTACGTACGGGAATAAAAAGAAGTCATTCGATGCCAAGTCAGGACTATGCGGCGGATGACTCATCACATCGACGTTTTGAGTGCTCAAAAATGCAGTTAATTGAGCCGATGTGTGAGAGCCCGCATTGTCGTGATACGATTGCGACATGTCCAGTTTTTCCGAAAAAAAAAAACAGGCGACCATTTACTTGGAAGTGCTTCGTCCGCGAACAACTTTTGTTGGATTTGGCTCATATTGAAACACCCATACAGTTGACTGCTGTTTACTTTCGGGCTCATACGCGTAAATCCACGATTCGTCACTATGTCATAGACGTGTTTCGAAGCTACACGATTGTATTTTTTTGAGCATTTCTTTTGACCAATCGACACGAGACTTTTTTTGTACGATTGACAAATTGTGTGGCATCCAACGCGAACAAATTTTTTTGACAGTCAAATGTTCATGCAATATTGAATGTATGCTGGTCCCACTAATGCCTAAGGTTGTCTCAATCTCACGATAGCTCACATGACGATCTTTCAATATCAGTTCGTGCATAGCATCAATGGTTTCCTGAATAACAACTGATTTTGGACGACCTTCACGAAATTCGTCTTGGAGCGAACTACGACCTCAATTGAATTCACCATACCATCGATAAACACTGGTTCTTGATGGAGCTTCATCGCCAAAAATTGATTTAAGTTCATCGATGCACTGTTGCTGAGTTAATCCACGTCGACAGTTGTAAAAAATAAACACGAACATGTTCACGATTTAATTCCATTTTTTGGCCGAGATGAATCTTTTAAGTTACTGTAAACAACACAAATAGCGCTCGTATGTCAAACCGTTCTGAGTACGCATGACCTCAAAAATCTCAAACTTTACGACAGAGCTGTCAGTTCCAGTTTGCAACGCTAGGGTTGTATAATCCCGAAATATAAAAGACAAACCTCGTACCTGTTTTTATTTTTTTTTTAATATAAAACCAATAAATTTTATAGTATAAAAGAATAATGTTCACTCTTGTCAATTAATTAAACAACCACAATAATTGTTGATAATATTATCACTTTATCAAAACACAATATTGATTAATAATTATCTTTTAATTTAGAAATGACCACAAGATAATTCAAGAGTTATTTATTAAAGCAGCCCAAATGAATCCTAAAGATATAGACTATGAAGTGCAGTGCGGATTGGGTGTACTTTTTAATTTGACTGGTGAATACAATAAGGCAGCAGATTGTTTTTTGGCAGCGCTATCAGTGCGACCTGAAGTAAGTGTTAAAATTATCGAACTAAATAATATTTATTTTTTTACTATGAATTAATACCATCAAATACGTACAGCTTCGTCAAATGACGGGAATACAGCCTAAAAATGCTGAAGTGTACGTAGTTTTACTATTTATATGAATGTTTTTTTGTGCAAGTACTATATATAATGTTTTTAAATTTCGATTTTATTCGATTGTATAAAAATACAGCAGGCCAGTAAGCACAGCGCCGCAGACGAAAATTTTTCGCGGCGCATTCACCATTTTGTCAAAATCTTGTTTTTTTCCTCAGTACTACGGATATTCGAGATTGAGATTTTTGAAGTGTTACTATTACTTTATCACCTATAAAAAAACTTACCATTGAAAAGCTTCCTTGGTTTATTTAAACGCAAAAAAACATTTAACTGAAGTTTTTTTTATTTTTTCCCGCATTTTTCGCACAGTTGACATTTATTTATACTTAAGATCTATTCGCCTATCCTCAATGGCTGCAAAATTTGTCTATAACATCGTCGTAAAATTTTGGATTTTCTGATAACTGTTTAACAAGCTGTTTTTCAATGGATATTAGGGCTAAATTAGAGAGTCTGTCTTCACTTGTTGAATTTCGCATAAAACTTTTAATGCGCTTTAATGCTGAAAAACTTCGCTCAACTGACGCACTTGTGGCTGGGATGGTTAGTACTAATTCACACAACTTGACGACTTCACAAAGGGACTTATTTAAACCAGTTGTTATAAGAAAATTTAACACATTGGTGGGCGTCTTTTTATCACTAATTTCAGTTGTTTCATAAACAACACTTAACTGTGACTTTAATGCTGGAATATCGAAAAAATTTCCATAATTTAATTTTAGTGAATTAAAAGCTTCCGATGGAAATTTTGATGAATTGTAGTTACCAATATTAAAATTGCACAATTCAACAAATTTTAAAAGTTTTGAAATAGAGAGTTCATTTGTTGTAAAATATTATTAAAAATGTCGGCGTATAATCGACGATAGGAAGTCTCTCTGTCGCCGACATTATCAATTCTAATTCTCTTTCTTTCAGGTTCTAAGCCAATGTTTTGAATTTTATTCCAAAAGTGTTCAAACTGATCTCGTTTTTTATTCATTTTATTTTTAAAATCATCAATTTGTTTAATGCAAAAGCCAATGTCATTTGACTGTGTCGAATAAAATGTCAGTAAAAAGGAAAATGTCTGCAAAAATGTTGAACAAAAAATTGAAATTAAATTTTTTGAGCCAATGCAAATACCCTTTAGCAGCAGTAATTGTTTCAGCATCCCATGTTTCTTTATTATCCCAAACGTCTTGAAAAAAAGTGTATCAAAGAATCACGGTATTGAAACACTGTTTGCACTAAACGTCCATTGTAGTTCCATCGCATCGGAGCAACTTTTGGAAACCTTTTTTGAACGTGAATGTTCAAAAGGGCAAGTTCTTTTCGAAGCCAAACCACTAAGCGTCGAAAAGAAAACTTTGCAATCTTTAATATTATCCATGCTTCGCGATAAAACCAAATTAAGTCTATGTGCTATACAGTGAACGAAAATTACATGGTTAAACTTCTCTTTCACTTTAGCTTGAAGGCCTAAATGGCCAGCCATTACGGCAGCACCATCATAGTTCTGGGCAATAGGCTTAGAAGAACATTCTAAACTTAAAATAATGTCACAAACAATTTTAAGCAATGCATCTGCAGTTTGTTCGCTAGTGACGTCCAAAAATCCTAAGAATCGCTCTTGAGGAATACCATCCAATATATATCGCACAACAATGGATAATTGACTTAAGTTTGCTACATCAGTGGTTTCATCAAGTGCAATTGATACGAACGGTCCTTTTTTAATTTCTCTTTTAATGTGATCCATCACAACGTCAGCAGTGCATTTAATTAAATCGTTTTGGATTCTGTTTGAGGTACCTCGGAAAGTCGTCGAATCAATAAAATGATTTTTTAGGGTATCATCGTATTTTGCTAAAACACTTAGAAGGTCCATGTAATTTTCTCGATTGGCGGATCCACTTGCTTCATTGTGACCCCTAAAACTTAGTTCATGCTCTCCCAGGAAACAAGTTACGCCCCTGGTGTCGTCACACTTTCACATCTTTCAAATAGTTCAAGACTCTGCGAAGGTTATGTATTAATCTAGATATAACTGGTTCGACCCCAGCTCTGTACATATGGTCTTTTTTATTAGTTTTTTTTTGGGGTGGGGGAGGGGGATAAATTTTATTCCTGAATTAACCATTTTTCACATTCTTTTGTAAATTATCTTTTTATTTTAGCTGCGTATTGAGTTTAAGAATGATTGTTATCTCTTCCTTTTTTTTAGTTTCTTAATACATTTTATATTTTTAGGACGCGCGACTTTGGAATAGGTTAGGTGCAACATTAGCTAATGGTTCAAGACCCGAGGAAGCAGTAGATGCATATCACCATGCATTAAATTTATCTCCTGGTTTTATCAGAGCTAGGTACAACGTGGGAATTACCTGTATCAATCTACATGCATATAGGTAATTTTTAATTCAATAATTTTTTTTTATAACATTTTTTATTTATAACGTTTATTGTTTTTTTAACCTTACTGGATATGAGCAGGCCCGACGAGAGGGGAGCAAAATCCCCGAGGCCTTTTTTGCATTTTTGGGCCTTTTTTGCGTTTTTGTTGCCCGTTTGCTTTTTTGCATATTTGCCCTTTTCCCCTTTTTTGCAATTTTTTTGCCATTTTTGTCCCCCTTTTCCCTTTTTGCATTTTTTGCCTCCTTTTGCCCTTTTTGCCTGTTTTGTCATTTTTTAAACCATTTTTGCCATTTTTTTGGCCCTTTTTGGCCTCTTTTTTTGGCCCTTTTTGGCCTTTTTTTTTAGAAATGTATCACAGAAAGAACTTCATTTTTATAACTTGATTTTTATGAAAATGCCTTGCTATTTTTCGAAAATCTGCCAACTCTAGTTATATAAGGGGCCCTTGCCAGTGTTTTAGCCCCGGGGCCCCACCCTGGCTCTCGGCGGCCCGGGATATAAGAACGTTCATTAAAATTTACTAGCTTGATAAACTTTGACACATTAGACTGTAACATTTTTCAGAAATTGTGTTGAATGGCTTGTGTCGTGTAATGTAACTGTTTTTCATTGTCGTTTAAAATTCATTTAATTTTCCAAACACAAAATATTCTTTTAAATTGTCCATTAAATTCTGTCTATGATACAGAAATGTCAAGTCAAACCACAAACGTCAAACTTTCCAAACAAAATTGTGTTGAAAATAAAAATGATAAACAGAATAATTAATTTATTTGAAACCCCAAACAGCACCTTGCCCCTCGTCCAGGAACATGGTCAAACTGGACGGAACCGTGTTTACATTCTTTTGCATAGGAAGCTATGTTGCAAGTTTTGCACTTAGTTTCTCTCCAGATTGTCTTATGGACAGTGCTTTTTCAAATCTTAACACAATTTTCTTGAAGTAATAAGGCTAAAATAGAAGTGTGTATTTTGCGTTTTAAGTTTTTATTACTACAAAATATAGTGGAAAGTCCATAAATTTTAAATATTTGTTAAATATAACCTATTAAAATACTATGCATCAAAAGTAAAACAAATTATAGACTTTTCAACATTCTTTACTGTACGTTGACCTATTTTTTGTGATAAAACGGTCGCCATCGCTTGTCATTGACAAGATATTAACAGACCATTGACAAGACCTTGACAAGACTTCTTTGACATTGAAATATTTAATTTTTTGCTTCGCTTCAATTTTAACCCTAATAACGCAACTATCATTACATCAAACAGCTGTGATTCCTGTAATTTTAAGTTCACGTAATCTTATATAGATGGCGCCACCTAAAAATTTCAACTTTATCTCAAGCAACGTTATCATATTTTTATGAAGTAGCGGAAGAAAAGAAATTCATTATTATATTACAAAAATTATGTATTTTTATATAAAATAGGTAATGTGCAACTTTAACACCCTGTATTTCAAAACCTAGCCATAAGATGGAGTTTGTCCCGTAGATACCTTTGTTCAGAAATTTATCAATTTTAACCAAATACCATTTCTCTATAAGGAAAGTGCCAGGGAGAGCAACTGCCCTATTTGCCCCATCTGGCGTATCTTATGGAACGAAAATATATCATAATTATACAAACGAAGGACATTCCAGCCTTCCTTTATAAAAGTTACACCACTACTTTATAGTATAATAAGTAGTGTCGATAAAAATTGTCATTAAATTTTTTATTCTGGTCCATAAATTTATTTAAAAACGGTCCCTAGATCGATATCCTACTCTTTGCCGACCAACCATCGAGAGTAGAGAGGACATAAACACTATTTTGCGATATGACATATACATTTCGAGTGATGGAAAAGTGTAATCAAAGTGGCGACTTTAATTTATTTGAAGATTGACGGAATGAAAATGAAGCTATTTTAAAAAATGGAATGTATTCTTCCCAAAACTGACTATACTCTAAAACGGATATTATAGTCAGTGACTCATTCTTAACTTCCGGACGCGCCAAGAGTGGCAAGGGTAGAGAGAAGGAAATTCCAGTGGCGGATACAATTTCTTTTTAAATAAAATCGTTAATTAGGGATTTATTCAACATGATATTTGTAAAATGATAGATATTTTTTAAGCTCTCCGGGTTTTTCCAAAGTAGGTGAAAAATAAATTGAACGATGTGAAATTTAATTATTCTAGGAATTAATACCTGCAGTGTAGAATACAGGGAAAAGGGTGGGCAATCCTAGTAACTATTATAAGAACCCTTTTATCGAAAGTACGAATACTTGATTCCAAATCATTGCGTTTAATCCATTTTAAATTTTAGTTTGAGATTTTCGAAATTATAGTTAGTATGTGTCAATGTGTCCTGTGGTGAAAAAGGATTTCTTTGTGAAAAATAAAAGTTTAATTCTTTTGGTAGGTTCTTGTAATTTTGGCTAGTAGAGACCTCTTTACACGTTATCTTAATGAAACTCATGTATTATTTAAAGCTTTCGGTCACTTCAGTAATATTTATTCATTAGTTATTTTTTTTTAAATATGTATTATTTTGACATTGTTTTTAGTATTTAATTTTTTTTACAATTGATAAATCTTTATTTTGAAATGTACCTAAAATAAATGATAATTTAACAATTGTAAAAAAATTATCTATTACGATTACCGAACCGGGTTCTACGCGCACCAACACGGCCGAAAACTACTTCGTTCATGTCTTCATGATAGTCGCCAGTCTTCCTAGATTTGAAAACGTTGAGACCACCATCCAAAAATCCGGAATTACTACCTATGTGGGTAATAATCAGTCGAAGGACCTTACTGGAGGGTGATTTCAAACCTGTGGAATACCCGTCAAGAAATGCTTGAAGGGAACTTGTTATATTTAAGGCCTGCCATACTTTTGAACGCGTGTGTCCCTCATTTAACCATGTCTCGTCAGTATAATATATTTTTTTCCTTCAAGTCTATGGCCACGTATTTCTTTTAAAAATGTTCTTAGCGACAATACAATCTCGTCTTTTTCGATTAAAAAGCTCTTGCGGTTTCGCTTTTAATATCAGAAGTTTAAATCGCGTAATGTTCACTTTATACTCCAAAGTATATTTTGGGTAAAAAATTATCAGCATTTACTGCAGCCTTGATTTTATATAGGGTTGATATTTCTTAAAAAAAAAACCGTACACTTTTCGGCGAATTACATTTTTTATGCTATCATCTATAGTAACTTTCTTTCTACCTCTTGATTCATTTTTCCTTCTTTTTGTCAACTTTGAGTGATCTGAAAACACAAATTTGTAAAATTTCCGCACAATTCTGCTGCGCCCTCCGCACACAAATTAGGATTTCGAGCTTGAACATTTTCATACCAAGTTTTTATCAATCCATGTTCACCCACAGTTAAATGTCTTTCCACCTTTTGGCAGGCGGGCCAAAACTTGTCGAAGCTCTTTCCTGTTCTATTTTACTAATTATTATTAGAGAGTTATCGCCACTCGCCTATTTTCGAATATGGTAACCTCCTTTCTTACCGTATTCCGAATAAGGTCCAAACAAAAATAAGTATTATCGTAAACGTCAATTGCCACTCTACGATAACGCAAACAAACGCAGAAGGTTGAAGGCTGATGATGTGACGGTAGTAAATCGAGATTTAGTTTAAAGGTTTAGAATATTTTGTTTACAAACAACTTAATAGAAAGACCATCTAATAATGTCTGAGCATGGGCTTTCAATTACTCAACCCCCATTAAAAATATTATTGAAAATACCCGGTTTGCAGTAGATTGGCATTATATTTAGCTACAATAATCAATAAATAACCTATTGAGAATTATTGGATTTTAAAAATTACCCAACCATTAAAAGAAGTTTTCTACAAGCGTGCGAGAAGATGATCTTCTCGCACTCTTTCGAGTGCGAGAAGTTTATCTTCTCGCACGCAGAGAAATATAAATTGAAAAAAAAAAGCAAGGTATACTTACCGCCCATGCCCGGGTTTGAACCTAAGATCTTTGCGTTATGAGCCCGAAACCCTAACCACTACACCAATTCAGCACATAACATCGGTTTAATATATGTATACTTAAACTGTATGTTGTACCTAATGTCATTATACAGGTTAATTCTCTATTTTAGAAATAAATGCGCTTGTAGAAAAAATGTTGATCGTAACACGTGCTAGAAGCATTTGTTGCGATAACTACTATATCGAAAATACCAAGTTGAATTGCATCAGATCTGTCATTATAATATTCAACTACAACATTCAGAATTAATAAAAAAAAAAATTACAGAAGAAATTTTAATATTTTAACATTTTTGAGAAATTTTCAATTTTTTGTCAGCCAAATTTCACGAGGTTTGAGAATTATATGATTTTAAAAATTGTCAAAATTATTATTGTTCTCAAAAAAACTTACTATTTAAAAAAATAAATTTTATTTGTATGTTTAGAAAAAAAAAAAAACGTTAGATTACTCCCTATTATTTGAAATAATCGTCCCTTTAATACTATAATTAGGTAACTCGATTTTTAAGTGCTTTAAGTTATTTACTTTACTGTTACCTTCGTGAGTAAGTCGTAGGTATTCTACGACTTACCCACTCGTACCATTATAAAGAGCAACTCGCGAAAGTTGCAGTAAAGTAGATAACTCAAAAAACTAAAAAAATCGAATTACCTTGTAATATTAAGGGGACGATATTCTTTAGCTGCAAGCACGACTGTGGAACAAGTTTCGACATCGTAAATGCTGTTCTATGGTTTTAACGGATTGTTCTGTGTTGCAACCCACAAAGCATGTATCTTCTAGAGACCCCACGCCAATGTTAAACTTTTAAACCAAATTAGCGCCACCTTGTGTTTGGAGCTGGAACTAAAATGACAATTGACAGATGGCGGTAAATTCAAATTATAATTTTTAGGAGTAGGTAGTAGTTTTAAATTAAATTTTAAATGATTTCCACATAAATTATTTTATAAAATAAAGTATGGAACTAGTAAGTTCGAAACTTTTATTTTACAAAATAATTTAGGTCGATTATACCAAATTTGAAGAATTAATTTGTTATAAGGGGTCTAATGTGGAGAGTTGGTTCTGCATATTTTTATTAAATAAATATAAGATATATCAATAAATAATAAAATAGAACATTCTTAAAATATGTTTATTAATAACTTAAATAAATATTATTAGATAAAAATAAATACAAATAATAATACATATTTAAGGAATACTTACTTGGAGCAAATAGATATATAATCTCAAATCTTTAAAATACCTATCAATAATTTAAATGTGAAGTAGAGACTAGGATATTACATTTTATTAACACTAAAGTTATATATTTTATAAATGTCTTTTTAACTGAGGACAAATGTAATATAGGTATTGTATTAAAAGGTGAATCCTTTTAACTATTCATTCAATGATAAATAGGTATTTTCCTTCCAAATACAGATGGTGGTATTACTCTCTTATGTGAAAAATGATTTCGGAATCTAGTCCAGTGATAAATTGATTATCAATTAGTTGTTGTCCCCGTTTGTCTTTTTATGATGCAGATGCATGGTGAATATATGGTGAATCAATGAAGTTTTTCTCGAAGTTTTCAACGTAGCACCAAAATTATTGCAAAACACAGTAGGAAATAAAAAAGCGAAACATCACAATTTTGCAAATAACTAAGACGAAACTATAAACAGAAACCAAAAGCCAAAGCCAACAAAAAATCACTAAAGTCAGACGGAAAAATGAAACTAACCAAGAACATAAATAAATACACGTCACATCTTTGGAGTCTTTGGTTAAGTTTTTCTCCCATAAGGCTTAAAAATGGAGTAAGAAATCATAATTTCACCAGTGGCCCCATCTAGAGTTTGGAGCAAATAGCATAAAAAATGTCAGTTGTCGGTTTTGACCTTGGTCATTCACGTGGAACCTCTATGTGCTTTGTGTTGCAACCTCCGCGCGGCCGTCAGAAAATATCATACAAAATTACGTCGTCGATCGCGAACCTCCATTAAAATAGAGACTGGTTTTAAATGCATCCTAAGCTCCGTTACACGGGTCGCAGTACGTTTGACAGCGGTTCGCGTTCTGTGTCAACATGCTGTGTTACCATTTAGAACAAGCGGCACTTCGAGAGCATTCAGTAATTTTTTCTTGTAGAATATTACATATTATATTCAGCAGCTATTGTGTTGTTTTTCAACTAGGGACTGACGTCCCTAACTATTATTTCCGATTTCCAGTATAGATAGAATTTGATATATGACGTAAAAGTGTAATGAAAAGCAGCGAACACTTTTAGTATCGTCATAGCATCTCCTCTTTATTCTATCTCAATACGACCGACCGACGGTAAAATAAAAATAATACGACCTACAAAACATGGCAATCAAGCAAGTGTCTTCCGAGAATAATTAAACATTTGAATTATTACACAGAAGTTCATCTAATCGTCATTTTAAAGAACGTTATTGATACTTTCTTAGAAATTAAAGTCTGATAACAACTCCAATATTTGAAGCTAACTATATCGAGAGGTTATAGAGCAAATCCCGTTAATAAAACTGGCGCCCGAGTGTTACGGAGTTGAAGACGTCAAAAGTAATGATTGTTTCCTCTGTGGCCAGAAAATCTCTTCAAATACCCCACCTGCATTCACTTAATAACCCCTGCGAAGTGAGGTAACACCAACACGTTCATTCGTCATTTGATTCACATGATGTCACACCTACTAATCAGACGATATCATTGACAAAACAATATTAATACAGACCATAAATGTGGTATGGGATCCCTGACTCATTACTTGGAAATGCCCTGTGTGACTTATAACTCAATAATCATCGAACTAATAATTGAGCCAGAAGCCTTTGAACCAAATCCCATATTAGAGGTACCATCTTATTAAGTACTTGTTTGCAATGATTTTTATGTTTTATTTTTTTAGGTTATAATACATGATAGCTTTAATTTTTCTATGATCACAATGAACATATAAAAAACTTAAAAATGCATTATTTAACATTTTCAACAAGAAATAGTGAATAAATCAATTTGAAGTTATTAGACCTTCTAGTCGAGAGAAAAGGAAAGAGTGATTCGAAACAAAAGAATGATTTTCGTGTAACCATAACTAACATGTGATTAACTTTTATTACACACAATTTACATAGCTTTACAATATCGATCCTAGAAACAATATATTTATTTCTTATTTGTTTTCAGTGAAGCTGCGGAACATTTTCTAACTGCACTCAATCAGCAAGCCAGAGGTAAAGATGTAGTAAACAGTGGTTCATTATCGCAAATGTCGGATACAATATGGTCAACATTAAGAATGTGCGTGTCTTTAATGAATAGGGGAGAGCTAAAAGTATTTGTAGATAAAAAGGACTTGAACGGATTAAATAAAGCGTTTGGAATCGATTAGCACTTTCAAAAATTCACGTCAAATAGAAAGTTATTTTTTATAGTTATAATGGTGGTATACTTTGTAAGTTTTAAATATATTATTGTTAAAAAATGTGGTTATGTATTAATTTTACTTCCTTAATAATTTATGACGAACACACTGTCTGTTCAATTAGTTTTTTAATTCGTCTTAATTATCGAACCAAAAGAAAATAACATGGTTTTTCTCTAGTAGTCAATAAAACGCCGAAAAGTATTCTACATCCCATAGTTATTGAATTATTTTTCATTGTTGCCCTTCATGATTATAATGTATATTTTTATTCAGATTTTTTTCGTTTTTGACTTATCGTACGGACAAAAAACGTGACATCGGACGGACGGACAAAGTAAACCTGTAATACTCTTCGCAGACTAATGGTCGTCCCTCCCTGACACAAGTCCTGCTTTCAGAACTTCAGTGTTTGACTCATAATAGCATAAATTATAAGCAGATTATTATCATTACAAAATATAAATAGTATTCAGTGAAAAAAGAAGCTAAGAACTATGTGATCTTTCGAATTCTCTGAAGAACGCTCTAGAGAAATTTTACAGTTGAATAATGGGTGTGGTTATATTTTGTTTCGTTAATCTTTGTGTACAAATGTTTTCCATTGATATATTTGAGTGGACTTCAAAGATAATTTTTAAGACTTGAAGGACCATGAATAGGTTTCAGATGTTAATTTTATAATTAATACTACAAGATGGTTTTCATTAATATCTTTTATTTTTAATTTGCACCTTTGCACGTCAGTAGTTTGGTGATTTTTGGCAAAGTTCCTTATTCGCTCCGTGCGCGACAGCAGCGCCAATTCGTTTTGATACTAATGGACTATTTCTGCGTACACTGACAAATGCAACTTTTAATAGAATTCGTAATTAAAAAGTATATATGGTAGTTTTAATAAAAGTATATGGATTTGTAAAACAAGTAAAACATTAATTTATTATTATTATATATTTTTATCGCTTAAATTAAAGAAAATTATATATAATCGATAAAAATGAATAATAAAATATAGGCAGGCAACAGTATTTACTGGAAATTGTATGATAAGTTGCCCAAGTCTAATAAGTTTTCATTAAAGAATTACTCTAATCTGTCAAAATAAAAAAAATTCCATTTAATAATAGCGTGAAGTTAAAATGTATAAAAAAAGGATCATTACTTATATTTTCATTTTTGTTCGAAAGAAAACATAGAATGAATGATTAAAACTGATTTCCCATCAGTAACCGGAGTTGCTGTGTTGAAAATTGTACAAATACTAGCAAAAAAAAACAGTGAAACCTATATAAAAAATTTCAGTAGCAAAGTGGAAATTAAATCAAAGAAATAAATGGATAGGTGTATAATAAGAAGAATAATTACCTTTATTTTGGTAATAATAACAGAATAATGATGGAAATAGTAGACATCAGAAACTTGAAAGGTTTTAAATAAACAATAAATTATCATTTTACGATGTTTTTTAATATCCCTTTATTCTTAAATGTTCATTCAGCAAGGACTAGATTTCAAGATTTGCGCCTTTGTTTATTATATGATTTATATGTGGCTGGAATGCAATTTTGTGACTTACTGATGGGAAACCAGTTTTAATCATTCATTCTATGATTTCTTTCGAACAAAAATAATTAAATATAAATAAAGATCCTTTTTTTATACATTTTAACTTCACGCTATTCTTAAATGGTATTTTTATATTTTGACAGAATATGCTAATTTTTCAATGACAACTTATTAGACTTAGGCAACTTCTCATACATTTTCCAGTAAATACTGTTGCCTGCCTTTATTATTGATTTTTATTGATTATACATAATTTTCTTTAATTTAAGCGATACAAATATATAATAATAATAAATTAATGTTTTACTTGTTTTACAAATCCATATACTTTTATTAAAACTAACATATATACTTTTTAATTACGAATTCTATTAAAAATTGTATTTGTCAGTATACGCAGAAATAGTCCATTAGTATCAAAACGAATTGGCGCTGCTGTCGCGCACGGAGCAAATACCAAAGATGTAACAAATATCGTGCGGACCTGAATAAGACATTCAAAGGGACACAGGCGGGTTTAATATCCTCTGTTGTCATGCCTATTTCATTATTCTCGTTTTGTTTACAAAATTATTTACATATCGCCGTTCCGGTGGAATATCGACGTAACTGCAAATCACTGAATTTTACAGGAGAGACAAAAACGATAAGCTGTTTTTAAAAGGATTTGTTCTAAAGAGCCTAATTTCTTTAGAATTGTAATTCTTTTAAGAATAGACAATATTGGATGAACAATATAAGATACGTTAGATACATTTTTCTTATGTTTGATATTATAGGTGAATTTTGAAGTTATGCCTGTGTTTTGGTGAAAAAATAAATCTAACTTGCATTTTTGCCTTTTTCATTCATTAAGTTTATTAATCAAAAATACTAATTGTATTACTCCAAAATAAAATAAAATCGTGAAATCAATAATGGTAATATAAGAAAACATAATATAATAGAAAACAACATAATAGAAAATATTCCAGATCACACATTACTTATTTTACTATGTTAGTCAATATTCGATCGATTGCATAGGCGAATAAACCATTTAAACTAAAAAGAAAAACAGTTAATAGAACAAAAATTTCCATAGTTATTATTATAATAAACACGACTTATCCACCAGAAAAGTACATCCATTTTTCTTATCTAACGTAATAATATACTTTCATAATAGTTTTTATAAAACGCCGGAATAAGATTAGACTTGATCAAACTCAGTAAATCCTTTTTCTTATTTTCAGCTAACTGGAATAGCTCATTGTAGGCATTTTTTATATTAAGATCTTTCAGTTTATTTTTTGACCTTTTTCTTTGCCTAAAATTCACTTAAAGCCATTTTTTCTGTTTGTAACTTGTTTTGTAATGAAACTCTTCATTATTTCCTTTTATAAATCGTAAAATTTTAACTTCATTAATTTTAAAGTCATTTCCAACCGTATTCTTATTTATGGTGAGACCCATGTCATCAGCTAATGCCTTAAGGTCTAGAAAATTTTGAAAACTCATCTCCTTAACTTCAATTTTCCTTCCTTTTTTCTTGGCTTCCCGGATAATAGAAACATACTGGTCGGGAATATAAATGGGTCCCGACTTCTTGGCCAAGGAAATTTTCTTCTCGTTAATGCTGTGGACTGCATCTGCTTCATTCTGGGTATGCCCACGTATCAAAAATTTATGTGTGATAGACGCAATTTCAAAGTGCTCTACTGCATAGAGATACGCTTCAATCAGAAATCTAAAAACAAATTGAGTAATGAAAAATAGGTATACTAATGTAGCGTTTTAAAGGATTCACCTGTTCGTTTGTTGACCCATACAATTATCAGAAAAAAAAACTAAGTTTAATCCTGGCTGGCTTTTCGATAGTTCCTCCAGATAAATCAAAACGCAGCTCACTATTTCAACAGCACGCCTATTACCAAAAACTTCATGCCAAAAAAATGCTTTTGTTGAACTTTTTGTTATATTTGTTATCTGTAACAAAAAAAAAAACATGCACATAAAAATGTATAAAAAAAAAAGTTAAAATATGACTTACAGTGAAATTGTAGCAATTTAAACGCAATTTGCAGAAAAAAGCTGATGACTGTCCTACTAGAACAGGCAATACTGCCTGAAAATCATAAATAGCCAACGAAATCCTTACAGCTTGGGCTTTTATTTTATTTTCCTCCTCTTCTTTACGACTTTTTTCTCCTCCAAATGCTCATTATACTTATTTTCAATTACTTTCTTCTCATCTTCCGATGCATTTGAACTGAAGAGATAAACACAGATTTTGGTAGTAAAAGGTCATTAAAAAGCACAAGCGTTTGGTGATACAGACTCAAAATACGATTATGTCCTCGCAAAATGACAATTTAAAAAAAACAGACGTAAAGTACAATTAAGTCTTTGTTTTACCGAATCACGTAATGGTTTTTACAATTATGGCTTTTAAATTTCCAATGTCTAATAAAATATATAGGCGAAAAGTATACTTACGTCTTTGTCCTTCCAAAAATAGGGAAACAAAAATTTTAACACCAGTCCAAAGTAGCACTTGCGCCAAAGTTACACTAAAAATATGTGCGTCTCTATTGACAACTATTAGGTAACTGACCAATACGCCCGTGTCTTAGCAGATCGATGTTATCGACTTTGCCAAATGTGACAAGGACGTAACTAACATCCAGCGGCCAATATTGTTATTACATTCACGGCTTTGTTTCAGCTAATAAGTAACAGTATTCTTTATCGTTTTATGCAAATACCTAATTTTTTGAAAAAGTGGCAGTTACGTCGTTATACTACCGGAACGGCGATATATTAAAAAAGATAAAATAATTCAACCTATTTCTTGGTCCAGCATAGATAATATTTGTTTCGTTACTTCCTCCTTGTGGATATGCGAATAGGATTTCGTATAGATAGGGGCCTCATTTGCAGTTCGGGTATGATGTTTTATGTGATTTCTATTTATTTTTATTTATTTCTATTTATTTCTATTCATTTCTATTTATTTCTATTTATTTCTATTCATTTCTATTTATTTCTATTTATTTCTATTTATTTCTATTCATTTCTATTTATTTCTATTTATTTCTATTTATTTCTATTTATTTCTATTTATTTCTATTTATTTCTATTTATTTCTATTTATTTCTATTTATTTCTATTTATTTCTATTTATTTCTATTTATTTCTATTTATTTCTATTTATTTCTATTTATTTCTATTTATTTCTATTTATTTCTATTTATTTCTATTTATTTCTATTTATTTCTATTTATTTCTATTTATTTCTATTTATTTCTATTTATTTCTATTTATTTCTATTTATTTCTATTTATTTCTATTTATTTCTATTTATTTCTATTTATTTCTATTTATTTCTATTTATTTCTATTTATTTCTATTTATTTCTATTTATTTCTATTTATTTCTATTTATTTCTATTTATTTCTATTTATTTCTATTTATTTCTATTTATTTCTATTTATTTCTATTTATTTCTATTTATTTCTATTTATTTCTATTTATTTCTATTTATTTCTATTTATTTCTATTTATTTCTATTTATTTCTATTTATTTCTATTTATTTCTATTTATTTCTATTTATTTCTATTTATTTCTATTTATTTCTATTTATTTCTATTTATTTCTATTTATTTCTATTTATTTCTATTTATTTCTATTTATTTCTATTTATTTCTATTTATTTCTATTTATTTCTATTTATTTCTATTTATTTCTATTTATTTCTATTTATTTCTATTTATTTCTATTTATTTCTATTTATTTCTATTTATTTCTATTTATTTCTATTTATTTCTATTTATTTCTATTTATTTCTATTTATTTCTATTTATTTCTATTTATTTCTATTTATTTCTATTTATTTCTATTTATTTCTATTTATTTCTATTTATTTCTATTTATTTCTATTTATTTCTATTTATTTCTATTTATTTCTATTTATTTCTATTTATTTCTATTTATTTATATTTATTTATATTTATTTATATTTATTTATATTTATTTCTATTTATTTCCATTTATTTCAAGTGGGGAGTAGGCAGTAGAGATGTGGGGACATCGAAATATGTCTGTGTCGGGTCATCAAAATGATATTCACTTCTCATATTTTTGATGCCAGGGCGAGCCATATAAAGTTTCATTTCAAAAAGCTCTGCTAGTATTTATGCAACCGAATATACACCACCGTATGTTGTATTGCCTAAGTGGTGTATATAATGGGGCGAAGGTGGACATTTTCGTAGTAGTGTTGCTATTAAACGTCAGGGACGGCTTGTGGATTATTATTGGAACAACCGAACCAAAAGGAAGCCGCATGAATCCTATAAATTGACGTGGAATATATTCTTTTTATTAAAAATAGTATTGACAGATAACAATACATTTTCATTTTATATTTATATAAATTGGTTTCCCCTTATACTGGAGACAAGCCGCCACTGAGTATATTCTACCTAGTAACTTCCTAACGTAGTCTCATGTAAAAAAAATAATTATAAATTTTTGGTTATATTTATTTTAATTTTTCGTCCATATTAGTTTAAGGGGAATAAATAAAGGAAACTAAATATTTTTTCAATAATTTATTATTCAATCCAATATTTACTAATACATATATGGGTAGATATTTCGTGGTTATGTTATTAAAACTAAAATATATACATAAACAACTAAAAAGAAATTTAAAAATTAAAAGTATGCATCTAATAAAATAATTAACAAACAACAAAGCAGTCGCGTCTACATCTATGGTTCACTTTGTCAAACCGGAAGTAGAGATCGCAAGTTTTAATAGTTGCTACAAGAGCAAGTTTACCTTTAGAATCTTTAGAATACAGACATTCATAGTACTCCTTGCAACTACCCTCGACTGGGAACTTTCCTACAGCTGGACACTGGTAACTTAGACTCCTGCCACAAGTAGAAGACTCTACACACATGCCTATTTTGCTGTTATATGTTTGGTACTTCGGACATCTATACTGATCAATAGTGTAGCTCTTCGTATATTTATTATAAGTACACTTGTAATATACATTGCAGTCTGTCGGATGTGCAAAATAACCTGAGGCAGTACATGTCAAAATATTTTCGTTTGGACATTGAACAGGTTTGTCAGTACAAACTTCGTTGGCGGCATCGTACTTAGTATCTTTGGGACATTCAATACGGATGTCGATTAGCGTATTTAATAATTTGATACACCTATGGTAGCTGGTACAACTGGTGGAATCTGGATACCGTCCTTCCTTGGGACAAATAAATTGTTCATTCGGGCGTACGGTGGTAGTAGAAGTGGAACTAGTAGTTGGTGAAGCTACTGTTGTAGTAGAAGTGGAACTAGTAGTTGGTAAAGCGGTTACTCCACAAGTTGATTTTTCGCATTTTTGTGTTCCTTCGTCAAAGCTGGTACCATAAGGACATAAAAATTGTTCAATATCGAATTTGTATAAAAAGTAATTCCATGTACACGAATAAAAGCGGCTACAATTCGTAGGATGAGCATACAATCCATCGTCATCACAAGTGATGACTTGTTCACCTGGACACTGTACTGGACTAGAAGTACATTTTTCATTATACGAGTCGTAAAAAGTGTCTGTAGGGCAAGACAAATGATATTCACGGAGACCAGTTAAAAGAATAATGCATACATAGAACTTGGAACAGTCTTCGGGATCAGGATATTTACCGTGTTTAGTACAATGAAAAGATGGTGTACTAGTGGTAGATTCTGTACTAGTACTCGTTGATGTGTCAGTGCTAGAACTTTGTGTTAAACATTTTATGGTCGTGGTTTCAGTAGAAGTAGATTCTGTGCTAGTACTTGTGGATTCCGTACTACTACTCGTTGATTCTGTACTGCTACTGGTAGACTCGGTACTTGTGCTGGGACTGGTAGATTCTGTGCTGGTACTTGTAGATTCTGTGCTCGTACTGGTAGATTCCGAGCTAGTGCTTGGACTAGTAGATTCTGTACTGGTACTTGTGGATTCGGTGCTAGTACTTGTAGATACCGTACTGGGTGTTTTAGTAGTTTTTCTGGTTTTTCTAGTAGGTTTTGTGGTTGTAGATTCTGAGCTACTGCTTGGACTAGTAGATTCAGTACTGGTACTTGTGGATTCGGTGCTAGTACTTGTGGATTCCGTACTACTACTCGTAGATTCTGTGCTAGTGCTGGGACTAGTAGATTCTGTACTTGTACTTGTGGATTCGGTGCTAGTACTTGTAGATACCGTACTGGGTGTTTTTGTAGTTTTTCTGGTTTTTCTAGTAGGTTTTGTGGTTGTAGATTCTGAGCTACTGCTTGGACTAGTAGATTCAGTACTGGTACTTGTGGATTCGGTGCTAGTACTTGTAGATTCCGTACTGGGTGTTTTAGTAGTTTTTCTGGTTTTTCTAGTAGGTTTTGTGGTTGTAGATTCTGAGCTACTGCTTGGACTAGTAGATTCAGTACTGGTACTTGTGGATTCGGTGCTAGTACTTGTGGATTCCGTACTACTACTCGTTGATTCTGTGCTAGTGCTGGGACTAGTAGATTCTGTACTTGTACTTGTGGATTCGGTGCTAGTACTTGTAGATACCGTACTGGGTGTTTTTGTAGTTTTTCTGGTTTTTCTAGTAGGTTTTGTGGTTGTAGATTCTGAGCTACTGCTTGGACTAGTAGATTCAGTACTGGTACTTGTGGATTCGGTGCTAGTACTTGTAGATTCCGTACTACTACTCGTTGATTCTGTGCTAGTGCTGGGACTAGTAGATTCTGTACTTGTACTGGTAGATTCTGTAGTAGAAGTATCCTCAGATTCTGTGGTACTTTCAGTTTCGGTGGATGATTCTTCAGTAGTTTCTGATTCAGTCGTACTCTCAGTCGACTCTGTTGTACTTACACTGCTTGATTCGGTGGAGGTGCTTGTTGAAGGGCTTGTGGATTCTGTACTAGTACTTGTGGATTCTGTGCTAGTACTTGTGGATTCCGTACTACTACTCGTTGATCCTGTACTGCTACTGGTAGACTCGGTACTTGTGCTGGGACTGGAAGATTCTGTGCTGGTACTTGTAGATTCTGTGCTCGAACTGGTAGATTCCGAGCTAGTGCTTGGACTAGTAGATTCTGTACTGGTACTTGTGGATTCGGTGCTAGTACTTGTAGATACCGTACTGGGTGTTTTTGTAGTTTTTCTGGTTTTTCTAGTAGGTTTTGTGGTTGTAGATTCTGAACTACTGCTTGGACTAGTAGATTCAGTACTGGTACTTGTGGATTCGGTGCTAGTACTCGTAGATTCCGTACTAGTACTCGTTGATTCTGTGCTAGTGCTGGGACTAGTAGATTCTGTACTTGTACTGGTAGATTCTGTAGTAGAGGTATCCTCAGATTCTGTGGTACTTTCAGTTTCGGTGGATGATTCTTCAGTAGTTTCTGATTCAGTCGTACTCTCAGTCGACTCTGTTGTACTTACACTGCTTGATTCGGTGGAGGTGCTTGTTGAAGGGCTTGTGGATTCTGTACTAGTACTTGTGGATTCTGTGCTAGTACTTGTGGATTCCGTACTACTACTCGTTGATTCTGTACTGCTACTGGTAGACTCGGTACTTGTGCTGGGACTGGAAGATTCTGTGCTGGTACTTGTAGATTCTGTGCTCGTACTCGTAGATTCGGAGCTAGTGCTTGGACTAGTAGATTCCGTACTGGTACTTGTGGATTCGGTGCTAGTACTTGTAGATTCCGTACTACTACTCGTTGATTCTGTGCTAGTGCTGGGACTAGTAGATTCTGTACTTGTACTGGTAGATTCTGTAGTAGAGGTATCCTCAGATTCTGTGGTACTTTCAGTTTCGGTGGATGATTCTTCAGTAGTTTCTGATTCAGTCGTACTCTCAGTCGACTCTGTTGTACTTACACTGCTTGATTCGGTGGAGGTGCTTGTTGAAGGGCTTGTGGATTCTGTACTAGTACTTGTGGATTCTGTGCTAGTACTTGTGGATTCCGTACTACTACTCGTTGATTCTGTACTGCTACTGGTAGACTCGGTACTTGTGCTGGGACTGGTAGATTCTGTGCTGGTACTTGTAGATTCTGTGCTCGTACTGGTAGATTCCGAGCTAGTGCTTGGACTAGTAGATTCTGTACTGGTACTTGTTGATTCGGTGCTAGTACTTGTAGATACCGTACTGGGTGTTTTTGTAGTTTTTCTGGTTTTTCTAGTAGGTTTTGTGGTTGTAGATTCTGAGCTACTGCTTGGACTAGTAGATTCAGTACTGGTACTTGTGGATTCGGTGCTAGTACTTGTAGATTCCGTACTACTACTCGTTGATTCTGTGCTAGTGCTGGGACTAGTAGATTCTGTACTTGTACTGGTAGATTCTGTAGTAGAGGTATCCTCAGATTCTGTGGTACTTTCAGTTTCGGTGGATGATTCTTCAGTAGTTTCTGATTCAGTCGTACTCTCAGTCGACTCTGTTGTACTTACACTGCTTGATTCGGTGGAGGTGCTTGTTGAAGGGCTTGTGGATTCTGTACTAGTACTTGTGGATTCTGTGCTAGTACTTGTGGATTCCGTACTACTACTCGTTGATCCTGTACTGCTACTGGTAGACTCGGTACTTGTGCTGGGACTGGAAGATTCTGTGCTGGTACTTGTAGATTCTGTGCTCGAACTGGTAGATTCCGAGCTAGTGCTTGGACTAGTAGATTCTGTACTGGTACTTGTGGATTCGGTGCTAGTACTTGTAGATACCGTACTGGGTGTTTTTGTAGTTTTTCTGGTTTTTCTAGTAGGTTTTGTGGTTGTAGATTCTGAACTACTGCTTGGACTAGTAGATTCAGTACTGGTACTTGTGGATTCGGTGCTAGTACTCGTAGATTCCGTACTACTACTCGTTGATTCTGTGCTAGTGCTGGGACTAGTAGATTCTGTACTTGTACTGGTAGATTTTGTAGTAGAGGTATCCTCAGATTCTGTGGTACTTTCAGTTTCGGTGGATGATTCTTCAGTAGTTTCTGATTCAGTCGTACTCTCAGTCGACTCTGTTGTACTTACACTGCTTGATTCGGTGGAGGTGCTTGTTGAAGGGCTTGTGGATTCTGTACTAGTACTTGTGGATTCTGTGCTAGTACTTGTGGATTCCGTACTACTACTCGTTGATTCTGTACTGCTACTGGTAGACTCGGTACTTGTGCTGGGACTGGAAGATTCTGTGCTGGTACTTGTAGATTCTGTGCTCGTACTCGTAGATTCGGAGCTAGTGCTTGGACTAGTAGATTCCGTACTGGTACTTGTGGATTCGGTGCTAGTACTTGTAGATTCCGTACTACTACTCGTTGATTCTGTGCTAGTGCTGGGACTAGTAGATTCTGTACTTGTACTGGTAGATTCTGTAGTAGATGTATCCTCAGATTCTGTGGTACTTTCAGTTTCGGTGGATGATTCTTCAGTAGTTTCTGATTCAGTCGTACTCTCAGTCGACTCTGTTGTACTTACACTGCTTGATTCGGTGGAGGTGCTTGTTGAAGGGCTTGTGGATTCTGTACTAGTACTTGTCGATTCTGTGCTAGTACTTGTGGATTCCGTACTACTACTCGTTGATCCTGTACTGCTACTGGTAGACTCGGTACTTGTGCTGGGACTGGAAGATTCTGTGCTGGTACTGGGAGATTCTGTGCTGGTACTTGTAGATTCTGTGCCCGAACTGGTTGATTCCGAGCTAGTGCTTGGACTAGTAGATTCTGTACTGGTACTTGTGGATTCGGTGCTAGTACTTGTAGATACCGTACTGGGTGTTTTTGTAGTTTTTCTGGTTTTTCTAGTAGGTTTTGTGGTTGTAGATTCTGAGCTACTGCTTGGACTAGTAGATTCAGTACTGGTACTTGTGGATTCGGTGCTAGTACTTGTAGATTCCGTACTACTACTCGTGGATTCTGTGCTAGTGCTGGGACTAGTAGATTCTGTACTTGTACTGGTAGATTCTGTAGTAGAGGTATCCTCAGATTCTGTGGTACTTTCAGTTTCGGTGGATGATTCTTCAGTAGTTTCTGATTCAGTCGTACTCTCAGTCGACTCTGTTGTACTTACACTGCTTGATTCGGTGGAGGTGCTTGTTGAAGGGCTTGTGGATTCTGTACTAGTACTTGTGGATTCTGTGCTAGTACTTGTGGATTCCGTACTACTACTCGTTGATTCTGTACTGCTACTGGTAGACTCGGTACTTGTGCTGGGACTGGTAGATTCTGTACTGGTACTTGTGGATTCGGTGCTAGTACTCGTAGATTCCGTACTACTACTCGTTGATTCTGTGCTAGTGCTGGGACTAGTAGATTCTGTACTTGTACTGGTAGATTCTGTAGTAGAGGTATCCTCAGATTCTGTGGTACTTTCAGTTTCGGTGGATGATTCTTCAGTAGTTTCTGATTCAGTCGTACTCTCAGTCGACTCTGTTGTACTTACACTGCTTGATTCGGTGGAGGTGCTTGTTGAAGGGCTTGTGGATTCTGTACTAGTACTTGTGGATTCTGTGCTAGTACTTGTGGATTCCGTACTACTACTCGTTGATCCTGTACTGCTACTGGTAGACTCGGTACTTGTGCTGGGACTGGAAGATTCTGTGCTGGTACTTGTAGATTCTGTGCTCGAACTGGTAGATTCCGAGCTAGTGCTTGGACTAGTAGATTCTGTACTGGTACTTGTGGATTCGGTGCTAGTACTTGTAGATACCGTACTGGGTGTTTTTGTAGTTTTTCTGGTTTTTCTAGTAGGTTTTGTGGTTGTAGATTCTGAGCTACTGCTTGGACTAGTAGATTCAGTACTGGTACTTGTGGATTCGGTGCTAGTACTTGTAGATTCCGTACTACTACTCGTTGATTCTGTGCTAGTGCTGGGACTAGTAGATTCTGTACTTGTACTGGTAGATTCTGTAGTAGAGGTATCCTCAGATTCTGTGGTACTTTCAGTTTCGGTGGATGATTCTTCAGTAGCTTCTGATTCAGTCGTACTCTCAGTCGACTCTGTTGGACTTACACTGCTTGATTCGGTGGAGGTGCTTGTTGAAGGGCTTGTGGATTCTGTGCTAGTACTTGTGGATTCCGTACTACTACTCGTTGATTCTGTACTGCTACTGGTAGACTCGGTACTTGTGCTGGGACTGGTAGATTCTGTGCTGGTACTTGTAGATTCTGTGCTCGTACTCGTAGATTCCGAGCTAGAGCTTGGACTAGTAGATTCTGTACTGGTACTTGTGGATTCGGTGCTAGTACTTGTAGATTCCGTACTACTACTCGTTGATTCTGTGCTAGTGCTGGGACTAGTAGATTCTGTACTTGTACTGGTAGATTCTGTAGTAGAGGTATCCTCAGATTCTGTGGTACTTTCAGTTTCGGTGGATGATTCTTCAGTAGTTTCTGATTCAGTCGTACTCTCAGTCGACTCTGTTGTACTTACACTGCTTGATTCGGTGGAGGTGCTTGTTGAAGGGCTTGTGGATTCTGTACTAGTACTTGTGGATTCTGTGCTAGTACTTGTGGATTCCGTACTACTACTCGTTGATTCTGTACTGCTACTGGTAGACTCGGTACTTGTACTGGGACTGGTAGATTCTGTGCTGGTACTTGTAGATTCTGTGCTCGTACTCGTAGATTCCGAGCTAGAGCTTGGACTAGTAGATTCTGTACTGGTACTTGTGGATTCGGTGCTAGTACTTGTAGATTCCGTACTACTACTCGTTGATTCTGTGCTAGTGCTGGGACTAGTAGATTCTGTACTTGTACTGGTAGATTCTGTAGTAGAGGTATCCTCAGATTCTGTGGTACTTTCAGTTTCGGTGGATGATTCTTCAGTAGTTTCTGATTCAGTCGTACTCTCAGTCGACTCTGTTGTACTTACACTGCTTGATTCGGTGGAGGTGCTTGTTGAAGGGCTTGTGGATTCTGTACTAGTACTTGTGGATTCTGTGCTAGTACTTGTGGATTCCGTACTACTACTCGTTGATTCTGTACTGCTACTGGTAGACTCGGTACTTGTGCTGGGACTGGTAGATTCTGTGCTGGTACTTGTAGATTCTGTGCTCGTACTCGTAGATTCGGAGCTAGTGCTTGGACTAGTAGATTCCGTACTGGTACTTGTGGATTCGGTGCTAGTACTTGTAGATTCCGTACTACTACTCGTTGATTCTGTGCTAGTGCTGGGACTAGTAGATTCTGTACTGCTACTGGTAGACTCGGTACTTGTGCTGGGACTGGAAGATTCTGTGCTGGTACTTGTAGATTCTGTGCTCGAACTGGTAGATTCCGAGCTAGTGCTTGGACTAGTAGATTCTGTACTGGTACTTGTGGATTCGGTGCTAGTACTTGTAGATACCGTACTGGGTGTTTTTGTAGTTTTTCTGGTTTTTCTAGTAGGTTTTGTGGTTGTAGATTCTGAGCTACTGCTTGGACTAGTAGATTCTGTACTGGTACTTGTGGATTCGGTGCTAGTACTTGTAGATTCCGTACTACTACTCGTTGATTCTGTGCTAGTGCTGAGACTAGTAGATTCTGTACTTGTACTGGTAGATTCTGTAGTAGAGGTATCCTCAGATTCTGTGGTACTTTCAGTTTCGGTGGATGATTCTTCAGTAGTTTCTGATTCAGTCGTACTCTCAGTCGACTCTGTTGTACTTACACTGCTTGATTCGGTGGAGGTGCTTGTTGAAGGGCTTGTGGATTCTGTACTAGTACTTGTGGATTCTGTGCTAGTACTTGTGGATTCCGTACTACTACTCGTTGATTCTGTACTGCTACTGGTAGACTCGGTACTTGTGCTGGGACTGGTAGATTCTGTGCTGGTACTTGTAGATTCTGTGCTCGTACTCGTAGATTCGGAGCTAGTGCTTGGACTAGTAGATTCCGTACTGGTACTTGTGGATTCGGTGCTAGTACTTGTAGATTCCGTACTACTACTCGTTGATTCTGTGCTAGTGCTGGGACTAGTAGATTCTGTACTTGTACTGGTAGATTCTGTAGTAGAGGTATCCTCAGATTCTGTGGTACTTTCAGTTTCGGTGGATGATTCTTCAGTAGTTTCTGATTCAGTCGTACTCTCAGTCGACTCTGTTGTACTTACACTGCTTGATTCGGTGGAGGTGCTTGTTGAAGGGCTTGTGGATTCTGTACTAGTACTTGTGGATTCTGTGCTAGTACTTGTGGATTCCGTACTACTACTCGTTGATCCTGTACTGCTACTGGTAGACTCGGTACTTGTGCTGGGACTGGAAGATTCTGTGCTGGTACTTGTAGATTCTGTGCTCGAACTGGTAGATTCCGAGCTAGTGCTTGGACTAGTAGATTCTGTACTGGTACTTGTGGATTCGGTGCTAGTACTTGTAGATACCGTACTGGGTGTTTTTGTAGTTTTTCTGGTTTTTCTAGTAGGTTTTGTGGTTGTAGATTCTGAGCTACTGCTTGGACTAGTAGATTCAGTACTGGTACTTGTGGATTCGGTGCTAGTACTTGTAGATTCCGTACTACTACTCGTTGATTCTGTGCTAGTGCTGGGACTAGTAGATTCTGTACTTGTACTGGTAGATTCTGTAGTAGAGGTATCCTCAGATTCTGTGGTACTTTCAGTTTCGGTGGATGATTCTTCAGTAGTTTCTGATTCAGTCGTACTCTCAGTCGACTCTGTTGTACTTACACTGCTTGATTCGGTGGAGGTGCTTGTTGAAGGGCTTGTGGATTCTGTACTAGTACTTGTGGATTCTGTGCTAGTACTTGTGGATTCCGTACTACTACTCGTTGATTCTGTACTGCTACTGGTAGACTCGGTACTTGTGCTGGGACTGGTAGATTCTGTGCTGGTACTTGTAGATTCTGTGCTCGTACTCGTAGATTCCGAGCTAGAGCTTGGACTAGTAGATTCTGTACTGGTACTTGTGGATTCGGTGATAGTACTTGTAGATTCCGTACTACTACTCGTTGATTCTGTGCTAGTGCTGGGACTAGTAGATTCTGTACTTGTACTGGTAGATTCTGTAGTAGAGGTATCCTCAGATTCTGTGGTACTTTCAGTTTCGGTGGATGATTCTTCAGTAGTTTCTGATTCAGTCGTACTCTCAGTCGACTCTGTTGTACTTACACTGCTTGATTCGGTGGAGGTGCTTGTTGAAGGGCTTGTGGATTCTGTACTAGTACTTGTGGATTCTGTGCTAGTACTTGTGGATTCCGTACTACTACTCGTTGATTCTGTACTGCTACTGGTAGACTCGGTACTTGTGCTGGGACTGGTAGATTTGTTGCTGGTACTTGTAGATTCTGTGCTCGTACTCGTAGATTCGGAGCTAGTGCTTGGACTAGTAGATTCCGTACTGGTACTTGTGGATTCGGTGCTAGTACTTGTAGATTCCGTACTACTACTCGTTGATTCTGTGCTAGTGCTGGGACTAGTAGATTCTGTACTTGTACTGGTAGATTCTGTAGTAGAGGTATCCTCAGATTCTGTGGTACTTTCAGTTTCGGTGGATGATTCTTCAGTAGTTTCTGATTCAGTCGTACTCTCAGTCGACTCTGTTGTACTTACACTGCTTGATTCGGTGGAGGTGCTTGTTGAAGGGCTTGTGGATTCTGTACTAGTACTTGTGGATTCTGTGCTAGTACTTGTGGATTCCGTACTACTACTCGTTGATCCTGTACTGCTACTGGTAGACTCGGTACTTGTGCTGGGACTGGAAGATTCTGTGCTGGTACTTGTAGATTCTGTGCTCGAACTGGTAGATTCCGAGCTAGTGCTTGGACTAGTAGATTCTGTATTGCTACTTGTGGATTCGGTGCTAGTACTTGTAGATACCGTACTGGGTGTTTTTGTAGTTTTTCTGGTTTTTCTAGTAGGTTTTGTGGTTGTAGATTCTGAGCTACTGCTTGGACTAGTAGATTCAGTACTGGTACTTGTGGATTCGGTGCTAGTACTTGTAGATTCCGTACTACTACTCGTTGATTCTGTGCTAGTGCTGGGACTAGTAGATTCTGTACTTGTACTGGTAGATTCTGTAGTAGAGGTATCCTCAGATTCTGTGGTACTTTCAGTTTCGGTGGATGATTCTTCAGTAGTTTCTGATTCAGTCGTACTCTCAGTCGACTCTGTTGTACTTACACTGCTTGATTCGGTGGAGGTGCTTGTTGAAGGGCTTGTGGATTCTGTACTAGTACTTGTGGATTCTGTGCTAGTACTTGTGGATTCCGTACTACTACTCGTTGATTCTGTACTGCTACTGGTAGACTCGGTACTTGTGCTGGGACTGGTAGATTCTGTGCTGGTACTTGTAGATTCTGTGCTAGTACTTGTAGATACCGTACTGGGTGTTTTTGTAGTTTTTCTGGTTTTTCTAGTAGGTTTTGTGGTTGTAGATTCTGAGCTACTGCTTGGACTAGTAGATTCTGTACTGGTACTTGTGGATTCGGTGCTAGTACTTGTAGATTCCGTACTACTACTCGTTGATTCTGTGCTAGTGCTGGGACTAGTAGATTCTGTACTTGTACTGGTAGATTCTGTAGTAGAGGTATCCTCAGATTCTGTGGTACTTTCAGTTTCGGTGGATGATTCTTCAGTAGTTTCTGATTCAGTCGTACTCTCAGTCGACTCTGTTGTACTTACACTGCTTGATTCGGTGGAGGTGCTTGTTGAAGGGCTTGTGGATTCTGTACTAGTACTTGTGGATTCTGTGCTAGTACTTGTGGATTCCGTACTACTACTCGTTGATCCTGTACTGCTACTGGTAGACTCGGTACTTGTGCTGGGACTGGAAGATTCTGTGCTGGTACTTGTAGATTCTGTGCTCGAACTGGTAGATTCCGAGCTAGTGCTTGGACTAGTAGATTCTGTACTGGTACTTGTGGATTCGGTGCTAGTACTTGTAGATACCGTACTGGGTGTTTTTGTAGTTTTTCTGGTTTTTCTAGTAGGTTTTGTGGTTGTAGATTCTGAGCTACTGCTTGGACTAGTAGATTCAGTACTGGTACTTGTGGATTCGGTGCTAGTACTTGTAGATTCCGTACTACTACTCGTTGATTCTGTGCTAGTGCTGGGACTAGTAGATTCTGTACTTGTACTGGTAGATTCTGTAGTAGAGGTATCCTCAGATTCTGTGGTACTTTCAGTTTCGGTGGATGATTCTTCAGTAGTTTCTGATTCAGTCGTACTCTCAGTCGACTCTGTTGTACTTACACTGCTTGATTCGGTGGAGGTGCTTGTTGAAGGGCTTGTGGATTCTGTACTAGTACTTGTGGATTCTGTGCTAGTACTTGTGGATTCCGTACTACTACTCGTTGATTCTGTACTGCTACTGGTAGACTCGGTACTTGTGCTGGGACTGGTAGATTCTGTGCTGGTACTTGTAGATTCTGTGCTCGTACTCGTAGATTCCGAGCTAGAGCTTGGACTAGTAGATTCTGTACTGGTACTTGTGGATTCGGTGATAGTACTTGTAGATTCCGTACTACTACTCGTTGATTCTGTGCTAGTGCTGGGACTAGTAGATTCTGTACTTGTACTGGTAGATTCTGTAGTAGAGGTATCCTCAGATTCTGTGGTACTTTCAGTTTCGGTGGATGATTCTTCAGTAGTTTCTGATTCAGTCGTACTCTCAGTCGACTCTGTTGTACTTACACTGCTTGATTCGGTGGAGGTGCTTGTTGAAGGGCTTGTGGATTCTGTACTAGTACTTGTGGATTCTGTGCTAGTACTTGTGGATTCCGTACTACTACTCGTTGATTCTGTACTGCTACTGGTAGACTCGGTACTTGTGCTGGGACTGGTAGATTCTGTGCTGGTACTTGTAGATTCTGTGCTCGTACTCGTAGATTCGGAGCTAGTGCTTGGACTAGTAGATTCCGTACTGGTACTTGTGGATTCGGTGTTAGTACTTGTAGATTCCGTACTACTACTCGTTGATTCTGTGCTAGTGCTGGGACTAGTAGATTCTGTACTGCTACTGGTAGACTCGGTACTTGTGCTGGGACTGGAAGATTCTGTGCTGGTACTTGTAGATTCTGTGCTCGAACTGGTAGATTCCGAGCTAGTGCTTGGACTAGTAGATTCTGTACTGGTACTTGTGGATTCGGTGCTAGTACTTGTAGATACCGTACTGGGTGTTTTTGTAGTTTTTCTGGTTTTTCTAGTAGGTTTTGTGGTTGTAGATTCTGAGCTACTGCTTGGACTAGTAGATTTAGTACTGGTACTTGTGGATTCGGTGCTAGTACTTGTAGATTCCGTACTACTACTCGTTGATTCTGTGCTAGTGCTGGGACTAGTAGATTCTGTACTTGTACTGGTAGATTCTGTAGTAGAGGTATCCTCAGATTCTGTGGTACTTTCAGTTTCGGTGGATGATTCTTCAGTAGTTTCTGATTCAGTCGTACTCTCAGTCGACTCTGTTGTACTTACACTGCTTGATTCGGTGGAGGTGCTTGTTGAAGGGCTTGTGGATTCTGTACTAGTACTTGTGGATTCTGTGCTAGTACTTGTGGATTCCGTACTACTACTCGTTGATTCTGTACTGCTACTGGTAGACTCGGTACTTGTGCTGGGACTGGTAGATTCTGTGCTGGTACTTGTAGATTCTGTGCTCGTACTCGTAGAGTCGGAGCTAGTGCTTGGACTAGTAGATTCCGTACTGGTACTTGTGGATTCGGTGCTAGTACTTGTAGATTCCGTACTACTACTCGTTGATTCTGTGCTAGTGCTGGGACTAGTAGATTCTGTACTTGTACTGGTAGATTCTGTAGTAGAGGTATCCTCAGATTCTGTGGTACTTTCAGTTTCGGTGGATGATTCTTCAGTAGTTTCTGATTCAGTCGTACTCTCAGTCGACTCTGTTGTACTTACACTGCTTGATTCGGTGGAGGTGCTTGTTGAAGGGCTTGTGGATTCTGTACTAGTACTTGTGGATTCTGTGCTAGTACTTGTGGATTCCGTACTACTACTCGTTGATTCTGTACTGCTACTGGTAGACTCGGTACTTGTGCTGGGACTGGAAGATTCTGTGCTGGTACTTGTAGATTCTGTGCTCGTACTCGTAGATTCGGAGCTAGTGCTTGGACTAGTAGATTCCGTACTGGTACTTGTGGATTCGGTGCTAGTACTTGTAGATTCCGTACTACTACTCGTTGATTCTGTGCTAGTGCTGGGACTAGTAGATTCTGTACTTGTACTGGTAGATTCTGTAGTAGAGGTATCCTCAGATTCTGTGGTACTTTCAGTTTCGGTGGATGATTCTTCAGTAGTTTCTGATTCAGTCGTACTCTCAGTCGACTCTGTTGTACTTACACTGCTTGATTCGGTGGAGGTGCTTGTTGAAGGGCTTGTGGATTCTGTACTAGTACTTGTGGATTCTGTGCTAGTACTTGTGGATTCCGTACTACTACTCGTTGATCCTGTACTGCTACTGGTAGACTCGGTACTTGTGCTGGGACTGGAAGATTCTGTGCTGGTACTTGTAGATTCTGTGCTCGAACTGGTAGATTCCGAGCTAGTGCTTGGACTAGTAGATTCTGTATTGCTACTTGTGGATTCGGTGCTAGTACTTGTAGATACCGTACTGGGTGTTTTTGTAGTTTTTCTGGTTTTTCTGGTTTTTCTAGTAGGTTTTGTGGTTGTAGATTCTGAGCTACTGCTTGGACTAGTAGATTCAGTACTGGTACTTGTGGATTCGGTGCTAGTACTTGTAGATTCCGTACTACTACTCGTTGATTCTGTGCTAGTGCTGGGACTAGTAGATTCTGTACTTGTACTGGTAGATTCTGTAGTAGAGATATCCTCAGATTCTGTGGTACTTTCAGTTTCGGTGGATGATTCTTCAGTAGTTTCTGATTCAGTCGTACTCTCAGTCGACTCTGTTGTACTTACACTGCTTGATTCGGTGGAGGTGCTTGTTGAAGGGCTTGTGGATTCTGTACTAGTACTTGTGGATTCTGTGCTAGTACTTGTGGATTCCGTACTACTACTCGTTGATTCTGTACTGCTACTGGTAGACTCGGTACTTGTGCTGGGACTGGTAGATTCTGTGCTGGTACTTGTAGATTCTGTGCTCGTACTCGTAGATTCCGAGCTAGAGCTTGGACTAGTAGATTCTGTACTGGTACTTGTGGATTCGGTGCTAGTACTTGTAGATTCCGTACTACTACTCGTTGATTCTGTGCTAGTGCTGGGACTAGTAGATTCTGTACTGCTACTGGTAGACTCGGTACTTGTGCTGGGACTGGAAGATTCTGTGCTGGTACTTGTAGATTCTGTGCTCGAACTGGTAGATTCCGAGCTAGTGCTTGGACTAGTAGATTCTGTACTGGTACTTGTGGATTCGGTGCTAGTACTTGTAGATACCGTACTGGGTGTTTTTGTAGTTTTTCTAGTAGGTTTTGTGGTTGTAGATTCTGAGCTACTGCTTGGACTAGTAGATTCTGTACTGGTACTTGTGGATTCGGTGCTAGTACTTGTAGATTCCGTACTACTACTCGTTGATTCTGTGCTAGTGCTGGGACTAGTAGATTCTGTACTTGTACTGGTAGATTCTGTAGTAGAGGTATCCTCAGATTCTGTGGTACTTTCAGTTTCGGTGGATGATTCTTCAGTAGTTTCTGATTCAGTCGTACTCTCAGTCGACTCTGTTGTACTTACACTGCTTGATTCGGTGGAGGTGCTTGTTGAAGGGCTTGTGGATTCTGTACTAGTACTTGTGGATTCTGTGCTAGTACTTGTGGATTCCGTACTACTACTCGTTGATTCTGTACTGCTACTGGTAGACTCGGTACTTGTGCTGGGACTGGTAGATTCTGTGCTGGTACTTGTAGATTCTGTGCTCGTACTCGTAGATTCGGAGCTAGTGCTTGGACTAGTAGATTCCGTACTGGTACTTGTGGATTCGGTGCTAGTACTTGTAGATTCCGTACTACTACTCGTTGATTCTGTGCTAGTGCTGGGACTAGTAGATTCTGTACTGCTACTGGTAGACTCGGTACTTGTGCTGGGACTGGAAGATTCTGTGCTGGTACTTGTAGATTCTGTGCTCGAACTGGTAGATTCCGAGCTAGTGCTTGGACTAGTAGATTCTGTACTGGTACTTGTGGATTCGGTGCTAGTACTTGTAGATACCGTACTGGGTGTTTTTGTAGTTTTTCTGGTTTTTCTAGTAGGTTTTGTGGTTGTAGATTCTGAGCTACTGCTTGGACTAGTAGATTCAGTACTGGTACTTGTGGATTCGGTGCTAGTACTTGTAGATTCCGTACTACTACTCGTTGATTCTGTGCTAGTGCTGGGACTAGTAGATTCTGTACTTGTACTGGTAGATTCTGTAGTAGAGGTATCCTTAGATTCTGTGGTACTTTCAGTTTCGGTGGATGATTCTTCAGTAGTTTCTGATTCAGTCGTACTCTCAGTCGACTCTGTTGTACTTACACTGCTTGATTCGGTGGAGGTGCTTGTTGAAGGGCTTGTGGATTCTGTACTAGTACTTGTGGATTCTGTGCTAGTACTTGTGGATTCCGTACTACTACTCGTTGATTCTGTACTGCTACTGGTAGACTCGGTACTTGTGCTGGGACTGGTAGATTCTGTGCTGGTACTTGTAGATTCTGTGCTCGTACTCGTAGATTCGGAGCTAGTGCTTGGACTAGTAGATTCCGTACTGGTACTTGTGGATTCGGTGCTAGTACTTGTAGATTCCGTACTACTACTCGTTGATTCTGTGCTAGTGCTGGGACTAGTAGATTCTGTACTTGTACTGGTAGATTCTGTAGTAGAGGTATCCTCAGATTCTGTGGTACTTTCAGTTTCGGTGGATGATTCTTCAGTAGTTTCTGATTCAGTCGTACTCTCAGTCGACTCTGTTGTACTTACACTGCTTGATTCGGTGGAGGTGCTTGTTGAAGGGCTTGTGGATTCTGTACTAGTACTTGTGGATTCTGTGCTAGTACTTGTGGATTCCGTACTACTACTCGTTGATTCTGTACTGCTACTGGTAGACTCGGTACTTGTGCTGGGACTGGAAGATTCTGTGCTGGTACTTGTAGATTCTGTGCTCGTACTCGTAGATTCGGAGCTAGTGCTTGGACTAGTAGATTCCGTACTGGTACTTGTGGATTCGGTGCTAGTACTTGTAGATTCCGTACTACTACTCGTTGATTCTGTGCTAGTGCTGGGACTAGTAAATTCTGTACTTGTACTGGTAGATTCTGTAGTAGAGGTATCCTCAGATTCTGTGGTACTTTCAGTTTCGGTGGATGATTCTTCAGTAGTTTCTGATTCAGTCGTACTCTCAGTCGACTCTGTTGTACTTACACTGCTTGATTCGGTGGAGGTGCTTGTTGAAGGGCTTGTGGATTCTGTACTAGTACTTGTGGATTCTGTGCTAGTACTTGTGGATTCCGTACTACTACTCGTTGATCCTGTACTGCTACTGGTAGACTCGGTACTTGTGCTGGGACTGGAAGATTCTGTGCTGGTACTTGTAGATTCTGTGCTCGAACTGGTAGATTCCGAGCTAGTGCTTGGACTAGTAGATTCTGTATTGCTACTTGTGGATTCGGTGCTAGTACTTGTAGATACCGTACTGGGTGTTTTTGTAGTTTTTCTGGTTTTTCTAGTAGGTTTTGTGGTTGTAGATTCTGAGCTACTGCTTGGACTAGTAGATTCAGTACTGGTACTTGTGGATTCGGTGCTAGTACTTGTAGATTCCGTACTACTACTCGTTGATTCTGTGCTAGTGCTGGGACTAGTAGATTCTGTACTTGTACTGGTAGATTCTGTAGTAGAGGTATCCTCAGATTCTGTGGTACTTTCAGTTTCGGTGGATGATTCTTCAGTAGTTTCTGATTCAGTCGTACTCTCAGTCGACTCTGTTGTACTTACACTGCTTGATTCGGTGGAGGTGCTTGTTGAAGGGCTTGTGGATTCTGTACTAGTACTTGTGGATTCTGTGCTAGTACTTGTGGATTCCGTACTACTACTCGTTGATTCTGTACTGCTACTGGTAGACTCGGTACTTGTGCTGGGACTGGTAGATTCTGTGCTGGTACTTGTAGATTCTGTGCTCGTACTCGTAGATTCCGAGCTAGAGCTTGGACTAGTAGATTCTGTACTGGTACTTGTGGATTCGGTGCTAGTACTTGTAGATTCCGTACTACTACTCGTTGATTCTGTGCTAGTGCTGGGACTAGTAGATTTTGTACTGCTACTGGTAGACTCGGTACTTGTGCTGGGACTGGAAGATTCTGTGCTGGTACTTGTAGATTCTGTGCTCGAACTGGTAGATTCCGAGCTAGTGCTTGGACCAGTAGATTCTGTACTGGTACTTGTGGATTCGGTGCTAGTACTTGTAGATACCGTACTGGGTGTTTTTGTAGTTTTTCTAGTAGGTTTTGTGGTTGTAGATTCTGAGCTACTGCTTGGACTAGTAGATTCTGTACTGGTACTTGTGGATTCGGTGCTAGTACTTGTAGATTCCGTACTACTACTCGTTGATTCTGTGCTAGTGCTGGGACTAGTAGATTCTGTACTTGTACTGGTAGATTCTGTAGTAGAGGTATCCTCAGATTCTGTGGTACTTTCAGTTTCGGAGGATGATTCTTCAGTAGTTTCTGATTCAGTCGTACTCTCAGTCGACTCTGTTGTACTTACACTGCTTGATTCGGTGGAGGTGCTTGTTGAAGGGCTTGTGGATTCTGTGCTAGTACTTGTGGATTCCGTACTACTACTCGTTGATTCTGTACTGCTACTGGTAGACTCGGTACTTGTGCTGGGACTGGTAGATTCTGTGCTGGTACTTGTAGATTCTGTGCTCGTACTCGTAGATTCGGAGCTAGTGCTTGGACTAGTAGATTCCGTACTGGTACTTGTGGATTCGGTGCTAGTACTTGTAGATTCCGTACTACTACTCGTTGATTCTGTGCTAGTGCTGGGACTAGTAGATTCTGTACTTGTACTGGTAGATTCTGTAGTAGAGGTATCCTCAGATTCTGTGGTACTTTCAGTTTCGGTGGATGATTCTTCAGTAGTTTCTGATTCAGTCGTACTCTCAGTCGACTCTGTTGTACTTACACTGCTTGATTCGGTGGAGGTGCTTATTGAAGGGCTTGTGGATTCTGTACTAGTACTTGTGGATTCTGTGCTAGTACTTGTGGATTCCGTACTACTACTCGTTGATCCTGTACTGCTACTGGTAGACTCGGTGCTTGTGCTGGGACTGGAAGATTCTGTGCTGGTACTTGTAGATTCTGTGCTCGAACTGGTAGATTCCGAGCTAGTGCTTGGACTAGTAGATTCTGTACTGGTACTTGTGGATTCGGTGCTAGTACTTGTAGATACCGTACTGGGTGTTTTTGTAGTTTTTCTGGTTTTTCTAGTAGGTTTTGTGGTTGTAGATTCTGAGCTACTGCTTGGACTAGTAGATTCAGTACTGGTACTTGTGGATTCGGTGCTAGTACTTGTAGATTCCGTACTACTACTCGTTGATTCTGTGCTAGTGCTGGGACTAGTAGATTCTGTACTTGTACTGGTAGATTCTGTAGTAGAGGTATCCTCAGATTCTGTGGTACTTTCAGTTTCGGTGGATGATTCTTCAGTAGTTTCTGATTCAGTCGTACTCTCAGTCGACTCTGTTGTACTTACACTGCTTGATTCGGTGGAGGTGCTTGTTGAAGGGCTTGTGGATTCTGTACTAGTACTTGTGGATTCTGTGCTAGTACTTGTGGATTCCGTACTACTACTCGTTGATTCTGTACTGCTACTGGTAGACTCGGTACTTGTGCTGGGACTGGTAGATTCTGTGCTGGTACTTGTAGATTCTGTGCTCGTACTCGTAGATTCCGAGCTAGAGCTTGGACTAGTAGATTCTGTACTGGTACTTGTGGATTCGGTGCTAGTACTTGTAGATTCCGTACTACTACTCGTTGATTCTGTGCTAGTGCTGGGACTAGTAGATTCTGTACTTGTACTGGTAGATTCTGTAGTAGAGGTATCCTCAGATTCTGTGGTACTTTCAGTTTCGGTGGATGATTCTTCAGTAGTTTCTGATTCAGTCGTACTCTCAGTCGACTCTGTTGTACTTACACTGCTTGATTCGGTGGAGGTGCTTGTTGAAGGGCTTGTGGATTCTGTACTAGTACTTGTGGATTCTGTGCTAGTACTTGTGGATTCCGTACTACTACTCGTTGATTCTGTACTGCTACTGGTAGACTCGGTACTTGTGCTGGGACTGGTAGATTCTGTGCTGGTACTTGTAGATTCTGTGCTCGTACTCGTAGATTCGGAGCTAGTGCTTGGACTAGTAGATTCCGTACTGGTACTTGTGGATTCGGTGCTAGTACTTGTAGATTCCGTACTACTACTCGTTGATTCTGTGCTAGTGCTGGGACTAGTAGATTCTGTACTGCTACTGGTAGACTCGGTACTTGTGCTGGGACTGGAAGATTCTGTGCTGGTACTTGTAGATTCTGTGCTCGAACTGGTAGATTCCGAGCTAGTGCTTGGACTAGTAGATTCTGTACTGGTACTTGTGGATTCGGTGCTAGTACTTGTAGATACGGTACTGGGTGTTTTTGTAGTTTTTCTGGTTTTTCTAGTAGGTTTTGTGGTTGTAGATTCTGAGCTACTGCTTGGACTAGTAGATTCTGTACTGGTACTTGTGGATTCGGTGCTAGTACTTGTAGATTCCGTACTACTACTCGTTGATTCTGTGCTAGTGCTGGGACTAGTAGATTCTGTACTTGTACTGGTAGATTCTGTAGTAGAGGTATCCTCAGATTCTGTGGTACTTTCAGTTTCGGTGGATGATTCTTCAGTAGTTTCTGATTCAGTCGTACTCTCAGTCGACTCTGTTGTACTTACACTGCTTGATTCGGTGGAGGTGCTTGTTGAAGGGCTTGTGGATTCTGTACTAGTACTTGTGGATTCTGTGCTAGTACTTGTGGATTCCGTACTACTACTCGTTGATTCTGTACTGCTACTGGTAGACTCGGTACTTGTGCTGGGACTGGTAGATTCTGTGCTGGTACTTGTAGATTCTGTGCTCGTACTCGTAGATTCGGAGCTAGTGCTTGGACTAGTAGATTTCGTACTGGTACTTGTGGATTCGGTGCTAGTACTTGTAGATTCTGTACTACTACTCGTTGATTCTGTGCTAGTGCTGGGACTAGTAGATTCTGTACTTGTACTGGTAGATTCTGTAGTAGAGGTATCCTCAGATTCTGTGGTACTTTCAGTTTCGGTGGATGATTCTTCAGTAGTTTCTGATTCAGTCGTACTCTCAGTCGACTCTGTTGTACTTACACTGCTTGATTCGGTGGAGGTGCTTGTTGAAGGGCTTGTGGATTCTGTACTAGTACTTGTGGATTCTGTGCTAGTACTTGTGGATTCCGTACTACTACTCGTTGATCCTGTACTGCTACTGGTAGACTCGGTACTTGTGCTGGGACTGGAAGATTCTGTGCTGGTACTTGTAGATTCTGTGCTCGAACTGGTAGATTCCGAGCTAGTGCTTGGACTAGTAGATTCTGTACTGGTACTTGTGGATTCGGTGCTAGTACTTGTAGATACCGTACTGGGTGTTTTTGTAGTTTTTCTGGTTTTTCTAGTAGGTTTTGTGGTTGTAGATTCTGAGCTACTGCTTGGACTAGTAGATTCAGTACTGGTACTTGTGGATTCGGTGCTAGTACTTGTAGATTCCGTACTACTACTCGTTGATTCTGTGCTAGTGCTGGGACTAGTAGCTTCTGTACTTGTACTGGTAGATTCTGTAGTAGAGGTATCCTCAGATTCTGTGGTACTTTCAGTTTCGGTGGATGATTCTTCAGTAGTTTCTGATTCAGTCGTACTCTCAGTCGACTCTGTTGTACTTACACTGCTTGATTCGGTGGAGGTGCTTGTTGAAGGTCTTGTGGATTCTGTACTAGTACTTGTGGATTCCGTACTACTACTCGTTGATTCTGTACTGCTACTGGTAGACTCGGTACTTGTGCTGGGACTGGTAGATTCTGTGCTGGTACTTGTAGATTCTGTGCTTGTACTCGTAGATTCCGAGCTAGTGCTTGGACTAGTAGATTCTGTACTGGTACTTGTGGATTCGGTGCTAGTACTTGTAGATTCCGTACTACTACTCGTTGATTCTGTGCTAGTGCTGGGACTAGTAGATTCTGTACTTGTACTGGTAGATTCTGTAGTAGAAGTATCCTCAGATTCTGTAGTACTTTCAGTTTCGGTGGATGATTCTTCAGTAGTTTCTGATTCAGTGGTACTCTCAGTCGACTCTGTTGTACTTACACTGCTTGATTCGGTGGAGGTGCTTGTTGAAGGGCTTGTGGATTCTGTACTAGTACTTGTGGATTCTGTGCTAGTACTTGTGGATTCCGTACTACTACTTGTTGATTCTGTACTGCTATTGGTAGACCCGGTACTTGTGCTGGGACTGGTAGATTCTGTGCTGGTACTTGTAGATTCTGTGCTCGTACTCGTAGATTCCGAGCTAGTGCTTGGACTAGTAGATTCTGTACTGGTACTTGTGAATTCGGTGCTAATACTTGTAGATTCCGTACTACTACTCGTTGATTCTGTGCTAGTGCTGGGACTAGTAGATTCTGTGCTTGTACTCGTGGATTCCGAGCTACTACTGGGACTAGTGGTTGTGCTAGCAGGTTTTCTGGTTGTACTAGTAGGTTTTGTGCTAGTACTTGTAGTTTCTGATCTTGTTATTGTTGAAGTACTAGTAGTTGTTGTTTCTCTTTGTTCAACACATTCGATCTCAGCGTCATTATAGCAATATAGTTCCGGAGGACATGGTTGAGGTTCTCCTATTATAAATGTACCATATTTGGTTTTTTCCCATACGCATTGATAGAAAAATGTTTCATTGCAACAAATGAATTCTCTGTTAAAACAGTTAATGGCTTCTAAAACTTCTATACCCTCTGAGTGTGCCTGGAAAAATATATGTACATATTTTGTTTAGTTTCAAATATAGGGTTTTTTTCATTAATTCATAAATTATTGTTAGTAATCCGCATTTTGTTTGTGGTAATGCAATATTCTTATAACATATAATACATATAGCAAGGGTTATTGAAGAAATGCTTTTATTTTAAGATTAAATTTTTAGTAGAGATAAATTGGTAGATTTTGTGTTTATTTTTTCTTTGTAAATTTTATTAATAATTAATAAATTTTACAAAGAAAGAAATAAGCACAGTTTGCCAACCATGGTTGACATATTTTGTATTTATTTCTTTCTTCGTAATCTACTTTAGACCACTATGCGGTAATATTTGGAATTTATTAAATTTTTGTTGCATTTCATCAATCTCCTAATTTTTTATTTATATTCAGCGATAATTCTTTAATACCTTGTCCGATTTCTACGATAATTTTTTTTGTTAGAAATGGGTAGTCCCATGTATATTTGATCATGATTTGATGATCTGCTCTCAATTTGTGATGGCATCTGGACGATTTTGTACTTTTATAAATTGTAAGAGTATGCAAAATAGGATTTACAAAAAAAAATTAAATTAAAAATTTCCGCGAGATCACTATCACTCTCTCTCACTTACAAGTGATCGCCTAAATGATTAACGATAATAAAATTTATTATAACTTTTAAATGTACATATTTAAAAATAATATTTTCTGTCAAAGTGCTTTTTTAAAAATTGATTGTTGATCTAGCTAGATTAATGGAAATTTGTCCACACCAGATATCCAGGCCTTTTGTTTCCTCTTATTAAATAGTGGGCCATTTTAGGAAGATCGCGCAAAAATTACACAGGCCCGCGAAAATTTTGTGATCTAGTCATTTTATTTATTTTTTACCTATTTACAACTTTTATATAGCTAAAATAACCCCCTTTTTATTATATCACGTAAACTTTTTTGTAAACTAGTATCAAGGGTATTATCCCTGAATATCACAAACAAATTAATTTGTTCAAAACGTTGAGACGCGTTAAAACCTCGTTTTAATTTGCGCATCTGTAGGGGGATTTACTGGTACTTACTAGAATATTGTTGGGGATTCCCCGAGACTCGATTTATTCAGGAAAGAGGGCGATATATTTAGTATCCCCGTGGTATTGAGACAGGCGTTGTCTATCGAATTCTATCGGTGCTTCGTTGTGCACTTTCTATTAAAAAAATGTCTAGTAGGTGTTGTAAAAATAGGCCTGATGACTTTTGTTATATTTGTGCCCACTTTATAGTGAAGAAGTTTGAAAGAAACATTACTGATTTCGAAAAAATGCATATTCTGCATATTTTAAAGTCAGACTTGGAGATCAAGATAAACCTTGGGCGCCACATGTTATCTGCAAGATTTGCGAAGAAGCCTTGACGCATTGGTTTAAAGGAACAAGAAAAGCCCTACCGTTTGGAATACCAATGGTCTGGAGAGAACCTAAAAATCACATTGACGACTGCTATTTTTGTCTTTGTGATATTAAAGGTCATAACACAAAATCTCTAAAGTATATTAACTATCCTAATCTTTCGTCTGCAATAAGACCAGTTCCACATGACGCTGATATACCTGTACCTGTTCTACCTAAAGTATTACAGTCTTACAACAGATTTCAACAGATTTAGAAATTGACATTTTTGAGCCATCTACCTCAGGAACCCGTGAACTGCAACTATTTTCTCAAGTAGAACTGAATGACTTAGTCAGGGATTTGGGACTTCCAAAAGACTTCTCTGAGGTTTTAGGATCAAGGCTTAAAGAAAAAAAATTACTTGCTCCAGGTACTACATTTTATTGATATAGAAATCGTCAGGCTGAATTTGTCAATTACTTTGCCGCAGCTGGTTGTATTGTCAAAATGTATCTGACTTGGTTATTCACCTAGGTGCTTCTGAATACAATCCTGCCGAGTGGAGACTTTTTATAGACTCTTAAAAGAGAAGTCTTAAAGCTGTTCTACTTCATAATGGCAATTTATATGCATCTGTTCCTGTTGGAAGCAGATTTGAAATCAGCATCACTGAAATACCCAATTTCAGTTGAAAAGTTCAATTCACATTTTACAGAGTATTTAAACGCAGGCCTGTGTTATTTTTGATTTGCACAATCAAACACTCGTATAAATAAAGAAGAATGCTATTACGGCTTGATTTCAAAAATACTACAATATCTCTATTATAATTAGATATTAAGGTTTATTCCTTTATTTATTTAATTTATAATTTTATCTTTTAATGTATATGTAATTTGCATCATCATTTGAAAAGGTTTTTATCCACATTGTTCTATTTGCCATTATTTTGGTGCATGATAAAAACTGTTGTTCATATTTTTACTGGAAGGAAATTTACGTTATAATATGTTTGGCTCATTTGTTGCTCTACCTGTATGAGCAAAATATATAGTGTCTTTTTTTAAATATTTTATAAATCCAAGAGGGTCACGATCGTTAAAAAAATGGCATATAGAAAATTTTTAAAATAAAAAAGGTACAGTTGACGAAACCGAGATGTGAAAGTTTAATATTTAAGGTGGGAGTTTAATTGCATTTAATTTTATTTCCAAATGAATTTGAAAAGTATAAAAGATGAAGACCTAAGATTTGATAGACATTTTTTAAATAAATCAGAGTATTTGCTGACGCTAATATCAATAAAATGCAACTTTAAAAACAATAAAAATAAAAGTTTAAACAATTATAAAAAATAAAATATAATTTTTTTACGGAGACAAGCAAATAGTCTATTAAAAATCAATTATAATAGAAAAACTGTATTCATACTTGTTTTTTACAGAATCTACAGAATTAATATGTAACTACATATCAGTTTATTAAACGTATAAAACGTTATATCTATTCTATAATGTGTATAATGTGTATTGGATCGATGGCGTAGGTGTCTAACGCGCTCGCATTCATTTGCGAGCAATTTCGTGCTTCAGAGACGGCTTTGAATCCTACAGAAGACCATGTGAATTTATTTGCATGGTTCTCTATAGGATTTGATGGATGCCGTATTAGCAGAAATTTCTGTTGATATGATATCCAGATTATAAAAATCGCCATGCGTTATCGTTGCGAAGATGGTGTAAGTCAAATAACACCATCAATCATCTCAAATAATAATAATAATAATAATAATAATAGCCGTCCTTTCCCCGGACCAGCACAGCTTTTGGGGTTAAAATTCACTCGTAAGGGAGTGAATTATGGAAAGTATTATTATTATTAAATCCACCAAACGTTTAGTAGCCCGTCAACTAAATATTCTACACCCACACGGATATTATACATATATTCTAAGCACAGACTACAGGAACTAAAAGTAGGCCATTACATTCTACTGAATGAATATAAAATTTAATATTGATTTTAGAAAGATCGGACTACTATTATTTTTTAGTTATTGAGAATAAATATAATTTAAAATGTGTGTTTTTGTGAAGAATTGATAAAAAAATAATAGAATTCGTTTTTTGAACTATTTACCCTTAATTCTGAAATAATATTTGCATTATTTCCTGTCAATCATACCTATTTCTATTTACACAAAAATTGCAGACATAATGTCGGAAGTTTAATACAAACAGTAATTGAACGTGGTTGGTTTCCAAGATATGTAACGGTTCTCAGTTGTGATTTGGACACTTTTCAACTCCCGCCACCACTATTTAGACTTTGCATAACATGTATCAAATGAAAGGGTTTGCTGATAAGAATACGAAAATAAAATGACATCATTCTAAATTCAATATGGCGGACTCGTAAAAGCTTGTTTTTAAAATTGTTTTTTTTACGAATAAAACTAATTATTAACTAGTTCAACTATAAATTAGGACTATTATATTAACAGACATAAATAAGCCATCACACAGAGGGCATTCTTATTTTTTGACCCTTAGTTTTATAACTCTATCCCACTTTTTTTTAAACTATCTTTTTTATTTGCAATCTGTTCAGGATAACTACACGCTCCACTCAGCACATACACAATAGCATTAAAATCTATAGGGCAGGTCACATGGAAGATGCCTTCTCAGCCTTCTCTGGATAACGCATTAGGATGATTTTCGATGCGGTAAGCACACTTCTGTGAGAAGAGGGATATTTCTTCTTCGACTGACTTCATTTGAAGGTCACTGGCAATAACATTTTTGAGGACATATCATGGTGCATTTACAAGGATTCTGAGTACTTTGGACTGAAATATTTCCAGTATGTCTATATTTGAGTTGGATGCTGTACCCCACATCTTGATTCCATAACTCCATATGGGCTTTAGTATGACTTTATATAGTAGAAGCTTGTTGTTAATAGTTAGTTGGGACCTACATCCTATTATACAATAGAGTTTGCTAAGTTTTATGCCTAATAAGTAAATGTATGTGTTCTCCAGGTTAGTCGTCGGTCCAGGTGAATTCCTAGGTAATTTCAATTTTCTTTTTGTTGCAAAATCTGTCCATTTAACGCCACAGTTGGGCATGTTCCTCTTCGTTGGGTATAGGTAACATGTATTGATTTTGTTTCGTTCACCTTGATTCTCCAAGTTTTTAGCCACGTGCAAATAGCGTTCAGGTTGATTTGCAGGATTTGAGAAGAAATAACAGGATCATGATGAGATGCCAGGACAACAGTGTTATCTGCATATGTTGCCGTAGTTATATTATTGTTTGTGGGAATATCCGCTGTGGATATAAGGTAGATGATCGGGCCAAGTACACTTCCCTGTGGAACCCCTGACATTATTCGACGTAGAGTTGAGATTTGGTCTTGAAATTTGACTTGGAAATGTCGGTCTTGCAGGTAGGATTTTAGGATGAGGAATAGGTTAATTGGAAGGCTTTGCCTGATTTTGTATAGTACTTCATCATGCCAGACCTTGTCGAATGCCTGAGCGATGTCTAAGAAAGCAGAAGCAGCTGCACCTATCCCACTTGAATTTAAAAATATAATCCAACTAAACAAATT